AATTTGATTCCGATGCCCTACCGTAATCCGAAATGCGATTGCCACTTTTTTTTTGCGATGATGATGACATTCCACGTTTCGTATGAGAGAGTTGCCCCTCTTTAAGGTTACTGTAGGAGGATACCGTAATCCTTTTCTTGAGACGCGAAACATCGAAATTGACGCAATAATGCGGAAATGCCGCGATTTTTGCAAAACGCACAAAATCTCGAAATTTGTTTTAGGCGATATTGCGGAAATACGACACCTCTTTACAGTGCCACTCAACCATTTTTTTTTGACGCGAAATTGCGGACATTTAGCGCTGCTCCTTTAAGCCAATATCTTAGCATCGCATTTTACGCAATATTGCGGACTTGAAATTGAAATTGTGACGCAAATTTGCGCACACCTTTTTTTTTCAAACATCAAACTTCACGCAATATTGCGGACTTGACTATCAATGCAATTTTTTGTTGATTGACAGCGCCGCAAATGTGCGGACTTGAAATTGAAATTTGACGCAAAATTGCGGACATTTAGCACTGCTCCTTCAAGCCAATATCATAGCATCGCATTTTACGCAATATTGCGGAAATTGAAATTTGACGCGAAACACTTTTTTATCAAACATCAAATTTCACGCAAAATTGCGGACTTGGAAGTTTTGCTCTTAAAGGCGGGTTGCGGAACCCCGAAAGAAAAAAAAAACGGCGACAAAAAGAGCTTCTCGGCTCTCGCCCCTTCGTTAATTGTTTACTATCTTAATTGGTTTTGATGAGGGGGGGGGGGTCGGAGAAGGCGGCCAACTCGAAGTCATAATTTCCCCCCTTGGGTAATTAACTCATTTTCCTGCTTCTTCTTCATCTTAATGAGGCGCAGGATAGCAATAATAATAATATTTCTCGCAATTTTTGTTCCTCGCCTTCTCCCCCCCCCTCTCCCCAGGAGGAAGAGGAAGAGGTTGAGGAACGGTGGGGGGAGGTGTCGCATCGCTCCCTCCTCTCAATTTGACATGTATGGAGTTTTTCAAGGACGACACGGTCCAATTGTAGCACAACCAATTAGGGCACCGAATTTTTTGATTGGCAACTTTTCGCCATCCTTCACCAATCTCCCCCCTCCCCCCACCACCACCATGTAATAAAGTCACTTCACCCAATTTCGTTTTCTCAAACGCGCGTCGGGACCCAGATTTGCCATTAAACGCCTCGATGGTCCCAAGACGACGGCCATATAATTTCGGCCGACGCGCGGCTTCCACTCATTTGTTTTTCCTTATAAGAATGACGGCTCCTCACACCCACCTGCACCCATCCCACCCCACCGAGATTCCTTAATTGCCCGCCGCCATCAATTATTCAAGATGGTTTTTGGCGACGGATTACGGTAGCCGAAAGTCCGCAATATCGCGTCAGCACGCTATTTCCCATCCGTGTACCTCTTTAAGCCGAAAGATCCGGAAATTGGGTTCTTGGGATTACGGTGGGAATGGCGACACACCAAGGGGGTGGGTGGGTGTCAGTAATTTAAGTAATCGAAAATTATTGTCCAACATCCGTTAGATTGAGTGCAAGTCCGCAAATTTGCGTAAGCGCCTCACCTCCTTTAAACTGAAGAACTTGAGGGCAGACGGGTGTCAGCAATTGTTGGAATGGCCGCAATTTTGCAGAAGCGCCCTTTTAAGAAATTCTAAAAATTCCTATTTTGTGTCAAGTCCGCAATTTCGCGTAAGCGACACCATCTTTAAGACAAAAAAATACACTTTTTGTCAAAGTCCGTAATTTCGCGTAAGGCACACCTCCTTTAAGAAATTAAAAAAAAATCAAATTTTGTCATAGTCCGCAATTTCGCGTAAGGCACACGTCCTTTAAGAAATTAAAAAAAAAAACGATTTTCGGTTAAATCCGCAATTTCGCGTAAGCGACACCATCTTTAAGAAATAAAAAAATTCACTTTTTGTCAAAGTCCGCATTTTCGCGTAAAGCACCACCTTTAAGAAATTAAAAAAAGTCAAATTTTGTCAAAGTCCACAATTTCGCGTAAAGCACACCTCCTTTAAGAAATCCAAAAATTCCCATTTTCGGTCAAAGTCCGCGATTTCGCGTAAAGCACACCACCTTTAAGAAATCCAAAAATTCCTATTTTCGGTTAAGTCCGCAATTTCGCGTAAGGCACACCTCCTTTAAGAAATCCAAAAATTCCCATTTTCGGTCAAAGTCCGCAATTTCGCGTAAGGCACACCTCCTTTAAGAAATAAAAAAATCAAATTTTGTCAAAGTCCGCAATTTCGCGTAAGGCACGCCTCCTTTAAGAAATTAAAAAAAATCAAATTTTGTCAAAATCTGCAATTTCTCGTAAAGCACACCACCTTTAAGAAATCCAAAAATTCCCATTTTCGGTCAAAGTCCGCAATTTCGCGTAACGCGATCACCGTCCTTTAAGAACCAACAAAATCGCGGCGGAAGCCAACTCAAACCGATTGAGCGGCAGGTGTGAATATGGCTTCACACAAACCCCCCACACATAAGAAATCGAGACGAACGCGCCTAGGCAATTAGGATTAATCAGGTGCCCCCCCACCGAATAGAGGGGGTCCCATTGTATATTTGAAAATGAAGACCCCCCCCTCTCGGTCTTCGGAGCCCAACCAACAGGTGCAGACGCGTCGAATTTGTTTACCCCTGCCTCTCCTCTCACCTTCCCCCCTCCCCGCCAAAATTTATCATGTTACCATTCGCGAGAAGATTGATCGTCCTAAAATAAACAAATCATCATTTTCCATTATTCAGACCCCCACCCCTCCCCCTCTCTTCCCCTCCAGTTCCCCCCAATCGCCTGCTGATTATATTATTTATGTGTATACTCGAAAAACGATTGCATAATATATTTATAAACTATATATTATATATTGGTCGCTCACGTTTTCGCACTAAAACGGAAATTTGACTCCTGGAGTGGAGGAGTCTCGCTGGTGAGGTGGGGGCGGGGGGGAGAAGCTTCGAGGCTTCAAGGCTTTGCCGGAAATTGGAGATTTTCAGAAGCGGCCGCCCGTCGCTCCTTATACGGTAGCCCTTGGGGCGGGGTGTCTGAATCACTTCTTTTCTTCATCCTCTTCCCATTTTTCTTCTTCCTTCTTACATATTTTTGTTGTTCTCAATTTCCGCACTTGATCATTTCCTTCCTACCGTAGTTGGACCCCCCCCCTCCCGATCCTTCGATGACGTCTCTATCTCTCTCTGTGAAAGCCTGCTACGCAAAATTGCGGACCCCCACGATTTGTTTTTGCAATCTTAAAGAAACTGTCTGTCTTACTGTGACGCAAAATTGCACACATTCATTTTTTGGTTTAAAGGGCTCGTGCGGAAGTTGCCTGCAAATTCTTATGTCTTACTGTAGGCGGATTCGCATTTATTTTTCTCTCATCGTTTAAAGAGGATGTCGCGACGCGAAATTGCGGACTTTTCGAAAATTGCCGATATCCTCAATTTTTGCAAAGAAAAATGGGGTGCCTGATAGATTTTCAGCATTGTTGCAACTTTGCGCTGAAAATCGATTTCTAGAATCTTCTTGTTTAAAGGGGGATGAGGTTGTGGTGACGCATCGCCTATTCGGACCTTAAATTGCCAGATTTTCAAATGCGTCTTACGGTAGAAATCAAATCTTGAATTTTTTTTTTGGTTTAAAGGGGTAGCATCGACGCAAAATTGCGGACTTTCTCAATTTCGATGAAATTTGCAAATTTCCAACGTGGCTTGACAGAAAAATCGATTATGTAATTTTTTTTGTTTAAAGGGGTAGCATCGACGCAAAATTGCGGACTTTCTCAATTCCGAAGAAATTTGCAAATTTCCAACGTGGCTTTACAGAAAAATCGATTCTTTAATTTTTTTTTTGTTTAAAGGGGTAGCATCGACGCAAAATTGCGGACTTTCACAATTCCGAAGAAATTTGCAAATTTCCACGGCGGTTTGCCGGAATGTTCGATTGTTTTGAAAAAAAATCTGTTTAAAGAGGTCGTCACAAAACAATGAGTGCTCAGAAATGCGAACTTTTCGGTCAAGGTTCTTTCAATCAAGCAATTTCCGTTCCGACTCGGGGCCAACTAATTAGGAGCTGCCTAGCTGCGCTCGATTGTCGTCGGCTCAAAACCCAACCAAATCGGTAAACGGGCGGTCTCTGCCCGCCAATAAATCGAACAACACAATTGAGAGCGTGAGGTGTGCCGACAAAATAGGGAGAAGGCGGGAGGGGGGGGGGGGGCTCCGGCTGGCTGGTCACAGGTGAAAATTAGCCGCGCCGTACAAGGTCACATCATCGAGCACCTCTTTGTTTAGCTGCTGTTGCTGCTGCTTGGGCACTGTATTAGCCGCGCTCGCTAGGGACCATTGACGATTATTGTCTGGACGGTCTCTCGCGGTTTATAGCCAAGACAAATTTCCAAACGCGCATATTGCGATTCTTCAATCTGCGCGGTCATGTGGAAAGTGCTCGATTGCACAATACAACGCATATTATTAGTATAATTAATTATACCATGTATAGTTAGTTGGGTGAACAACGATCTCGAGAGGGGGGGCGCGCGCGCGCGCGTGCCCATCGCTGATTGGTCGCCGCCGGCCCCGCCCACTTTCTCGACGCTCCGCCCCTCCCCGTCGCTTACTTGAGGAAACGGCGCGGATATTATTCGTCCGTCGCATCGTCGGCCATTCATGATTTTATTTTATATTGTCGCCGGCAACACGTTTTCATGTTTCCTCAATTGAGAAAGCCAAATTCATTAAAAATTGATGAGCACGTTGCATTGTTTCTAAGATTCGTCGTCGCCACATTTATTATATTTCTCATTTTTGCCGGCTCAATTTCGATCGTCGCGTCTCCCGCAGCGAACCAATATCGCAATAATGGTTTTTTTTTCGATTACAATATTCATATTGTGCAGGTCTCATTCATCTCATTCCATTCATTTCATCGGAGAGAGGAATCGAGAGAGAGAGAGAGAGAGAGATAGAGAGGTGCCAATGTCCACCGGATTGCCGCCGCCACTCGCCGCCGCCAACGCCACCCAGCCAACGAATTTCAGGTAGGCCACAAAATGGATTCAAAACAAAATTTTTGGTTTCTCTCATTCAGCAGCCCTTTCAATCATTTCGGCTATCTGTTCGGTCAGCAGCCGCCAGCGTTCAGTCTTCAGGCGCCGCCGCCGCCGCCGCCGCCTCCGTCGTCGGCCAATTCGCGATTCAAAGTCAAACGTCATCGGCAGCGCGTCGACGCCGGCGAGCCGCGCAACACCTATCAGGCGAACAGCAAGAGCCACAAGAGCGCCGCCAACGCGACGATGATGACGATGTCGATCGAGGTGCCGTGGAAGCGCGACGGCGACGACCAGCAGCAGCATCAGCATCAGAATGATGATACCGAATGCGAGGATGGTGCGGCTGTCGCCGACGAGACGGCGTCGTGCGTGCCACACGTCGACGTTGAGAACACCGAGGAGCTCGATGAGATGAGCGACGAGAAGGAGGCGACGAGCCGCGAGAGTCCGAGCTCGACGAGCTCCGCCTCGAAACGCAAACGTTTCCAGCCGAAGAAGATTGGCGAACAATTGGGAATCGATTTGAGCGAAGGTGGGCGCTTTTAAAGGGTACTGTAGACGGATGCGCCTTTAAATGGCCCCCATAAAAATCTTGAATTTCGATTATGCGCCTCTTTTTTTTTTGTCATTGTGTATAATGCAAATGATGTGCGCCTTGAAAATTTGGGGGTTACTGTAATTAAAGGCACACGCCTTTAAATGAAGCTCAATGGCATGCGCCTTTAAATAAGTGGGGTTACTGCGATTTGACTATGCGCATTTTGTTTTCACACAATTCTTAGGAAGGTTTGGAATGCGCCTTTAAATGAGACCTAATACGAAAAATTCCAAATTCACAATTAATGGTTATCATGCGCCTTTAAATTGGAGGGCTACTTTACAATTTTTTTTTGCTTTTAAATCAAGCGCAAATTCTTAGGAAGGTTGAGCATGCGCCTTTAAATGAGACCTAATAAAAAAAATCATAATGTGCGCCTTTAAATTTCGTCTAATATCGTCATGCACCTTTAATTTCGTTTCGAAATCGATGAGAACCGATGCCGCCTTTAAACTCGCCAATGATGCGCCTTTAATAGGATTAGTGTTTCCGACAACTTTCTTGAGAGACTCGATTGCTAATCCCGTCCGGAGGGTTTCGCTATCGAAACCCGTGACCGTGACAATTTCGCGCGCAAATCCCAATGGCAAAATTGGGTTGGGTGGGGGGGGGTGATTGAGATCGAGGGACCATCGAGTTGTTGCAGAACCCGAACAGATCAACGTGAGCGTCGGCGTCGAGAACGAGACGAACGACGAGGAAGACGAGGCGGAGGAAGCGGAGGAGAACGAGGAGGAGCGCGGCAACGTCGACGAGAAGCCGCAGCTGACGGCGATTCAGCAGCAGCTCGCCACCAATCCGCCACCACCACCGCCACCATCAGCCGCCGCCAATCTGTTCGAGACGCAAAAGAAATTGTACGCGGCGTTTCTCGAGCAGCAACGCAAAATGTTGCCGTTGATGAGCCAACACAAAGATGAGAAGAAGCTCAATTGTGAGCAATTGGTGCAGACGTTGAAGAGCGAGATTTTCGATAATTTGACGGCGTCGATTGAAAAGGTTGGCTCTTTTTTCGTTTTTTTGCTAAATTTGGCTTTTCGTAGATTGTCAAAGATTGGGCGAGCGCTGAACTCGCTCGTCAGGAGGCTGCCGGTCGCCACGTCAATGGCGTTCTACACCATCAGACCGGCCATTTTGCGCCGCTGTTTCCGCCGAATCCGCTCGCCGCCGCGTTTCCACTTCACGCGCCGACGCATTGTAAGTATGGCGTTTCGCGCCGGGACTCTCGTCGGCCGAATGGTCTAGTGGTATGATTCTCGCTTTGGGTGCGAGAGGTCCCGGGTTCAATCCCCGGTTCGGCCCACTTCATTTTTCACCTTTTTCTCAAGCATTTTTCCATTGATTTCGATTTCCAGCAATTGGCGGCGGTGGCGGCGGCGGCATCTTTCCGCCTAACTTCAACGCGTTCAATCATCTTCAAGCGTTCCAAGCGCTTCAACGCAATCTCGACGAGAACGCCGACGCGGCGACGCCGAAGAAGAAGCGCGCCAAGTTGTCGGAAGCGCGCGCGACGTCGTCGCCGCTGAGCGCGCCGTCGAGTCCGCCGCAAGCGCGCTACTTTCCGCCGACGATGGTCGGCCATCCGATGTACGGCAACATGTCGTTCGGTGGTCACGAGCGCGAGGACAGTCCGACGAACAGCGACGAGATGAGCGACTTCGGCGGCTACGACGGCGTCGGCGTCGGTGGCGTCGGCGGTTCGAGCAGCACACTGACGCCGATGCATTTGCGAAAAGCCAAACTCATGTTCTTCTACACGCGCTATCCGAACTCGAACCTCCTCAAATCCTATTTTCCCGACATTCGCTTCAACAAGAACAACACGGCGCAGCTCGTCAAATGGTTCAGCAATTTTAGGTAATGATGAAGATGATCGAAGGGGGGGGGGCCGACGACGACGACGAACAATGACTATACGCATCATTGCAGAGAATTCTATTATATTCAAATGGAGAAATTCGCGAGGCAGCTTTTGGCCGAAGGCGTCAAATCGAGAGATGAGATATTTGTGACCAAGGACAGCGAGTTGTTCAAGGCGCTCAACACGCATTACAATCGGAACAATCATATTCAGGTGGGGGATCGGACCATTCGAAATTTCTCGATACCATTCAATGATGAAAATTTTGAAAATTAGAATAGTTGGCATTTTTGGGACCATTGAAACCAAAAATTATGAAAATTAGAATAGTTGGCATTTTTGGGACCATTGAAACCAAAAATTTTGAAAATCAGAATATTTGGCATTTTTGGGTCCATTTAAATCTGAAAATTATGAAATTTTAGATATTTTACACTTTTGGGACCATTAAAATCTGAAAATTATGAAATTTTAGATATTTGGCATTTTTGGGACCGTTCAAATCTGAAAACTATGAAATTTTAATTATTTTACATTTTTGGGACCATTTAAATCTAAAAATTATGAAATTTCATATATTTGGATTTTTTGGGACCATTTAGATCTGAAAATGATGAAATTCCTCAAAGTCAACATATAGGGACCATTGACATTCGAAAATTGTCAATATCTCAAAAATGCAACTTTTCGGGACCATTGAGATTGGAATTTGAATTTCTTTGTAAAATATTAAGGGACCATTGATTTCGTTCTCGTCAATTTCTGTTAGTTTAGGGACCATTCAAACCAAAAGCATGAAACACCCAAATTTCCAAATTTTTGCTCAATTTAAGAGGGAAACCCCAAAAATTGTGATTTTTTCATCATTTTTGGTGTCCCGCAAGCATGTCCGCAGCACGAAACGCACATTTGTTGCAGGCGCCCGACCGTCTCGTGTTCGTCGTTCAGGAGACGCTTCGCGAGTTCTTCGACGCGATTCGCCTCGGCAAAGATATCGAACCATCATGGAAGAAGACGATCTACAAGGTAAATCGCGATTTCGATGGTCCCCAAAGCCTAATTATAGTATTTGAAGGTGATCAATCGAATGGACGATCCGATTCCCGACTATTTCAAGGATCCCAACTTTCTCGATCGCCTCGAGACCTAAACAAAATTTTTTCCCATTGTTTCTAATCGAGAAAATGTGATAATTTTTAAATTGTTTCTCTTTTTGCAATCATTTTTTTTAATTTTGGGTGGTGTCCCTTTAAATTTATTGAATTCCGAGTCATTTTATTGGACCCTTCTCATTTTTTTTGCTTTAAATCGAACCATTAAATCCCTTTTTGAATATTTATTGAAATTCCCACTGTATGTTGTGCCTACACGAATGTTTGAGAATATTTTCCAATTAATTATTATTCCCATTTTTTTTTCTAGACGAATGAACCAATTTTACCGATTTCCATTCCATTTTTTTTCCATCTGTCTTCTATTTGACAAATATTTGAGATAGCGAAGAGGCGCTGATTGTTATGTTGTGTTCATGTATGACTGTTTGATGATTGATTGTCAAAGAATGGAAATAAGAACGTCGTATACCATTTTTTTTTGCTTGCAAAAACGAATTGGGCTTGCTGGGGATCGAACCCACGCGGCCAAATTGTGTCCTCTCTAATGCGTTGCCACTTCGCCACGCACGCGTTGCGCGAACGCCGGTGAACTGCGTAGAAGTGTGCGAGCTCGCAAACCTCGTGAAATGTCCGCAGCATCGAATATCGCGTATTCCGCAACAAATCTCAATGTAATTAGCAACAAATAATCGAATTTATTAAAACTCTTTCAGTTTGTTTTATTATTAAAGCTATCTGATTTTTTTTTGCGAGTCGGGATTTGAAAAGAAATTGGTAAAGCTCAAGAAAAACAACATAATAAACATGAAGAGGGAGGGTGGAAAAAAAAAAACAAAAACATTGCACATGGGCGCATACTCGGTGAGATTCCAGACAAATTTTCCTGGAAATCGAACAATGTACATTGAAGCCTAGCCCTGCATCGGGAATATTCTCGCCATCACATTCTGATTCGGCGGGTACTGAAGACGCGACGGCGGTCGATAGAAGATGGGCGGCGCCAAGGTGGGAGCGGCCGCCTCCTCGATGCCGACACTCTTGACGATGGCGCTCGACTTGTACTGTCCGGGCCGGAAGTGCTGGCTGGCGCCGCCGAGGCACGAGCGCAAGAACGACTCGATGTGGCCGTGCTGCTCCAATCGATTCGCCGACTTGCGGAAGCCGTGACCCTCGTCGGGATACAGAATGTAGGTGACCGGAATGCGTTTGCGCTCCAGCGCGGCGACGAACTGATCCGACTCGGATTGCCGCACACGCGGATCGTTGGCGCCCTGCAATATCATCAGCGGGCGGCTGACGCGATCGGCGAAGAAGAGCGGCGAGCGCGACGTCAACGATTGTCGGCCGGCGTCGGTGTCGACGTCGGCGCCGAGCATCCGCACGAGGTCCTTGTAGAAGCCGCGCCAGTAGGGCGGCACCGCTTGCGCCAGTGTGACGAGATTCGACGGCCCGACGATGTCGACGCCGCACGCGAACACACTCGGCGTGAACGTCATCGCGACGAGCGTCTCGTAGCCGCCATAGCTGCCGCCTAGAATCGATGGATTAGCAATAATCAAGAGGCTGTCCGATCGTCTTACCCATGATGGCGATCTGCGAACGATTCGCGATGCCTTTGCCGACGGCGAACTCGACGGCATCGAGAATGTCGTAGTGCATTTTGCGGCCCCACTCGCCGTTGCCGGCGTTCGTCAGCCGTTTGCCGAAGCCGACGCTTCCGCGATAGTTGACCTGAAGGACGGCGTAGCCGCGATTCGTGAGCCACGCGTTCGTCGGACTGAATCCGTAGGTGTCGCGCGCTTTCGGACCGCCGTGCACGAGCACCACCATTTTTTGCGGACGCGCCGGTATCATGCCGAGACGCGCGTGCGCTCGATCGCCGTCCGGCACCTGCGACGCCGTCAACAGTTCGACGGTCGGCGGCAGCGAGATGTACGCTTGAAGGGTGACGTCGTCGCGCGCGCGAAACTCGAAGCCGATCTGCGTGTTGAGCGCGTACGCGTTGAGCTCCGGACGCGTGCTCATGAACAACTCGGCCTTCTTGACCCATCGTCGATAGATGTAGATCTCAAATGGATGGTCGGCTGATGAATAGGTGACGAGCCATGTGCTCATATCATTGCTCAATGAGATGATCTGAAGTGAGCCCGTCGGTCGAAGGTTCACCAAATATTGAAGATCGTCGATGAACGTCTCATTGGCGACGAACAACTCCGGCTTGTGGTAGACCTCGGTGACGGCGATGAGCGTCTTGTCGATCGGATGCATCAGCACGTTGCCGATTTGCGCTCGCTGCGCACTATAGAGCACCTCCTTCTGGTCGGGATTGTCGAACGGGAACACGACGAGATTGCCGAGATCGCTGCCTTCTCCGAGAATCCAGAACATGAAGCGATTGGTGCGATCGAACGAGATCGGCGTGGTGATCGGCTTGTCGTCGGGCGCCACCTCGACGTACTTCTCCCAATGAATCGCGTCGGTGGTGAGCGGCCGAATGTGCTGATTGACGAGCTTGTAGTAGACGAGCTGCCCGTCGGCGCCCTCTTCCGACGCCAATCGGATGTTCTGCGCGGTGTCGAAGACGAACACCGGGAATCGCGTGTTGCGCAGCATCAGACGCATCTCGTTCGTCCGCAAATTGAACGTGTAGACGTTGTGAAGCCTAGAAAGCACGAAGAAGCGATGTTGGTCGAGCTCATCGCCACTTACGCTGGATTCTCATCGTTGAGTCCGATGACGACCTCGTCCGACACAAGATCGTTGGCCATGATGAGCGCTTTGACGTTGCGATTCTCGCTGATCGCGTGCCGATTGCGGCGATCGGCGGCCGCCGAGATGTTCTTCTTGTAGATGCGCGTGTTCTCGTCGCCGTGCTCGTCCTGCGTGTAGAGGATGATGTCGGGCACCGACGTCCACGCGTAGCCGAGTATCGCGTGCTCCGTCTCGAACGTCACCTGTCGCGTCGTCGTGCACGTCGAGCAGCGCACGTGCACGTTTTTGACGGCGTTCGCGTCCGGCGCCAAATAGGCGACGTGTCTGCAAACTGATGGGAATGGGATGGGATTGGCTTAGGCTTCGACCTACCTGCCGTCGGGACTCAACGACACCGATGAGTATTTGGGATCGTCGAAGAGCAACTCGCGCGGGATCAGCTTCGTCGCATCGACGATCGCGATGAGCACGGTGAGCGCGAGCAATAATCGCATGCTGGAAAAATTCAAAGTAGTAGGTTATGGAATGTGAATGACCAAGAAACTTCCAAATTTGGGCATACATTTATAAACGAAGTGGGCGGGGCTTGGCAAAGATTGAAAAATCAGCCGATTTTTTGGCTGACTGGTCAATTCCTCTGATCAATTCCCGCCCCCCTCGCGCCATTAAATCGGCGTTCACCTTGATTGATGATCGAGTTTGGGAAATGAGAGATCAAAAGGAAATGCCACGTGGCAATCCAGCGATTTGATCATCAAGCAATCAACAAAATTGAGATCGTCGCAAAAAAACAATGCATTCGAGTTAAATGGTAATAAAGCAATTGTTGAAAGCGTTTTGAGTATGAAAATGCTCGAGCTCGCGCGTCTCGGCTGGGGAGGGCGTGTGGAAAATAAACAGATTAACGCGTGATGGACGAAAAACGTTGACCGTTCGCGAAATGACCGCGCGAGAGCCTCGACTCTTTGCTTTTTCGTTTTTTTTTTCGCTAACCCCGCGCGAGCACACTTCCGCCAATCTTTGGTGCGCTGCAAAAAGGAAATCGTAGGGCCGGGTGTCGAACCCGCGCGGCAAAACGCGCGCCTTTCACCGCGTGTTGGCACTCGGACACGAGGACCCACTCGAGACGCATCGTTCTTCTCTGATGAGAAAAGTGCACTTGCAACCCGCGACACGTCCGCAGCAGCCAGCACAACGCTTTTTGAAAGTCTAGGCGGCTCAAACAAACAACTATGACAAATCTCCTATAATTACTATAATTATGCGGCATTTCACTCGCCAACCAATTGATAACAACCACCGGATGCGAAACGCATTCTGCAAGACGCGACGAACCGGTTTTTTCATTGAGAAGTTCATAAAAGAGTTGATCGGTCAAACTGATAAAATCGATTTCTGTTTTTTTTTTCTGTTGTTGTATTGGTTGGGCGTAAATGAAGAAGCTCCTTTTTCGGGGGGTGAGAGGGAAGGAGGGGATTCACGAGCGGCGAGAATTTGCTGTTTGCTCACTTTCCGCGAAACCACTCAATCGGCGCCCCAACTTAACAATGAAGATCGAACCACAAAAACCGATGAGAGAAACACGAAATTGACCAAAATAGGCATTTCCTGTGTTGATAAATGAATCATTCTTTGAGAATCACGTGCGTTTTCGCCGATTCGACGACGTCAGATTTTATGAGAATCGTCGCGTTCGAAAAACGACATCTGTTGCCGATTTTTGGAAGCACAAACGAAAAAAAAAATGAAAAAAATTGAAATTTCGGCTAAAAAATGATTTTTTCTTTCGTTTTTTGATAAAATCGATTTTTAGGCACAAATTTTCAGCTTTTAAAATTTGATAATTAACTTTGGTTTAATTGCGGGCCACTTTCTGGCCAAAACTATAATTATTGGGTATTTTCACACATTTTAAGCCCAGAAAAATGCAATACTATGGAAGTATTGATTGCCGGCCACTTTCTGGCCACACTTTGGGTCAAAACAATTTTTAAGCACAAATTTTCAGCTTTTAAAATTTGATAATTAACTTCGATTTAATTGCGGGCCATTAAGCTATAATTACGAGGAATATTTCACAATTTTAAGGCCCAAAAAATTCAAAAATTTTAAATTGTCGTTTGCCGCCCACTTTCTGGCCCCAACTTTTAGGTCCAAAAAAAGTCGACATGTTTTCAGATCGCGATTGTCAGCCAACGTTTTGCGTGCCCAATTTAGGACCAAAAAATGCCAATTTTTGGCCACACCCATTTGAAGGCATAATTTTGACAAAATTTAGGTCCAAAAAAATTTTATTCGATTAAAAATGGATGGGATACTAAAATTAAAAAAAAAAAGAAAGAATGCGAAAAAAAAATCAATTCTCGGGTTGCGCGTAGGCGCTGATATTCTTCGGACAGCCGGCGTGTCCCCACAACGGCAGCTGAATATTGAAATAGTACAAATGATCGTCGGCGATTGGCTTGTCGGTCGACAAATTGCTGAATCATCATGCATTTCGACGAGAGAGAGACACCACCAACCTGCAATAGGGACCATCGGCCTCCTGGCACACTTCATACGCGTCGCCAGGCTTCATGTAGTTGTCGTACCAGACTTCGAAGCGCGCGTGGTACATCGTCACGTTGTGCACGTCGTCGACGGTTGGCGATCGCGTCGCCGGATCGTCGCGATGGACAATCCGAAACGAGTAGGGGAACTTGAGAGCAACAAGATTGGCAACGAATGATGATGAGGCGCTCGCCTACCGTGTTCGAGTACCAATCGGCGAACGCGTAGTCGCCGACTCGTCCGGCGCCCATCACCATCACCTTCATCTGGTCGGGCTCGAATAGATGAATGTGGGCGATGAAGCTCGAGGCGATGATGCCGAGTGTTGCGCCCAATGAGTGGCCGTTCACCTTCAATCAATTGACTGCCCCCCACCCAATTAACGCCAATTTGGCGTGCGTTTGATTACCCAGAGTTCGAACGTAGGGTAAGTGTACTTCAAATATCTCAAGTCCTCTTGAATGCCGCCATTCCATAGGTACATGAAACTGTCGTATCCCATTTTTGCGACGCGACCGTAATCGAAGAATTTCATTGTGCCGCTGAAAATCGATATTTCCCAGTGGGGCAGGTTACTGTAGCGTCGGGTTACTGTATCATGAAGCTCTCCATGAGCTCACGAATTTGATGTTCGCCGTGTGCGCCTTTAAACGACACGACGATCGCCTTCTTGGTGACGTCGTAGGCGGTGAATGCGGCGCATGTGACGTCTAGAAAAAAGTTTGTTTTCGGACTACGGTAGTCGGCGCCGGGATTACGGTACCATCGTAAACTTTCGAGCAATTAACTTCACGATACTTGTAGACCTTCATTGTGGGTAGTTGATTACTGTAAGCATTGGTGGGGTCTCGAGGGGAAGACCAAAAAAAAGTGGATTACTCGAAACACAATTGCGGATTGGGATTCTGCGCGGCGGTGGTGATGACCATTATCTGATTCCTGGCCAACTCATCGCTGTAGGCGATCATCGGCGAACGTGGGCAATTCAGCGCCAACTGAAACCTCGACAATCGTCGGCAGATGATCTCAGAATGATTGATTCGTGTACCTTGATGCGCGTGTCGCAGCGCGTTTCAACATCGTCGAGGCATTGTTGAGTGTTGGCGCAATACCTACGGACCATAATATTGTTGGGGGGGGGGGGATGGCGGGCCACTCACGTTTTGCCGGACGCCACACAATCGGAACAGCGATCGGCGACGACGATGCCGATGACTAGAAGGCACCACAACACACCCTGTCCGAGGAGCATTCCGACCGACGAAAATGAGCGGTCGAGCGATTGCGATTGGTTTGCGATAAGAATTTTTGATGATAACGCATGATCATCGAATCCAGCGTCTCGTTTTGATCTACCCGAATTTTCTATGAAGATATTGGCGATTTTTGGCACCCCCCCCCCAACCCTTTAAGGATTCCAATTTTTGGGGTTGCTGGAATTCTCTCAGACATCGTGGTCCCAAATTGGACACATTTTTGATGGAGTGGCAAATATGGACAAGCTGTTATCAGAGCGACTCCGAAAATTGTGGCGATCGGTTTTTTTTTTTGATATCACACAATGAGGAAATAAATGTTTGCGAACAACTCAATTAGTGTCGATTTTGTAATTAATGGTCCCTTGGGAAAAAAGGGCTACAGCTCAGGCATTTTTTGCAGAATATCCACGGGATTAGACCACTTTTAGAAATTTTGATAGAACCCTATTTTACTTATAATGGTCCCTTAAATTCTGAATTGAATATGAAATTTTTAAATGTCAACCACTAGCAATCAAATGGGACCATCAGAATTGAAAAATCTCGAAAACTCGCAATTTTCTTTTGAGATGGTCCATCGATCAAAATGGTCCCCCAAATTTTGAATCAAACGCGGAATTCGATTAATAAGGGAATAAAATGCAATTATAAAAGTTGAAATTTCTCAAAAAAAAAATTCTCTCTATGGAAATGGTCCGTAGTTTTTGTTGCAATAATTCGATATGATCGTTTATGTTTTTAATGGTCCCTAGAAAGAGAATCCTTGAAGTTTCAACATTTTCCAGAATTCATAAAAGCTAAAAATCATTTTTCCGACAACGGAAGCCGGAATTCCGGTCCGAAAATTGAAAAAATTGAAAATTAAAAAAATTTGTTGATTTTTGCGTGATGCCCATTGCGGAATTTGACTACCGTAACCTACAAAATAGCAATTTTTCAACATTTTTTTTCGATTTCAAAAAAAACTTCAAAATTGAATCCACCGAATCTAGAAGGAACCAATTTAATTGGAAAAAAATCGAATTTCGAGATTTGATAAATATTATAGACGGTTCTCGATTACTGTAGAATTCGCATTGGGTCTCGTATGGCAAAAAAAACAGTCTTAGAAGCGAGTCTTGCTGAATTGAATCAATAAAATACGAAAGAGCAACTTTTTTTTTTAATGAATTTTTAATAATTTTTAAAGCATATTTAATTTTCAACGGGACCCAATTAGTTGGCAGCCCGCGCAATTCAAATCTCGTAGCGTCAAAATGGTCCCCGCCACGCCGGCGTCGATGGGTCAGTGATGAGAGAGTGTGCGAACACGAGAGAATCGGCGTCGATTTGGAGTTCGTTTCGCCAAACGCGCTCTATTGCAAATCTTGCATCGACGAGCAGTGGGCACTATAAAAGGCCGGCGGAATGCGCAATTTGGTCAGTTCTCGCAGCTCCTCGAGTTGCGGGAAGCCCGCAAATCCTGTGGGCTCGCTGAGCCCCGGATGGCTTGTGGGCTCCACGTGCCCCGCATAACCTGCGGGCTACGCGTGTCCCATAAATCAGGCGGGCTCGACGTGGCCAAGGATCCAACCGGTATGGCGCATTCATCTTCAATCCTTCATCTCAATTCCTCGTATTGCAGATCCTACTCGAGCCACAGTCGTTGCTCATTCGAGCTTCTCGGAATGTGCCATGTCGAAAGTGTCGGGGATTCTCGACTGGTGCGACTCCGTTAGCCGGTACTAACCCTACTGCAGTGTCGCTTCCAGGCCGACGCTAAACCCACATTGTATGAGTAGACATAGCACGTGAAGATGAGCGAGAAAGAGGAATGGCGAATGATCGATGCTACCCGGGGGCGTCGAGCAGGGCGAGGAAGCGCATTCGAATGGTAAGGAAGGAGTCGCAATCTATCCGAATAACTCGAATCATTGCAGGAATCTTATGGATCGAATCGGAGAAGGAAGAAGACGTCTCGATGAAGAGGAAGGGAATCAGCGTCAGGTATTCAATCCGCGGTAATTTTTGGCCTCGGCCATTTTTTTCATTTTTATTTTTTTTATTATTTTCTTTCACCAGTCGTACCACTTGCGACTGTCCCCTTCACTCTATCCCACCACTTGGGAATCTTTCTCCCCTCCGTACATTCATACCACTTACGTCTGTACTTCCTCCGGTCCTACCATTTGGGACCACCTCTTCTTTCTTCGGGGAAAGCCGGCTTCCCCTCCCTTCTTCCAGTCGTACCACTTGCGACTGTCCCCTTCTCTCTATCAGTCGACTGATTCCCCCTCTGCCGTACCACTTGCGGCTTCCACCCTCTATATCCCACCACTTGGGATTCTCTCTTTCTCTCTTTCGGTCCTACCGTTTTGGGACCAACCATCTCTTCTTTTTTTGGGGGGAAAGTCGTACCACTTACGGCCATGCCAGTCATTCCACTAATGATTGGCTTCCCCCCTTCCGTATTGTATAATTGTTTTACTTTAGGTGTTTAGGTATCGTCGCTGCCGCCGCCGATGGAAGGACCCTGCCGGTGAATCGATTCACCACCACAACTAAGTTTCCCCCCACCATTAAGCTTTAGCCATACTAAGGTCCCTCTCGTCTATTTAATCCGCCGTAGTCGGCTATATTAGGGCCGTAGTCGGTCATTCCCCCAAACGCCAAGGCTTCTTGATCCCCAGTAGTGCCGAGGCGTTGGCTGGATGACGGCTTATCCGTCGAATCCTAAATTCGGGTGATTGGCCTAGCAAGCCTTTCAGCCCTGATTCCGTAGCCGGGAATCGAACCCTACACAAACGCCCCCGTTTCAAGTACTCTCGAGTGCTTGGTGGGCGTTATGGATGGTTATGCTTTAGAACTTTGCTTCACCGGGTGTCCTCCATACTAGTCAGGATGTCATCTGGCCCAGACCTATATTGACGTGGATTGGCCAGCTATGTCAATATGTCCAGCCTTTCGGGTGCACATGGACCGTGCTTCTTGGCATAGTAGCTTGCTACTTTGTAGTGGCTTGCTACTACTTAGTAGTAAGCTTCTATGCTAAGAGCACAAAAACCACATTACCATATCACCAGTAGACCCGGGGCCCAGCCAGACGTGGCTTAGTTGTGGGATGTCCTTGGGTGATCCCCATGGTGGGATCGGCGATGACCCACATCAGGCTTCGGTCTGATGCTGGTGAGCCTCTCCTTCAAGTGTCGAGCCTCTACGTGGCGAAGGAGATCAACTGGCTCGGACCTCCTTCATCGGGTTCGAGCCAGGCTAATCGACACGCAAATTCCAATGGTCCTCATCAGTTGGGAGTTTCGCAAAAAAATCGGCAATCGCATTTTTGGTCCCTTTCGCAAAATCGTCAGAATTGAAAAATCTCTTTTTTAAAAATTTAACTTGACTAATTTAATATCAAAGATTCGAATTTTGGTATTTGCAAGGAGCAAAAAAGTTTCGAATGGCACAATTTAAAGGCGCAAGCCAGAAATTTAAAGGCAAAAATAGAAAGAAAAAAAGGTCTAAACAATAAATAATATAGTACACTAATTGTGGCGTCATCGCAAACCAAACACATTCCTAATATGGTTATCAACAATGCATTGGATCTACCCGGCCAACAACAAAACCGCGCACATTTTATACGCATCTCCTTTTCTTTTTTTTTTGGTTTCTTCTGTTTGCGTCGAAAGCGATGAGGTAATGCCGAGTGCTTTCTTTTTGACGATTCCTCGAAATTTCAGCCATCAAGCGCCGCACTACGGTGTTCAGAAGAAGATGCGAATGCTCAACGGCATCGGCGCGATTCGGAAGCGTGAGATAGAATGATGCACAAGAAATGCGCCAGTGGCGTATGAGCTTGCGTTCAATTCGTGCACACGCCATTTTGCCGCACGCTGCACCTCGTTTCATCTTTTTTCTTTCTTATTTCCAGCTTCAATTGACGAGTCGGCGAATCGCATATGGACTATCGGTCATATTATCTATCAGCGATCATTGGACTCGAAATCGAGAAGCTCTCATAATGGTTGGTGGAGGGGGGCGAGGGCCTCCATGGATGTCCGCAGCATGATTCGCATATATTGCAGACGGCACCGATAGTATCGATTTCATCGACGCGACACCTTGGAAGTCGGAGCGGTGAGTTCGAGGGGTAGCTGGAAGACTGGTGATTTTTAAAGGCGCAGAGGAGGGAAAAATGTTAATTTTCGTTTTGTGCCATTTTTTTCCTGCCGTCAAAAAAAAAATACGAATTCCCTGCTCCGAATCATTAATCCTCTTAGATTCGCCTCTCATCGGCCTATTCTTTTTTTGTTGTTGTGCTCCTTCTGTTAACTCTATTTTTTACGACCCGCAAGAATGTCCGTAGCATGAAAACATCAAGGCAGGATTCATATCTTCAAAAAAGTTGATGCGTTTTATTTAAATCGTGCTGCGGGCATTATTAGTCGGCAATTCTCGAAATTGTCAAGCCTTCAATTAAGACGCCAAATTCGTGCTGCGGACATTTTCGCACGCCATTTGTCCGCAGCATATAATTTATATCAATTCACCTGGCGGCGTGAGTTTCACAAATTGGAATTTGGTGCACCTGCGCGCGGCGCCGCCGACGACAAATCAATTCAAATCAAATTATTGCTAGTTTTATATATTTATATAGCTCTATAGCTCCCTGACTTCTATTATTTCTATTATTATTATTATTATTATTGCTGTTATAACTCTGGTGACATGTGGAAGGCGCGAATTCTCGAAGCCGCTCGTCGCGAGAAGGAACGAGAGGCGCGAAGTCGAAATAAGGAGATGAAGCTCAAAATGATGAGGTATTCTCGGCTCTCCGATTATATTTTGGCTTTTGATGCGCGAAAAAAAAAACCCGACCGGAATTTTTAATTTTCTTCTCCCCCCCATCCACCTCCCTGAAAACGCTTGTTTACGACGTTTTTTTTTTCGATTTTCGCGATTTCGCCGTGCTTATTCGATTCAGAATTTCGTAAGGATTCCGAAAATCGGGTCGACGATCGCGAATGATGCGATATTCGCCGAGATATGGGACAATTTGTGGAAAATTTTGAAAAAGTGAATTTCTCGTGGATTTTTTGCAGACATTGATCTATAATATATATGATTCGATTCAAAATTTCACGAGGATTCTGAAAATGGTCTTAAAATTGATCAAACATCAATATTCGTCGAGATACGTTGCGCGAAACTTTGAAACAATTCGCGGTGGAAGAATGCCGACACATGTATGGCGTTGGCGCAAGGGAAACCATGTGTCCCCTTGGCCGAGTGGTAGTGTCGTAGGACTGGTGCGCGTTTTGCGCCCCACGGTTTCGATTCCCGGCCAATGTCAATCTCATTTTGCCGCATTTGTTTTTGGCGACGAACAAAAATAAATCTTCTTCTAGCCTCACGAAATTTGTGTTTCCCACAATTCTAATCAAGAGAGCCAGGAAAAAAAATACGTATATGTGTGTACATGGGAAACTACAATACATTCGTCGTCAAAGCCCTTCTCAGCTCATATCACATAATAATAATAATAATATTATAATTCAAATAAATGTGATGGAGTTCGTGTGGTCCCCCCCCATCTCTAAGCTTTCCCTTCATTTTTGGCTCGTTTTGCTGCTCCACCTCATTCATATTCATTTCTGCTTTCGCCGCTTTTCTCAATTTTCCACCCACCATTATAATATGTATGCATCTTAATTCGTTCCGGGGACCTTCGAGCTGATAGATCGAAAACGAGCGCTTGCAAAACGTAAGGAATTTGACGGTTGTTGGGGGGGGGGTCGAACCCTTGCAAGTCAATTTGCACCTAGGCGATCTCGAACCCCGGACACTTTCCCCGCGCCAAAAAGTCGGCGCACTTAGCCACTGCACTAATAACCACCACACCGCCTCACTTCTAATTGGCATATAGAAGCTGGAGCGCGTGAGCTTCATTACCATTGTGCCTCGCAATACATTATAACATATAATAATATTATATTGAATATACAGGGCGTCATTTAAGTTCCCGCACAAAAGTTTGACGCCATGAAGAGCTTGGCTGTCGCACTTTTCGTGCACCAATACAATTTATTTTTGTTAAATAAGGTATATTTTACTTACTTTCCAAGTTTCACCTCATTCGGATGTGTTTCCGAGAAATGGCGAAGGCTAACATCCATTGCGCTTCCATTATCGAACTTCATAAGCAAAATGTGAGCTCGAGAGACATCATTCAACGGGTCGGTGTGCCTCGTAGAACGGTTTGCGACACCATCAAACGTTTCAAGGAGCTAAATACGACCAGTGACCGTCCCAGACAAGGAAGACTCGTCTCAGTAACCACTCCTCAGAAGATCAACGCCGTTAAATCGAGGATCAGGCGAAACCCACACAGGAGCATGAGAAAGATGGCGTCAGACATGGGAATGAGCATCTTTGCTATGGAACAAATCGTCAAAACAAAGCTTGTACTGACCCCATATCGTGTCCAAAAAGCGGCAATTCTATCGGCCGCCAACAAGTAGAGACGCTTCGAAAAAGCAAAACGACTTCTTGCTCGCACGCGGTCTGGACAACACCTCGTCACTGTCTTCTCCGACGAGAAGCTGTTCACTGTGGAGACGGCATTCAACTCACAAAACCATCGAGTACTTGCCCAGACATCCCAGCAAGCTTCTGAGAAAAGAAGAACATATCATCCAGCCTCACATCCTGCCAGCATGATGGTTTTCGTTGCCATCTGCTCAACCGGGAAGTGCCCCCTGGTTTTCGCGGATCAGGGGGTGAAAGTGAACAAAGAAGTCTACGTTCGGGACATTTTGGAGAAGCATGTGATGCCCTGGACCCAAACGCATTTCGGTGGGCAGAAATGGGTCTTTCAACATGACGGAGCAGCCGCCCACACTGCCAAAACTACTCAGGAGTGGTGCCAGACCCATTTTCCCGACTTCATCAAGTCATCCGAATGGCCTGATTGCTCCCCAGACCTGAACCCGCTTGACTTTCCCGTGATGGGGTCTTGCAGGAGAAGGTCAACGCAAAACCCCATTCAAGTGTAGAGGCTCTGAAGAAGACATTACTGGCGGAATGGGACAATCTTTCCATCGAATACCTGCGTACCACAGTCACATCCTACCCGAAGCGTTTCCGTGAAGTCATAGCTGCGAAAGGAGGCCGAATCAAAAAGAGTTAATAGATAAATATTTGTTATACTATAGATAAAAAATATTTTGAGTCTCGTTTGATTTGGACTTTTAGTTTCAGAAATATACGTCTTCAAAGTTGTGCGGGAACTTAAATGACACCCTGTATAATATTTATAAGAAGCGGGATTTCCTTGGCAACCCCCAAAAACCCTCATTTTCTTGCCTTCTTTTTCTTCTTCTTCGTCGCCGCCGCCGCCGTTTGCGATTATTCGATTATCTTCATCGCCAGTTTTGTAGGCTCAAATGTTTTTTTTCTTTGATAACATTCAATTCGCACTTTTCTCTTTTTTTCTCCATTTAATCCAGGCTCCTATTGTTAGGGATTAGCAGCTTCTTCTAGAAAACTTCGTCTCAAATAGCGCTTCTTCAGTTTTATTGCAATTCGCACGAAAGAAAAAATTTGGCTTGTATGAATTTAATTGATGATCAATCTGCTCATTGATAGCGCGAGCTCAATTCTGATCAATTGCTTCATCATTTTTTCATTATTCCCGCTTATTTGAACCTCGCAAATCTTCTAGAACATCGTTTTTGTTTTTAATGGTCCCTAGAAAAAGGATCCCTTAATCTCCAATTGTAGTTACCAAAATTACTTCTAGAGTCTCTAGAAATCATTTTTTTTTAAATTTTCTAGAAATTGAGAAAACGTGCCATTTTTTTACATAATGGTCCCTTGAGAAAAATGGTCCATAAATTAATTTTGAATTGAAAATGAATTAATATCAAGCTTAAGAAAGTCAAAAAAATTTTGAAAATTTCAAAACTCGCAAAACTCGCTCAGTTATGACTCATTAATAGTGCCATTATTGTCGAAATGGTCCCTAGGTCAAAATGGTCCCCGAATTTCGATTCAAACTTCAAACCCGACTAATTGAATCCCAAGGAATCCAATGCAAAACTCAGATTTTGAAAATTTCAAATATTCGCCGAGATACACCACTTCGATATATTAGTGGGTTTTCCCACTGTTCCGTTTCAAATATCCTTGGTTGGTTCGCCAAAAAAAATCCATGAGGGCCAAAAGAGAAAGTGTTCAACAAGAAAAAACCACTTCTCGATTTTTTTTTGTCTGCAGCAGACCAATTTTATGAAAAAGGTGGGGGGTGATTTCGGTGGTCCCTACTTTGTACACCCGATGTTTGACACTTTGTCTTCACTTCTTTTATTGTGTGTGGAGACGCCTATTAACTTGGCTTCTTCGCCAACCCCGCAATATTGTCTGCAGGTAGCGTCGCTGCGCGAAACCCGCGACTTGTCCGCAGATGCGTTTTGATTTCCTCATTGCGCACTATCCACGCGTCTAATTCAATCACTAAGCATATGCGGACAATTCACAGGTCCATCTAGACTTTAGCGCATAACCCGCGAGTTGTCCGCAGCCATGTGTAAGCCGCGCCGGTCCCTGTGAGTTTGCACAAAAAAAAATGAGAAGAAAATAATAAATTTTGGTGAAATTCACTTGGAAACCGATTGCCATTCATTCATTTCTTGTTGTCTCATTTTTCTTTATTTTCGACTCAATTGCTTCTTTTTTTTATTCTTCCTCCTCCTCTTTTGGCTTGTCTCGACGAAATACAACATTTCAAAATTTGTGTCCGCAGATGAATTCGGCGATAATGCAAGGCGCCGCGATGGCGACGTCGCACGGCATCGCGCGCCTCAATCGCCATCACGCCGCTCGTCCGCAATTCCACATCGCCAATCCGAATCGGTTGTTCTATCAGCTGCAGCAGGCGAGCACGTCAGTCTCAGAGTTTTCAATTTGACGTGAGAAATAAAATTGTCGGCAGCTGGATTGTTGATAAATTCATGGTTTTGCGAAATTCTTCCGAAAGCCTTCAAAAATATTTGAAAGTTCCCCCACTCATCCAAGATTTACTGAATCCGCAAGAGAACGCACTTCATTGCCGTTTACCCACGCGCAATCATGTGTCAGAATCACTGATTAAGCGCGACGCAAGCATAATGGAAGCATTGTGGGAAATCTGTGGAACGGAAGCATAATGCTTCCATATAGGAAGCATAATGTAATTCTTAGTGGCTGTGGAAGAATTATGGGACGAATATGGATGGAATGAAAACGGGATGAATATGCTTCCGGTGTTTGCGAGCCGTGGAACAAATATGGATGGAATATGGATAAAATAATCATATGTCAATAAACATTATACAATTGGCGTCTGGACGGCAGACCAAGACAATTTCTAGAAAAATCAATACAAAAAACTTATGCTATCATATAAACAATGAAAATTTGAAAATTACATGATACACAACATACGAAATTTAGCTTCTACCATTTAATGACTTATGCTACTCAGATTTATGTTAATTCAGTCAACTGTTCCTCACTTTGTTTAAAGATTGCCAACTACAATTTAGTCGTATTAATATATTTTTGCCGGTTTTTCTGAAATTGGCATCGCAAACTACTCACAATTTGCTCCAAACTGGTAGCAGACGCGCGTAGAAGAGGCGTGCCGCAGCATTGCAAAACCGTGCGCCGCTTTGCACAATGCGGCCACGCCTCACATTTTCGAAATTCGTTTTCAAAATTTTTGTCCTTTTGCTTTTTCTCAATGAATTTTCAAGATTTTTTGTGTTTTTTTTTTGTCAAAAATTAAAGAATTTTTTTCAAAATTAAAGGAAAAATGTTTTTAAAAAATAAAGGAAAAATTTTCATGTTTATCATCAAAATCGAAACCAAAAATAAATTGATAGCATTCGAAAATTTTAAAATCGATACGATGTTTTCAAATCGTTTCCGACACTTTTAAAATCGAATTTAAATATTTTCTCAATCGAATTGTGTTTAATTTCTCATCGAATCCGTTTTATTTTTATTTACTTTAACATATTTTTTATTATCGCTCGCTTTTTTCTTTTAATAAAACATAATGTTTTGAAATTTTTTACAGATGAAGACAAGATCGAGAGTGTTGTCAGATATAACTGAAACTGCTCTAGAAGTCAATAACAAAGAACCAGAAGTCCCTAACATGGAACCAAATTCGCTCGACACTTCAGATCCAGATAGTCCAATTTACTCGCCAACTCAGCAAAAAAATTTTTCTCCACAGTCCTCACAAACAACAAAATCAACGCCAATTCCTAAACCTTCGTACGCGCAATTTGTAAGTTGTTATCATCAAAAATTGGCCTGTTCGACTCCAGAAATGGTTTCAATTATAAAAATATGCGCAATGAAGTCTTTATAAAGTACTTCCTAAGTTTAAAGCTTGTTGATTATTTGGTTCCAATCAGGGCTGTGCGGCAATGGAATTGCCGATTGCCGAAATTGCCGGTTTTTCAAATTGCCGAAGAAAATTTCGATCGGTAATTTGCCATTAGCCGAATCGCCGAAATTTCCGATTGCCGTACAGCCTTCGTACCAATATCATTCAGTGGCATTTATCTTTTTAAGTGGGGCTCTAGTACAGAAGTCGCCAGACGCCGACTATATAAAGATCCTATACTTTATTGCAAATATCTATATTACAGATGTTCTTATCCATGGCTTTGGGCAACAACCGACAAATGACTTCAAAGCGAAAGCATTACGCATGGTTCGAGAAGTCATGGATAATCTTCTGTAAGATTTTGAACTATGACTATTAATTTATTTACTTGATTAAGCGATAGAATGCGCCAACGACTTCAAAGGAAATTTGGTGTAGCGCCGGAAGCGCTCGCGGCGCAATTAAGGAAGCTGCTTGATTCTACCAGCAACCCTCAGATGTAAGTATTCATATGTCTTTGAAATTTTAACCAAAATGCCTTTTTGCTTCAAATTTTGGAGTTGTTCTTTCTTCCGCCAATTCACTTTTTATTTTGTGCACTAAAGGGTTTCCAAAAATGCAATAAAAATAAATTATTTTTATTTTTAAGAAAATTATTGATGTAAAAAAACTGATTGTATTTTCTCGAAAAATTTAGTTTACGTAACAATGGTTTACAAGTTTTTCAAATTAATAGGCCCATTATAATCGAAGTGTAGCGACTAGGAAAAGTGGAGAAAAGGTAAAAATTCGATAACGGTTTCTTTCTACAAGCGTATATTTGCGAAAAAAGGATAGGTTAAATGTGCATTAGGACTTTTGCCTAATTTCTTAGCAATAGTTGTTGTTTTTAAAAATATCATAACACGGCTTTTTAACCAAGTGTGAACGATATGAATTCTACTTATTACAGCGTCCCGCTCGATGTCAGTACTGACAATGATTCGAATAGTTCGGCAGTTGCCAGTAACTAATGGTTTGATTATATCTTAATTGAAATTCATTTCATTGTTGTTTTTTTTTTATTTTAAATTAAATAAATGTGTTAATATGAAATAAATTTTGAATACAGCAATCAAATTGTTTTCTTATTTTCCCATATGGAAGGCATACGGCTCATTCCATATACGAAACACGCGGTTCCGCAAAAAAATGCTTCCATTATGCTTCCATATAACTTGCATATAAGATTCCTATGATATCCACAGCCGTTCCACTATGCTTCCATTGTGCCTATGCCGCCGTTTATCTGTGATGGCGCAGTGGATAGCTTTCGCGCTTGAAGACAGAAAGTGGTGGTTTTGGATCCGCCTACCACTGCATTTAATTTTGCAGTCGTGCTTTTCAGGATTTACACTAAACCAATTGTTTTATGACATCACAGGTGTGCTACTAATATTTCTAACTACCACATAGTCAAGTTTCACTTGTGCAATTTTTATTTACACAAACGATTTCATTTTCACCTTTTTCTGAAAATTGCAACCTCGTCGATTTCAAGGAAACTTGGAATATATATTCGAGATATTTTCAAACATTTGCCGGTGGGATTTGTGATTAATGCTATTTTGAATGGCTTATGGTATTTAATGTTCGCTATAATAGAAAAACTCTGATGATGAGCCACATTTTTCCGATCAGAGTTCAATTTTTCATTTTTATTCTACATTTTTTTAATGTCTAGTCGATTCTTATTAAAGAATTATAAAAAAAAAAACTGTCTAGAAATCGGGAAAATTTCGAAATTTATCGGGAGTTAAATATAGAAAATAATTATCGCTACAGTAATTTGATTAAAGGCGCAAGTAATATATACAGATGGGTCTCAAAGCGATAAAATGATTACGGCATTTTTTTTCCATAGATTTTTCAATATTTTATAGTAATTTTTCGGTCATTAGTCCGTAAGTTTCTTATTTTTTATAAATGAATGCCTTATATTGAATTATTCTAATGATATATGCTGCAAATTTTGAAGGCAAACCGAAAAATTGTGGGAGTTAGCGTGTTTTTGCGGTCAAAACATTAAAAATCGAAATTGGGGGTTGGAAGTTATTATTATTTTCGTCATTAATTAAATATTTTAATTCAGAAGCGTCGACAATGACAAGCGCTTCGGCTCGTCGATGGAAATTGAAGATTTCGAGCCAATCGATTTGACGCAACGATCGACAAAACTTCAAATCTATCGTGGCGATAATGAAATCACTGAGCAGTTTGTGAAGCTCAACGTTGGCGGCCAACGATTCATGCTCAGAAAGGAGACGATAAGAAAGCGCGGAGTTGGTTGGGCGAGCAATTAATTAATTGGACCTAATCATTCAAATAATTTCTAGGCCGATTGTTGGATCTCGTGAATAAAAGTGTAAGCGAATCGAACGCCGACGCCTACTTTAGCAAATCAAACGAGTTCTATTTCGAGCGACCGCCGTCGCTATTCCATATCGTCTATCAATTCTATTTGAATGGTTGGGGACGACAATAATCGATTCAGAGGCAATGGTTTCCATTTTTAGGCATCATTCATCAACCATCAAATTTGTGTCCGATGGACATCATCGAAGAGCTCGAGTATTGGCAAATCATTCCCGACGACTTTCTGGCGCCGTGCTGTTGCGCACAGCCGCACGAGGCCGACGACGACGAGGAAGTGGAGCGCGAGAAGCCGAATCTGTTCAAATCGGTGCGATTCGGCGAGATTCGCCGAAGCGTTTGGAATGTCATCGAGGAGCCGGCGAGCTCCAACAAAGCCCAACTATTCGCGATTTTGTCGATATTCTTCGTGTTGGTCTCGATTTCCGGCCTCGTTCTCGGCAGTTTGCCGGATTTGCAAATCAAGACAGGTTCGAGCAATTTGTGTGTTTGAATTCCTCATTGACCTGTATTCAGAGCTTGGCGAAATGGAGCCGATGCCCATATTGGGCTACATTGAATATGTGTGCATCGTCTGGTTCACAATTGAATACGGTAAGGGGGGGGGGCTCATCGATCGAAATCGCCAATTCCTTCAGGTCTCAAAATGTTGGTGTCGGCCGAGCGCGGGAAGACCTTCCGCAAACTGTTGAACATCATCGATCTTCTCGCAATTATCCCATTTTTGATTGAGATGCTCCTATTGCTGTTCGGCATCTCCACCGAGCAGTTGAGAGATTTAAAGGTCCGATTCTGGCGTCGAATCATCGCGATTCATTTTTGTTTTGTCTCAGGGCGCATTCCTTGTGATTCGAATTCTCCGAGTGCTACGGGTGATACGCGTCCTCAAACTCGGTCGCTATTCGAGCGGACTTCAAATGTTTGGAAAAACGCTCAAAGTGAAAATAATCAATTTGATTGCGCAAATCCAATTGATTTTCTTGTTTAGGCCTCGTTCCGCCAATTGGGAATGATGGCGATGGTGGTGATGACCGGCGTCATCTTCTTCTCGACACTTGTCTATTTTCTCGAGAAAGATGAGCCGGCTTCCAAGTTCCATTCGATTCCAGCAGCGTGTTGGTGGTAAGCAATTTTACTGAAATCCCTTTCCCCTTATTTATAATTATTTAAAGGTGCATTGTGACGATGACGACTGTCGGTAAGCCATTTTTGTGATAGTGTCGAGATTTGGGCAAATTGTTTTAATTTTTTTAATGAGTGTGTGCTTTTTTTCAGGCTACGGCGACCTCACCCCAGTTACAGTTCGTATGTGCCCATTCTCCCTTATACGGTCTGACTGTTCTTCTTTTTTTTTTGCAGCTGGAAAACTTGTCGCGACCGGAGCCATTGCTTGCGGCGTACTTGTGCTCGCCCTACCGATCACAATCATTGTAAGTCGCCGCTTTTTCATCCAATATCAATTTTCTTTTGATTTTTTTTTCTTCAATCTAGGCGCAAGTTGCGTTCACCTTAAAAGACCGACAGAAAAAAGGCAAACGTGTTTGGTTTTTGAGAGTGTTGAGATTTTTGCTGCTTTTTGCACATCGTTCGGGACGGCGAGAATTGTGCCAAAGTTTTTTTTTTTAAATTTTTATTACAAATTTCATACTCGATTGAATTAAAGGCGCACGAGATACTGCTTTCTCGAATATCTTGTCGCGCTTCTTGAATTTTTGTAAATCTACATTCATTCATGGGGCCACAGTAATTAAATTACGAGTCGCGAGACCCCCATAAGACAATTTATTGTGATGCCTCTTTTTTAATTCAATTTTTTTTTTCATGTTTTCATAAAAATATAAAAAATTGAATAAATCATGTAAAAATAAAATTATTTTTTGGTCAGATTCAATTTTTTAAAACGCTTTCATAAAAATTTATTTAAAAAAACATTGAAAATAAGACGATTGTGTATCATCGGGGTCTCACGAGGAACCATTTTTTTCAATTGTGGTCCAAAAATTTTAAAAAATTTAGATTTTAAAGGCACACGCATCCCTGATGTTGTTAGGCAATGCACTGCGTAGTATTGAATGCAGTTGCTCCTCACAAATCGAACATTCTAGAGAAAAAGATATCCGAGTTCGAGCTTCACCTCGCTCATGTCCAAAACGCCGACGAATAATCGAATTGTCTGGAATTTCAGGTCGACAATTTCATGAATGTCGCCGAAAGCGAGCGTCCGGCGGGTGGCAATCGCTATCGAACGACGACGGCCGCCTATCAAACTCAACTCAATGCCATTTCGCAATTGGAGCCGCTCGCCGAGAAGCTCGAAATCGCTTGACCGGTGTCGCAAATGCTCATTTGATATGATAATCGCGCATAAATCACGCCCAACTCGTTTCATTTGTTTCTCACTTCCAATTCATACGGAAAATCTTGATGCCAACAAATCATCAGGCCGGTGTGCGCCTTTAACCAATTTTTATTCATAGACGCCGTAAAACATTTTTTAGTTGTGCGCCAAAACCGCTGCCAATGGCTTTCTTCTGTTGGCATTTAGCCAATTTTGCGCAGTCGCTTTAATTAGGAGACAATTTATTTTTTTGGAACTACTCGAAATTTAGTAGGCGGTTTTGTCGGGCTTGTTCGACCACATTTGGAACGGCAGCAGGTAATTGTCGGCGGGAAGATGTTCAAGTTTTCTGCAACACGAAACCACGAAAAAAATGTGAGACACATCGAAAATTGTCGATTAGTTACCGAATCGCGCCGGATTTGGGATTTTTGAGAAAGTCGTGAAACGCCTTGTCGTCGAATCCGATCTCGGCCGCCTAGAAGATGTGTCGAATTTGGAAAAAAAAAAACGAAAAATTGAGGCGATTACGATAAGGAACATTTTTTTTCGCGCCCTGGCAAATTTGCCGTCGAATGGGTTTCGAGACGACGTCGCGTAAATCGACACTCATGCTGCGAGACCCAATTTTACCGTAATTAAAGACGCATTGGCACCAACCCTAATCAAAATTCAATATAGTCTATTTCCGCTGTGAGAGATCCAATCGATTATTTCATTTTCTTTGAATACCCGTTTTCATGGGAAATTCTTGATATTCAAAAATTAAAATAAATGAAAATTGAGCCGAAAAAAGCCAGGGCGATTTTTGAGAAAATATGATAGCTTTGAGAATGTTGTATTTTTGGTTATTTTTTTTCCAGACAGCCGCTTTTGTTGGAAATAGACTATACCGTACGTTTTTTTTCGCAATGCAATCACCCCCAATTATTTTTTTTCCCATAGAAAACACCAATATTCACCTGCTCAGCTGTTGCACCATAGTAGATGGCGTCTAATCTCGCCCAGAGGCACGCGCCCATGCACATTGGGCACGGATAGCACGACGTGTAGAGCGTGTGACCGTTGAGATCAAAAGTGCCTAGAAATTCGGGAGATCGGTTTATTGTTCTGAATCAGGCTACTCTACCAAGCTTCTTGCAGGCGTTTCGAATTGCGGTCATCTCGGCGTGCATGGTCGGATCGTTGGTGGCGAGCACCTGAATTCGTCGACGGGCTCTCGTGGCGATTTGCAGAACCAACAAAAAAAAAAGAACGAACCATATTATGACCGGTCGCCACCACCTCATTGTTCTTGTTGACGATGACAGCGCCGAATGGTCCGCCGTCGCCGGCCTCGACACCGCGGCACGCCTCGACAATCGCCGACGCCATGAAATCCTTGCCCGACGACATGTCGCGCCCTGGAAACATTCGGAATTGACAGATTTCGTTCGAGCGCGACGAATAAAATGAAAGAGAAGATCGTTTCGTTCTTTCTTTCTTTCTTTTTTTGCTTCGCCGATAACGCGCACGCTTCGAAAAAATTGATAAGTCGAGAGTTTTTGATGGGCAAAAAGCGATAGGCGACGGGGCGAAATGATAAAAACTGGCGCGCGAAATGCCTCTATATATTGGTAAAGTTGCGTGAAAAAAAAGAGGGCGGCTCGTCCGATTGATAAGGTTCGATAGACGAGAGTAGCACGTGGTCGATTTTTGATTTAACGAGGTGTTTTGTTGATAGGCGGCGAAAAAATTGTTTGGTTACTGTCGACAAGCCATGTCCGCAAACACCATGCCGTAATTGCACACAGATATTTTGGCTTTGTTTTTTTAGCCATAATTTTGAGATTTTCGCGTTTCTCGGAACTCTATTGATTTTATTATAATCGAGCCATTTTAGGAAAAGGTTAAAGTCCATATTCAGGCATTAAAAATAATTCGAATCAAACATTGATAAAACCTTCCGGGTTGAAAATGTTGGCTGAATAAAATAAAAACAATAGAATAAAAGACAGTTTTATTTCGGATGAGTAATTCCGCTGGAAAATTATGGAAATTGGGCGATTTGCATTTATTAGAGTAGAAATAATATGATTTATTGATTTTGGCGTTTATAGAACTGGTTTTTCTGGTATAATACATTGTCGAAATGATCAATTCAAAAAAAAAATAGTATACAGATTAACTGGATTAATCAGAGTTTGGCGTTGGTTTGATTCATCACAATGAGCTGTTTGATGCTCCGCCCTTCCATGGACCTCTTCAGCGCCTCTCGATATTCGGACATGGTGACGCGCTGCATTGGAATGGCGGTGATCGCGCGACGAACGGCGAGCTCCTGAATCTCGCGCACGCACTCCATCCATTCGTCGTGATTCGTCGGATCTCGCGCCCAAATTCCAACGGCGATTCCGCGAACGCGAATATCGTTGAACACCAGCGCCGACGTCGAAAACTCGTGCGCCTTCTTCGACATTCCCCCTTTTGAGATTGTAATTTTTCACAAAAAAAAATTGACATTTTGATACCATAAGTTACACATGTTCCACCTCGTCCAAGTGTTGAGCTGATTTGAAGCACCGATTTGCCTCCGACACCATTCAATGCCAATTTCGGGGCGATTTTAAGCGATTTGACAAACTTTAAAAAAAACGGATTGCGAAATTTTTCAATGATCTTACCTTTCTCCCATTCGCTGCAAATTCCTCTTCAGTGAACACATGATCGGCCCCGATCTTCCAGAGGTCCGTCTTCAAATTGGTGATGTCGGGTCGATCTCGAACAATATTAATGGATTTATAGCCAAATTCTGGAAGAATGCGTTCAACTAGGCGTTTCATTTTTGTTCTGAATTGAATTTCCCACCTTTGCACAACTGGATTACGGACCGTCCGACACCGGAGTTGGCCGAATTTTGAATGACATAGTCGCCTTTATTGAGCTTAACGTACTTTTTGAGCATCACCCATGCTGTTGGCGGATTGATCATTAGGGTCGCGGCGAGATCCAATGGGATTCGCGAATCGAGTTTGATGAGCTCCGCGTCGTCGATAATCCCGTATTCGCTCCAAAACGGCGTATTCATTGAGAAGATCGTCACATGATCGCCGGGTTTGAAGCGGCTCTCGGGTCCCGCCTGGAAAATTTGCGTGAATTCATTGGGCGCAATACGCTGAACGGTACCGCAACGACTCTGCCGACGCCTTCACTTCCGCCGATCACCGGCGGATTCTCGCGAATCGCGTAGTTTCCTTGGATTCTGTAGATTTGTTGAGAGAATGAGAGGTGGCGTCTCGAAGCGAAAATTACCGATTGATGTCCAATGGGTTTATTGGTGACGCCAACCATTCGATGAGAACCTCATTCCCAACGGGCTTCGTTTTCACATCAATCGTTGTCAACTCAAGAACCTGAAACAAACGGGTGGAATTTTTCAGCAATTTCGATTTTTTTCACCTTTCTTGGGTCTCCGAACGATTTATAAATCAGCGCTTTTGCTTTTTGCATAGCTAAGATTGGAAATATATGGAATTAAAATGGGTAAGAGTGACCTATGGCGAATGTTTTCCATTGATAATCACCAAATAGGCTACATTGTATCTTGTGTGACACACCGTACAATAAGGTAATCGTAATTGAGATATTTTATATTTTAAATGCAAGGAATTGAGAAAAGATTTCGGTTAAAAAAATAGATTTAATAAAAATATTATAAACAAAATTTTTAAAAAATTATTTTAGAAAATTTTGAAAAATTCCACTTACCCACTTGTCAGTGCATTTTTGCAGAACATTGCTTCTTTTTTCTGCGGTTCTGAAAAGGGTTTTTTTTATTTTATGGGAGCAATGACGAGAAAACGACGACTTTTGAGGAATTAGAACGGCAAAAAATCATTTTTCACATTGAATAGACCTATTTGATGACTTTTTGCCGTTTCGACTAGTTAGAGTGAATAAAAATGGCGAGAATAGACGGAAAACGTTTAGAAAATGTTTAAATTTTCGCAAATTTAGGTCAAAGTGACTATTTCCTTAAAAAAACTGTTATTTTAATGATTTTTATACTAATTTTAACGTAGTTTCTTTTTATTTTACAAATTATTTTATTCCCGCCTATTTTTAAAAATATTTTTCCCCTAATCAAGGGCCATCAAAATCTGAAAATCGCAAAAACTTGAAGCGCTCGAAATTGAAATTATGCCTAACAAATTCGTGTAATATGGTGTATTGTGGCCGCAAACACGCCGACGCCAAGATGCGGTCGAGTTCATTTGGGATTTCAAAATCCGTTTTCAGTTCTTCGCGAATTTTCCTCTCATTGCTTTGGCAACGTTTCCTCTTTCGAATTTCAGCGAATCAAGCGCCAAACTCAAAAAAAAAAACAAAAGAAGAAACGATTGACTAAATCGCGGGCGAGTGTCGCAAAATCCGGCGCCTTGTTGTAATTCCTCTCATCGCTCATTTTTTTTTGCCGTGTGTTTGTGTTTTTTGCCGTGAAAAAAAAAAACATCCGGCTTTCGCATCGCATGCCAATAATTCAACTGATGGGCGCACAATTGCACTAATTAACCAATTAACGGCGAATCGCTCAATTTTAGGGAAAACTCAAATTGTCAGCATTTTGTTTTCGCTGCGTCTCACCGCTCGCGGATTATGCATGGAGCACGCCATGCACCTGGATTATATTATATCCAACTATCAACATCAGGTCGCAAACAATTATTATTCTTATTTTTATTTTTTAGGCGTCCACCCGTTCTCACCCATTATTTTTTTTCTGCTCGTATCACCCCAAAATCGAATGATTATTGTTTTTGCGATGTGCAGGTGTTTCCGCCGCCGCCGCCGACTACCCATTCCTCAAAAAAGTGCAATATTTAGAAATTCAATGTGTTAAAGCTCAACCGCATTTCGAAAATTATACGAATTTGTTGGCAGCCGGTTGGCAGCAAAATTTCCCGTTTTTTTGCGAGAGAAAGAGAGGAGCGTGAATGCACGCTATTACAGCTCGTTGTTTGATTTTGAGAAAAAAAGTTTCGAAATTTGGTGAAGATGCAATGTGCCTTTAAATTGATTAAAATGTGCTCTTCTTGGTCAATTCTCTTGGTCTCGCCAATAATTTTCAAAACTATCTTAATTGCTTTGATTATCAAAAAAAAAAAACTAAAATTCGTTTTTACGAGTTTCGGAAAAATACGGTAATCAAAGACTCACGCGTGTTGCTTTTTTATTTCGATTTTTCAAGATGCTAAAAAGCAAATTAGGGCTATCAGAATCGATCGCTTCGAGACTCGCTCCCCATAAGTGTGCGCCTTTAATTACCGTATCCGAAGGATATTTTCGCATTTCGAAATGTCTTCGCTGGTTTCGTGTTTTTCAATTATTTTCAATTTACTTTGGTTCGATTATTTAGAAATTCTATGAGAATTGTAAAAAAATCGATCCAATGCAGAAATAAAATGAAAAAAGAGGAAATTTTCAATGCAGAAAAGACAAAATAATTTTTCTTAATTTTTTTCATTTTCTCCATTGTCTAAAAGTGATTATTTTTAATTAATGGAGCATCATCGCGTTTAGTAACGAGCTCATTAAGCAGGTGCACTCGGACCCCCCCTCCCCCCTCCGATCCCCGTCCGGATTAAGCTTTTCATTTTCGAGTTTCGGTCCAGGTGGCTAAACGCGAACCGACGCCATCAGCCATAATTAGCGACGAGAGAAGGGGTGGTGGCGTTTGTGTGTCATATGATATTCGCCATAATTTAACGCCCAAATACGGGACGTTTTGTGAGCTCGACCAGCGGCAAAATCAAGTGCGAATGCAAAATTTATGAGAGTAATTAATCTCGTCGAAAACCCGAGAAAAAAACCCCTCCGAACTCATCCATGCGCTTTTCATCTTCACCGGAGGAAAGCGCCTCGTTTTCGTTATTGATTTCGACAATTTTCATCTTATGTCTATGTATGTGCGTGTGTTTTGTGTGTTTTTATTATTTTTTTCTCGGTTTTCTTCCTCATTACTCTTTTGTTTCATATTTGCAGCCGGGAGTTTTGCCTCTCCGTTCGTCCTTGGGCCATCTTTTAATGAGCAAAAGTGTTTCGCGGAAATCGGCACATTTCGAGCAGCGCGAGCAGAATAGGGAGCTGAGCAACACGACCGGCAGCAGTGAGACGTCGAACGAAAGTGCATACGAGACTGAAGTTGTGAGTTTTTGTTGTTGTTGTTGGTGGTGGTGGTGGTTTTCGCCTGAAATTGAGGATTAATTTTTGAGACAGTTGTGGATTTACGAAGCCGTCCATATCCTTTTAAAATTTCCTATAATAGTCACAGACGGATAATTTGCCGTCTTGGGTCTCATATGGAAAAATCATTTTGCTCATTAATGTGAAAGGGCCTCATTTTTTCTGATGAATTTTTAAGAACTTTGCAGTTTTTTAAGGGTCCACTGACGAAGCATAAGCACATTCTATTTTACGGCGGCCAATTAATTGAAAGCCCGTGCAATTCATTTTTTTTTTCAAATTCGTCCGTCTACCATAATATATATATTTATTGCGTCTCGCAACGAATGAATGAGGTGTAGCACTTTTTTTCCGAAGAATTTCCAATTTGTCTCGCCACGAAGCGCATTTCTATTTAACACTAGAACGGTGTGGCAAAGATTTTTTTCCTCAAAAAAAAAGGAAAAAATTTGAGGAACAATTTTGGAGAAATTCTGGATTTTGAATCGAGTACTTCATAATTTCGATATTTTCTTGTCAATCTAGAAATTTCCAACATGTCCTGCAACGATATTCAAACTAGCAAAATCAAAATTTCACCAATTTTGGCAATTCTGAGAGTGATCTAAAAAATCCCTAATTAGAAAATTTGCAGGTTGTTAGAATCTGATTGAAGGGGGATTGTAATCCGTTTGGTCTAAGCAGCAGAGAAGCAGAAAATTGGCAATTTTAGAGATAATTGGGGCACAATTAGCCCTAATTATAGACAATTGAAATTGCAGATTCAGTTTTTTTCCGGAAACCACATGGTTCTTATTGATTTTCTTCAACAAAAAATTGCATTTCGAAAAGACGTGAAAAATATTTTTATTAAATTCTCCCTGTGTTTTTTTCTTGTCAACTTTTGGCCTTTAATCGAGATTTCCCTGTTTTTATCAATGCCATTTCGAAATGATAAGATATCTCAAGGCGAAATTCCGAATTTGGTTCGGGGTTTTTGAGGAGAAGAAATTGCAATATATTTAATTAAATGAAACGTTTCTTTTTTTTTTCGCACCTGCTGCTTCGGCTTTTCCAATTCGCAACGTCGTGTTTCTTTGATCTTGAGCTTTTAGTAGTCTGGGGATTGTGCTCATTAACTATACTAATGCTTGAATGCGGCGAACTAATCCAACAACCGTATTCTTGACGAGACCATTCGCGATTTCGAAATGGCTGCGCCTTTAAACCGATTCGTTTTAGTATCATTTCGTTGAAATATTATCCGTCGTGTTTTTTCTCCCACCAAAATGTCAAACTCGTTTTGCAGGAATCGGACTTGATCACCCGACGACTTCTTGAGCAGCCATTATCGGACTTTGAGCAGATTCTCAAAACCGCATCGAATTTGAAAGTATTGATGATTTTATTGAATTTTCGCCATTTCCAACATTTTCCCTAGGCGCCTAGAAAAGAGGAGAAGAAATCGACGAGCAAGATCATCATGCAGATTTTGGGAAGCGACAAGAATGTGAAACGACCGTAAGAGACCGTTTTTGATAGAATTTCAAAATGTTTTCATTCTTCAGGGTTTCGTATGAGATGGAAATGGATTATATCGATGAGGGAGCGTGAGTTTCTTCTTCTTTTGTCAAACATTCTTTTTTTTTTGTTGCAGATCTGACGAGAGCAGCCCGAAACGGCAGAATGCGCCGACGCGCGGCAATCCCGTGCAATTTGTGCCCGAAATTGGGCAGGGCGATTATCGCGAAACGCAAAAGTATCTTGAGCTCGAGTGCGGCGGACGCGGAATTCAGAAGAATGTGTCTTGCGATGAGGTTTGGTTCTTGAAGCGATTATTCAAAAAAAAATCTGAAATTGCGTCTTTGAACAATTTCAGCCAGTTAACCAATATCATCGTTTATTGACGAATCGAACGAAAATTAGGGGTGCGCCTTTAAATTAGCTTCTCGATTTTTTTTTTGGAAACACATTGAATAACATGATTTTTGAAATTCGCCACACTTTGAATTGAGAATTCCATTAAATCATTGTTCTTTTGGGAAATGTGGACGTTTGAAAATTTTCAATGGAAATTTGTGTGCATTTATTGCAGTCTGAACAAATGCGCTTCATGTCGTCGAGTCAGAATCTCAAAGATACCGAGACGATTCTTTCGCCAGGTTTGAATATGATTTTTCGCTAACGATGACGAAACACATTATTGAATTCAGAAGCGAACGGGATGTTCACGTCGCTGAAGAAGCCGCCGGTTGAGAATGGTTTGGTGCAGAGGAATCCGGTGCTCAAATACGACACCTATGTGAAGCCGTTGCTCGATGTACGTCATTTTGGGGTGAACATTTTCGTCTTTTTTTTTGGGAGAAGCTCAAAAATTAGCGTTTTTAATGGACCTGTTCATGAACTTCAAAAGAAATGCATTTTTTTAAATTAGTAACTTTATGAGTTGGCCCATGAGGAATTTTTTTCGTTTTTTTTTGGTATTTGCTAAAGAATTTTGGACTAGACTGGATTGGATTGGATTGGACCCCAATGGTTTTGGTGCGATATTAAAGGGGCATGAGGTTACTGTAGTTTAGCGATGATATTGTGCCGAAAATTGACGTCATTTTCGCCTGGTTTTTTTCCGTTGACTGATTCAATTAAATTTCGCATTTTTTTTTGAAATTCTCCTGACATTTCACATGATGTGCGAAATTGAGGTTGATTTTTTTCTCGTCGCCCGCCACTTTTGAAAAGTGTTTATTTTGAGCCAGTCGTCCTGTCGTTTGTCGTTTCGCGATTGAATCTGAATATTGGAGAAGATTCTGATTTGACTTTAAATATGCGCCTTTAAACTGCGAACCGTGTCTGATTTTTTCTTGTTGATTATCAGAAGTCTATTCCACGATGTCGATTAAAGATTTGATGGTGGAAATCGTGGGTTGAACAATTTGGATGGAATTTTTGAGGTTTTAACCGAGAAATTCAAGATTTTTATCAATTTTTTCTTTGCGAGATTTTATACATTTGAAATGACGGATTTTTGAATTCTGAAATTATGGGTTTAGGCCGCACCTTAAAAATTGGGCATCAATGATCGCTAATTACTATCCATAATTGGTCATTCGGATATATGTTTTTTTTTTCGGGCGGCGTGTTAAAGAGTGTCAATGTCAATTAAACGATTTGATTGGATGAGATGATGAATGGTGAGAATGGTCTTGAAGCGAATATGGCCATTTGTGGATGGGCGGCGTTTCGAGACCCGAGCGAGAGAGAGAGAGAGAGAAAGATAGTTGACACCCGCACAAATTAGTTGGGTTAGGTAATAATATTGACATTGAGAAGAGATTTCGTCGCATCATCATCTTCTTCTTCTTCTTCTTCTTCTCTTCGATTCCGTTGGATGGTTTTTTTTTGTTCCCAACTGTCTATGTACGTGTGTGTGTGTGTGTGTTGATGAACTGAAACGAGACTGTAGAGATGACATGGAGAGACGGCGCGAGAAACGCGCACAAAACCCCCCCTGCCTGTCGAATCGGGCCCCTCTCTCGTCACTCCGACCCCTAGTTGGGCATTATTGTAGATTTTTATATTAATATTCAATATATTATTATTATTATTATTATTATTATTATTATTATTATTATTATTATTATTATTATTATTATTATTATGTCTTGTATATATTTTTTTGTTATCAGTTGTTGGTGTCACACTCACTTTTGATATCAAGGTTCCGTCCCATCCAATTAATTTTTTTTTCTCGCCGGCCGCCTCTGAAATGTTCACTCATTCATTGCGCCTTTAAATTTTGTTCGCCTTTGATTACTGTAGTTTTTTTTTCTAGAAATATTTCTTTGAAGTCCTTTAAATTTCACATATTTCGTTGTATTCCACACGAGACCGTTGTCAGCGAAAAAACTCGCGTAACTTTTACTAATTTCGTGTTAAAAATCTCAACAACAACAAAAAAATTGATGCTCCTTGAAACTTGTCCAGAAATAGACGAGTTTCTCACCCCCTATAATTTTTGCGTTTTTAATTGGCATTATCATGTTTTCGTGGAATTTGCACTAATTATAGGGGGGGGGGAGAGGTATTCGAATTACTCATACTTGGAAAATTGGCATTAATTTCGAGTTTTGTGTTGGTTGTTTGAGTTTTTGTTGGAGAGAAATGTCGAATAATCGCTTCATTATTTCATTTTTCCCCCGTTTTTTTTTCTGGGGTTCTTTTTACGTTGAGAAGGCGACTTATTTTGTAGCTTTAAAAACTTGAGAATTGGAGTTTTTTTGTGTTTTGAAGGTTACGGTAGATTATGTCTCCTTTTCATTTCTTTCTAATGGATTGTCGCCAAAATTTGCTGATGGACGGCCGATAATTAAAATGATATCAGTGTTTATTGAACGACGTGAAAAACAAATTTGGGATTTGCACTTTTTTGTTTTGTGGTCAGAAAGAAGCTTTCGAAAATTTTATTCTGCTCGCAATTTGGAAAAATTGCGGGTTTTCTGAAGTTTCTAATTCATATTTGTCGGGAAAAAAATTTAAATTGGATTTTTTTTTTACGTTTTGAAATGATTAACGAAAATAACGGCGCGGAACATTGTTTTTTTTTTGTTGATTCAAAATTGCGAAATTTTGTGTTGATCATTGCCAACAATTTTAATGGGTTTTCTTGGGGAGGCAATTTGTTTCGTTAATAAGTTGCGATAATCGTATTGAATTGGCCCCGCTATAATAATAATGACAATAGTAATAATTGCCTGAAATTTATATGCATCGAAATTAATTGGTCAAAATTTTGGGCGTGAAATTGTTCGGCGTTCGCAAAATTGATCTTCTCGTTTTGTCGATGAGAAAATTGCGCCTTTTTTTTGTGTTGAAATTGTGAAAATGCTTATCGATTCCCAATTCGCTTCATCTTCGTCGTCGTTTTCTCAATTTTTCTTTGCATCGCTTTTTTTTGGACGCGTTTTTTCTTTCTCGGAAATTTCACCAAATTTGAAATGGCTATTGATTTTTAATGATTAGTGGCATGATAAGACGCACAAAATGCACAATGTCGTATTTTTGTTTCTTCTTTTTTTTTTCTCGAATCACATCCATTTATGCGGGTTTTTTTCCGCTTCGTTTCTTCCTTCCTTCATTTTATTTATTCTCTCCATTGATTCGCTTTTTTTTTGAAATGATGATTTGGTGTTTGGGTATGTCGCTGACGATTCTCACCCCACCATCGTCTGGCGAGGAATCGTTCAATGAGGAAATTGCCAATGAGGCGGAGGTTCGCCGACGCGAGGAGATCATGGTGAAAAAGTTGTATTTGATGGCCGGCGGAACGCCCGTCATTTTCTCGCCGGTGAGATATTATAAATTTTATATTGTTGCTTTTTTCCCCCTTCAATGCAATTTCGAGCTATATAGATGAGAGAGTTGAGGGACCATCATATACAAAAAACGGATCAGTTTTGGGTGATGATCAGCGTTCTTAACAGAAGGAGTGGGGTCCTTAAAGCATGGGTCATGTTTATTGCCAACAAAATGAATTGTTTGATAGTTTCAAGGTGCTAATCACACTGGGTTTTTCTTTTATTACGGACCATTTTTTGTCTTTTCTGCGAGATATCAAATTTTATATTTAAACCGTGCTAGTGAGATATTTCTTTTTTTTTCACTACTACAGTACGACTTCTACTTTTTACAGGTCTTGATATTGAAATTGTTGAGATTGTAAAATAATTGGATTTTGGCTTTTTTAAAGAGAATCGTTGGAAGTGTTCTCAAAACGAATTGGAAGCGGCGTGGCTGGATTTTGGTCATTTCGATTAGGCAGGATATCTTTTGAAATTTTAGTTTTTGCTTTAAACATTAATGGTCCTATGCAAATTTTGAGGAAAAAAACTCAATAAGCTAGTTTTTGCGCATTATACACTGGGTTTTTAGTGTTTAAACAGGTTTTTTTTGGCAAATATGCTTAGTAGCCATAAATGTTTGGTGTAGGTGGGTAGTAGATGGATTTTGAAATTCCCACGGATTCGTTAGAGCGGGTTTTTGTAAGATTTCAATTTGAAAAAAATTTTTGATAGGGTTCGTTTATTACCGGTTTTGGAATCGAAAAAATTTGGCCGACGAAAATGAGACCGATTGTTCATCTTGTCGCATTCGAAAACTCGATAATGAGACCGAAAACGGTTTTACTCGGTGTTGATAGCAAAATCAGACCCCTCCCCCCCCACTATGCGTTCCGAATTTCTGGCGAATCGAGATTGTCATCCGTGTTTTGTGAATATCGCCAAATGTTTTTTTTTGTTGGTGGTGCGGAATTTTGGATTTACGCCAATCGTCGAATTTTCGAATCATCGGCAGAATGGAAATTTTGTATCAAGAGGTGTTGCGCGCCGCAATTTTTTTGGGCCCCCTATTGAATTTGGATGGGCTTTGTAGTCGCCGCGACGCTCGGCGGCTCGTATAGCGAACGGTGGGCGGAGCGTCCGACATTGAGACATGAGCTGGTGTGACTGACCTCGACGAGATATGAATTTTGCGGGTGTGCGCGGTTTGCGTATGAATTTTTTTGTCTCATTTTGCTGTTTCGTCCGCCCTTCTCCTCGCCGGCAGTCGTCGTCGCCGTCTTCGTCGCAGACTGCCCGCCCGCCCGCCCGACCGCCTTGGCTATCGTGACCCGCGCCGACCGCCTTATTATCAATACAATTCGGCGCCGCGTTTTTCTTGACAATTATTTTTGTTTCGATTTTCCCCGCCGCACTTTTACAGTTGTTGCGTTCTCGTTTTGTAGAAGAAGTCGAAGGCGCGTTGCGAATGAGTCGAGCCGCCGAAGGGGCTGGGCGTATCATCGCATTTGGTTTTGGCCGCGTCTTTTTTTCCGTTCTTTTGCATTGTTGTTGATTGGGAACACCCCAATTGGACATGGAAATTGATTGGCTTCTCGCTGGCGGTTTGGCTTTTGTGGTGATGCTCACGGTGATATTCGTCAAGGATTCGATGACGCGCGCGGTGACGGCGCGGCCGGAAGCGATTGAGAATGAGGTTGGTGTTCGTTTTTCTTTGAATGGCTAGGAATGATTTGATTGTGTATCAGCTGCGGACAAGTTTCCTGGCTGATAACAATCAAAATTGATTGCGGATAGTTCGATTCGTTTCGTTTTTATTTTTTTCTTGAAATTCTTCACTGTCTCTGTCCTTTCTCTATTCCTCCTACGAATTTGTGTGATTTTGGAGAGAGGAGAGGATTGATAGTGATTTGGGCTCCCACTGATGTTGGTGGTTTTGACGCGTTGGAGTTGAATGCGATTTGTGAACAAAATTTGGTTGATTGATTCTTTTAACTGAAAATTGGAAGTTCGCTTTTTTTCTTTCAAAATTCTCGCCGGTGTTTTTTTTTTGCGAGCATCAGCAATTGTGGCAAACCTTTTGTTTGGAATTTTATTGAAAATGTGCAATTTTTGGAATTAATTGAGTCGCTTCGGACGAATTGCGGCGGGAAATGTTTGCTGAAAATATTTGAGGGATGGCGGGGGAGAGCTTCGAAAAAATATTCGGCCTCATGAAAAGTTGTAAACGTGAGAATGATTGGATAGATATTTGTTTTTTGAGATTAATTTTTTTACGAAAAAAAAAGTGAAACTGGTTTTTTGTTTCCGCAAAATTGTAATTTGATTCTTTTGGTTGCGGTCTTGAAGCGATTTGGTTATTGTAATTAGTGCGAGAGGGGAGCTTCAAATGGTCCGTGTCCAGTCCATCAGCGTTACCAGGTGAGAGTCATGTTGAACTGAAACGGTCTTAGAAAAAAATTTAAAGGCGCGTTATGCTCTTTTAAATGAGCCACCGTAGATAATTGGAGAGCACGAAATTTGATTAAATGCCCGCCCAAATTTTTTGTGAGAGATTATTTTTTATTGTATTTTTCTTTTTTTTTCAGTTCAATCAGAATCAGAGTGTGAAGGAGAAGGCGCCGATGCCATTGCCGGAGGTTGGTTTTTTGAAAATTTTGCGAACAAAAAAATGTCTCGAATCATTTCGAGACGTTATCAATCGATTTTGGCCCCATTATCGACGAGTGTAATTTATTTCGTTTTTTTTGTGGCGGAAATGACGAGAAATTTGATTTCGACTATTTGAATGAAGCTAATCAATTTTCAGGCGAAACAACAGCGAAAACTCAAGAAGCAGAACAAAAACGTTGTTGCCACCTACACCACGACCACGAACGGTGAGTCTGCGGAAATTTTCCATTTTTTTTTTTCGATTTTTTAAAGGCGCATAGACTTGTCCAGGTGTATCTATTCTCCTCATTTGATTTTTTTCCCACCAACCAACACCTGCTTAATGGGATGGGGCGATTTTTTTTTGTTGTTTGGGTTGAATCATTCCGTGTTTTTATGGTAGACGAAAGGTTCCCATTGAGATGTCGTTGTGAAATTGAGGATTATACAGGGAGGCGTGTTTTTTTTTTTAAATTTTTGAACCTCGAAAATTGAAGAATAAAAAAATTTTTAGCTAAATTAAGATTGGCTTTATGGTCCCTATTTGAAAACTAATTTGATAGCTGTTTTAAAGGTGAAAATTTGGAAATATTTGTTCGCACTATACAGATTTTTGTTTCGAGAAAAAACGGGTTTAATATCAATTTTAAGAAAACACAATTTTTAACCAATTAAAAAATTTTTTTTCCTCAAAATGAGTAATCGTTTTATTTTCGAACAAATCAAAATTTTTGCATAGCGATTTGACGGTTTTTCAAAACGAGAATTTTTTTTTCAAAGTGTGCTGATTTATTTACAAACGGAAATTGTTTTGTGCCGGCCAATCTTTGTCGTTTTTTTGGTCCCTCAGGCATTGGAATTTTGGATTTTTTCATGAAAATCTACTCAATTTTTTTCGCGTCGTTTTGATTTATTGCAATCACAAAAGAAAATTGTGAGCTTCGTGTGCCGAGTTCTCATTGAACAAATCGAAATTTAAATTTGCTGCTGGTGGCGAGAAACAAAATGCGATGCTTCACAATTTTATTTTTGAACTTTTAAGTCAGCTTCTTCCGTAGTCACTAGCGATTTTCGAGATTTTCCACATTTAAAAAAACCGAAAAATATTTTTTGTTTTAGTGATCTGAAAAATGAGTTGAGCCCGAGTTATGATGGACCGAAATTTGATTATTCTCCATTCATAAACGTCGGGAAAAAGAGAAAGGCGACTGGCAACTCCCCGCCCTTTTCGCTCGTCCCTAAAAAGGGCATGCGGATGTTGTTGTTGATGATGATGATGATGATGATGATGATGAGTTTCAACAACAAAGCACAACGCGACTGACTCGAGTTGGCCCGATACAATGTCGAATTGAATTGAATAGGCGTGTATGAATATATAATACATACGCATCGCATCATAGAGAGACGCTGGCGAGCGCGCGATACGGTTTTTGGTGGTTATGGTGTTGGTTGGTGTCGTCGGTGGTGTCCGGAAATCGTCGCGCGATTGCCACTCGCCTCGCGTCGTCGTCGTCGCATTTATGGCGGAGACGCAGGCATGAATCGGATAAGCGAGTTAGCCGGTGGTGGTGGCCGGCGGTTTCGGCCGGCTGGTGGCCGTCGTCCAAATATGGCCACAAAAAAAAGAGAGTGTCGCGCTCGTCTTCGTCTACATCTCCTCCTCTCGTCGTCGTCGTTGTTTTTTTTTTCCGCGACACGCGACGCGACATGGTTTCCATTGCCTCGTCGTCGTCGTCCTCCTCCTCCTCGATTCATCTAGCAATCCTCAACCGAAATTTGTTGGCTGCAAGATTTGTTTATTGTTTATGATTAGACCGATATTTGTTTACTATTATTAGATAGTTGATGATTCATTGTTGGACTCGTCGTGAGCTTGTGCCCGATTTTTTTTGTTGGTGGTGGTTTTTGCGCGTCGGGTGCCGTGCGCGAGAGCGAGCGAGCGAGCGAGCGCGCACTCGCTCGCACTCGTCTCGAGCTCATTGTGGTTGTTCTTACTCGCACACACAGACACACACACACACACACATTGAAAGAAACTAAGACGATTCGAATTAAAATTTTGTTGATTTGGATTTTTTTCCTCTCTTCCTCTCTCTCTCTCTCTCTCTCTCTCGTAATGTATAGAAAAGCTCATTTATTTTTTTCTATGATACTTTCCATTTTTTGTTATGGTTTATTGCGAAATTTTCATGAATTTTGGATTCACACTCCGTTTTTTTGTTGAGAATTGCCTATTCGCCCAACTGAAATTGTCATTTTCACATCACCTCGCGATTTTTGAAGAATTTGGAATATTTTTTTGGAAATATTCATCGAGTTTTTGTGAAATTTGAATTTTAGGCGAATTGTTGCGACAAATTTCCAATTTTTTTCATTATAAGTTGCGGTTTTTTCTCGATTTTTTTTTCATTTTAAATTGTTGAATTTAGCTTAATCTTAAAATTTCATTTTCTTAATTAAAACGTACGCGCTCAGATTTATTTTTTCGTTTTCTCTCTCTCTCTCTCTCACTCTTCTCTTGTGTTTTGTTGTCGAAAAAACTAGTGCGGCTTCATCCGTTTTTGGATTTCATTATTTTTTTTTGCCCCACCAATTTTGTTGCCTGCGTCATTCTTTTTTGTTGCCAGTTGGAAACATTGAAATTAAATTTGATGAACCCGGCCGAGCATTCGTTTTTTTTTTTTAATAATTTTGATTGTCGTCATTTTTCTGCACAACGCGTCCTTAAATTTGAGATACTGTAACAAGAAAATTGATTTTTTTTTAAATTTTTCGCTGCAGCCACAAAAACTGAAATTAGTGTGGATTTTTGTATTTATAGTGATGTTACAGTATTGTAAAAAATTTATTCTAATTATTATTATTGTTTCAGTATACTACTCCCTTATGGGTTGTCGATTTTTTTTAAAGATCAGCTGATTGAACATCTCCAACTAATTTTACCGTAATGTTTGAGGAATTTATAATAATTGATTCAAGAAGCGTCCCGCCGCGAATTCCTGACTATCCAATGGTTTTTTTTCGAGGTCATAGATCCTCTCCCCCTCATCCTCGGTCTCCTCTTCTATTTCTTTTTTTTTGGCGGCCTATTGTGTCGAAAGTTGACCAACGAAACACTATTTCGTTTCTTGGCGTGTCCGTACAGTTGAAATTCGGTCTTCTTTGCGTGTGTGTTTTTTAATGGTATTCCGAAACGATCAGCGCCCGCTTTTTGTCAACAATTCATTAATATGCGAAGCGATTCGAATGGTATTTCTTTTTTTTTTTCGTTGCAGAGGTCTCGTCGCGAACACTTGACGAGATTCTCCGTGATCTCGGCGAGAAACCCGAACCGCAGACGGTTGAGAAGGGGCGGAAAGATAAGCGAAAGAAGTCGAAGGATCAGCCGAAGGAGCAGCAGCAGCAGCAGCAACAGTCGTCGGTCAAAGAGCAGCAGAAGGCCCAGAAGGGTAGCAAGCAGCAGGCGAATCAGACGCAAGCTGACAAACAGTCGGCTACCCAAAAAGCAGAGCTGGTATGTTGCTTATTGGCTTGTTATTTTGGGAATCAATGACGATTTGTAGGGTAACAAAGAGTCGAAGAAGGAGAAGCTGCCGAGCATTAACCATTACGGCATGGAGAGGGGCGACGATGAGAAGCCCGCGGCGCCGGTTAATGCGAAGCGCTCTTCTTCGGGCAACGCGGGCTCGTTTGAGGACGCCGAAGAGGAATTTCTGTCGGCCGACGAGTTCAATGAGTTGGGATCGAATAGTCGTTTGACGACGCCGCCGGTACTCATTATTGCATGATTTTTTTTTCAAATTGTCAATTAATTACATTTTAGACGGAGTTTGTTGATGCGCGCGCCGCTTGCGATGGTCCGAACGAGTTGATGCTCGACGGCGCGAATTATCGAGCCGATGACGAGGATGTTGATGTGAGTGTTGTTCAGCCGACGGCGAATGAGGAGGATGAGTTCATACCGGTTGGCAAGAATAATAGGAAGAAGGCGTTGAGCAAGGATGAGAAGCGAGCTGGGTGAGTTTTTCGAGCGATGCTCCTTTAATTATGGAAGAAAAATCGGAAAATCGATGAAAATAGTTGAAGGATAAAGAATTTTTCAAATAATGATCGAAGCGGGCAAATAAACAAAACATTTTTGATGGAAAATTGAAGTTTTTCGAAAAAAAATTGAATTACACCTTAAAATAGGCTCAAGAATTCAAGGAAATTTGCAACAAATTATGCTTGATCATGAAAAGAGAGAGTGAGGTTTGAAAAAATTTTTTGTTGGACCATTTCTTTTTGATGCCTTTATCTATAACCATCGCAATTTTTCCATTTTCGCGGTCAAATTCCAACGATTTTTTTGGCGAGATTTTATCGCCGTCTCGATTGCAGATCGGCTAATGATGATCGCGGTGCGGCGCGCCACTCGCCGCTGAGCGCCGCACAATCGGCGCGTCGAAACATGTCGGTGAGCGATGAGGGACCACATTTGGCGTCGTCGAATCAGCCGCGTCGATTCTCGGCTCAGCAGTCGGTGCAGTCGCAACAGCAGCAGCAGCAGCCGAATGCGGAGAAGCGCGGCGGGCGGCCGATGGCGTCGGCGGCGACGCTAGCCGATTATATGGAAGGCACGAAGAAGGAGACGCACAAGAATGCCAAGTACAAGCACAAACCGAGCGGTGGGTATCATAAGCATCATCAGCATTCGCCGCAGCAGTCACACAATTCGCATTTGGATGAGGCGCCGTTTGTCGATGCCGTTGAGACGACGTCGCCGATTTGTGTCAATACCACGGTTAGTGATGGATTTTAGTTTTCCTGCAAAAATATTTTTATTTAAAAAAAAGTCTGGAATAGAGTTCAAAATTTTGTCCGGAAAAAATTGACTTTTAAGCGATTCATTTTTTAGTTTGTTCTGTTTCAAAAATTAATTAATTTTTTTTTCAAATGAAATGACAATTTTCAGAGTCCTGCACCGGCATTCTCGTACGCCGACGCTGCTAAGAAGTCGAGCGGCGAGAATACGCCGCATGAGATGTCGCCGACGCCTCACGCGACCACATCGACGACGGTGACGATGCCAACGACGACGTCGCCTCACAATTCGGCGCCGTCGGCGGCTTGCGTCGACTCGAAATCGCAAGAGCTTTCGTTTATCTATGAGGAGAGTCTTGGTAGGCGATTTTTGATGGTTCGAATTTGTGAAAAAATCAATTTCTCGTTTATTTCAGACGAGAAGAATAATTTGAAAAAGAGACAACAACAGCAGCATCAATCGCAGAATCCGCATCAGAACAAAAAACACTTGAAGCCGGAAGATCTGTTCGTGCGAGTGAATGGTCGCGAGGTACGAATCGGCACGAGTCTTGCCAATCATCTGGCGAAACCCGTAAGATATTCAGCGTTCTTTTTTTGTTTTCAAAATTTTCCCAATCGATTTGTGCCCATCAATTTCGAGCTCGCAATTCGCTTGCCGCTTTTATTATTGCAAAAATGTTTTGTTGTTTGATTGCAGATGGACCCTCAAATGCAGGCGTTGTACAATTCGCTTCGCGATGGATGGAAGAAGTTCATGTCGGGCAAACGTGAGTTTCGTTTTGGTTGGGACGTCGCAAACTTGAAATTGATTGGGTCTTGACGCGCGCATTTTGTCATGCTTCGTTTTTTTTTACTAGCATTCGCGTAAATCGACACTAGGGAAAATTTTTGCAATATTTTTAATTTGTTGGCAAAATCACTGCGGCAAAAATATTTTGGGCCTTTGAGTCCGACTGTAGTTTTCATTGAATTTCAAAATCGCACAAATTTTTTAAAATTTAATTGGTGTTTTTTTTGGCACATAACTTATCCGACAATAATTTTTGTTTTCGCACCAAGACCAATTATGGGAAATTTGTTGTTTTGTCTCGGAGATGATCCATATTTCTCCGTGGTCCGGGAGGAGGATGGGGGTCTCGACACGATATCTACTCGACTGATTATCTCGTTTTGCAGCTCCTGTTGTCTACAATCCCGACAATTCGGAAAAACCGGCGGAAAAGCCGGACAAATCGACGGGTCGAAAGTGAAGATGAATTTAAAGAAAAAAAAAAGAATTTGAGAAATGCGCAACGCATAGAAATATTATTTGTTTGAAAAACGGACGAAATAGAGGGTGTCTCGATTTAAGTACGGTTTCGAATCATTTTCTTTCGTTTTTTTATTGGCTATTCAAATAGCTCATTATTATTATTATTATTATCATCACTATTGTGAACGCCATTAGCAATTATTATAATTATATCACAATTATATCAATTATGCTTCATTTCCTTCTGTGTTTGATTTACCCCTCCGATTTTGAAATATGTCTCTCTTTTTTGCTTCGCCTTCTTCATATTCTAACGTTTTCAAAAAAAAATCACTCTAGGACGCTATTGTTGGATTTGTTTTCAAGGAATCCGAGTGTTTTTTTTCCATTCATTTTTTTTGTTATTCTTTTGTCACATTCCCGCTTCTCGAAATGTTCCCTTTAAAATCGTTCCCGTTGAAGCATTGAATTTTCTTTTTGTTGGTGTTTGAAAAGTATTAGGCATTGGTTGGAAAAAAAAAAATGATTTTTTGCATGACACCCTTTAAACAGAAATTGTTTGTTTTCTTTTTTGCATTCTTGCCTTTTTTGGATCATATCCTTTGTCTCACAACGTCCATATTGCCCCCCCGTCCCTTTCTCTCTCTCTCTTTTTTCGTTTTGTTGCCTAGAAAAATTTTGATTTTTAATGAAAAACGGTGTTTTTGTTCTACTTGTACGCGAATTTTCCCCCTCCCCTCCCCTTCCCCCCATTTAAGCATGTTATTACTATATTTCTTCGGTTCTCTAGCTTCTCCTTCTTCTGCCTGCTGTCTTTTAATTAATTATTTTTGAAAAATTGGCGCCAAAAAGAGAAATTATGATTGTTTTGTTTTTTTTTGTCGAATTCGTTGAATTGTCATTTGGTTCTTTATTTTTCTTCGATTATCCTTTTTTCCATACACAAAACGCTTGCTTTTTTTTCCAATTTTTTAATGATTATTCAATTGTTTCCCGTTTTTTTTTTGGCTCATGGTTTTTTTTGTGCGGAAGTGAGTGATATCCACAATTGAAAATGAAGGCAAGACGAAATCCAAAGGTGCCACGCCAATGAATTTGAAAAAAACACGAGAATTTTGAAAGAAAGTATCTGAAGACGAATATTATCGAAATAAAGATTGACTTTTGAATGAGCTGCTCAAACATCTCAGCGTCCCAGCTTAGCATTCCATTCATTCCAAGGAAATTCACTTCTGAGAAATAATTTTTTGGATATTATTATATATTTTCTGAACAGAACCAACCGGAAGAGTCAAGATTACTGACGAATCGATGGCCGACGAAGGTCTACAAAGAGTTCAGAGATGGGAACGTGGATATGGAGCACCTGAATATAGGTATATTTAATTTAAAGTCGACGAATTTATCGAAGAAAGACGCGCGTGTGCGATGTGTCGTCGGGTGTGGTGCATTTGGTGTGCGCACCGACGCGCGCGCTCCAACCGGCCGCGACGTTTGAATAAAAATGCGGTCTCCAAGGCGACTTGCGAATCGGCGCTGGTTTTTTTTAATTTCCTAATTTTTTTTAATTTCCTAATTTTTTTTTTAATTTGCAAAGGTGGTTTTATTATTATTTCTATTTTTTTAGTGAATTTAGCACAAAAAATTTTGAGTTTTCCATTTTTAGGCGGAAATGTTGAATTTTTGCGTGAGGTTTTTGAATTTTGAGATTTTCTTTTTAAAATTAGCTTGCAATTTTATTGATTTAAGCGCGTGAGCATCGGGGGAACCCATTAATTTTCCATTTTTTAAATTACAGTATATATTGTAAACGAAACCAATTTTTGCAAACGGCGTGCGCCTTTGAAACTACAGTAATCCACTTGTTCATTTTTTTCCGAAAAATTGTCACCGTTTCTTTTTAAATCAATTATTATATTTTCAGATAACGTAATAAGAATTTTAATAAACTGAATGCCGAACAGCAACGAATCGAAAGGATTCCGCGAATGGTACTCGAAGCACGCCAATCAGCCGTCGTCGAGCGTTTTATATTCATCGGAGCTCCAAGAGCACAAGCGGAAACGCGAAGAAGCGGTCGCGAGAGTGTCATTAAGTAGAACATTTTTTTTTTCCTTCGAATATGAATTGATAACAAATCGCCGATTTGCAGAAAATCCGACGCCAACGAAATCCGATTATGACGCGTTCGACGCCGATCGTCGGCTACGTGAAAAAGCGCGCGATTTGCGCGTCTCGCAGCGAATTCAATCGCCGGCCAAAGAGAACACCTACAAACGAGTGATTGTGAAATCGCCGGAAGGTTGATCAATTTTTGAGATTCCAAAAAAGAAAATATAGAAAGAGATCCCTTCAGTTTTGTTTGATTTATTTGATATTTCTAACGAAACCAATTTTCCAAAACAAAAGGCACTGCGCCTTTGAAACAATCATTTCTGTCCTTTTGGTTTTAATTTGGTTTTCTTTTTGGGAATTTTTGTATCAGAAAAATGTGTTCCCTCTGTGTAGCTTCGTATGCTTGCAGTCACCTCGCCGACGCTCGATCAATACTTCACGCCGATGAAATTCAGCGACGAGGCGATGTCGTCCAACGATGCTTCATTCGTCACACCGGCAACATCATACATCGATCGGAATCGCACCGAAACGACGATGATCGAAACGCCGACATCGAGAAATCTGAACGGTTCGTTGGAGGAGGGGGGGATTTCGTTTTGATCTACCCATCATGGCGCGCGTTTTCGTTTTGCAGGAACCACGAACCTATCGCGTTTCGATCGCACGCGATTATTTCAAACGTCGCTCGACGAGCGCATGAAAAAGAATTTCGAGCAGATGATGAAGACGTTCCACGAAGCGGCTCCCGACGTCGATCAAGAGAATCGCCGGTTGGTTGTTGTTTGGAGGGGAGGCAAACTCAACTATTGGTTTCAGTTACTCGAATAGTTTTGACGATGGTTTGGAGAAAATGGATTCGGGAAGCGAGAAGCTGTCGATTCTGTCGCCGACGCGCGACTCACCTCGACGCCATCAACACCACATTCCCGGACAAATCGAGCACATCTCGCCGATTCGCGATCAACGGAGCATTGAGTTCGCGGCCGCGCCGCCGCCGCCGCCGCCGCCGCCGCCGCCACAAAAAGAAGCGTCGGATTTGACGTATGTTCAGACGACGATTTGCGCGTCGCAAATGCAGCGAATGTATGCGGAGCGCGCCGATCAGATGGAGCAACATTTGGCGAAAGTGGTGCAGCTCACGGTTTGCTCAACACAACTCAAAAGCAATTGTGTCACGCGTTTCAGACTGGCATCGAGGCGAGAAGTATGACGCGCCTCAATGGAGGCGCCGAGGAGAGCCGCGAGTTGAAGGAGACGCTTGTCGACGAGCTTCGCAATAAGATCAAGCAGATCATTTACATCAAAAAGCTCACCCATGAGTTGGTGTCCAAGTAATACTGCCAGAAATGCGTTTCAACAACAATCTCCAATGTGATTCAGACGCGCCTACGTTATTGAATCGCAAGACATCAAGCGATCCGAATTTCTTGACGTCCTTTTGGAGTTGCCGATGCGCGAAATGGAGAAGGAAGTGTGCAAAGAGCGCAAATTGTTGAGCAAAGAGCTGAATGAGCTGATTGCGCATTTTCGGCAAGTCGGCGAATGGCGAAAGGAGAGGAATCGGCGGCGGCAGATGAGGGCGCAGAATCGGATGAAGCCGAGCGAAGCGATCAAGGTGGGGCGATGAGATTTGGTTGCTCAAAGTTTGATTTCCAGATAAAACCCGCTGAAAAGACGAGAAGTGTTGAAGTTGAAGCGAAAGAGGCGCCGAAAGGTTCGAAAATTGCAAATTCTTGATTTTTTAAATCATGAATTTGATGTTTGTCATTTAGAAACGCACGATGTCGAAACGCAGGTGTCGGCTCGTTTCGAGCCTGAGCCGACGGTGACGACGCCGCGAAAGGCGGGCGTCGAGCCGCTCGATTTGACGAAATTGAATAGCACCAAAGGCGATGATGGAACGATTCGGACGAGTGTCGAACTGAATCGGATGCTTGACTCGATTGTGCTGAAAACCGACAAAAGTTTGGAGGATGTGATGAATAGTGGGTGGAAAGAGAAATTGCGAATTGTTTTTCTTTTTTCGCTGCAGAAAATTGCGCCGAACCGGATGGTTTTGAGGACGAGTCGATTCTCGACAAATCGCATTTGTCGTTGAACTCGTCGAAAAACTCGACGAGACGATTTGAAGCGGTGTTCCCGTCGAGACCGTCGACTGGAAATAATGACGAGACGCCGAAGGTTGGGCGAATAATTTGAATTTCAAACCGGACCTCATCGCTTCGACTGTTTTAGAGCGCTCGTGCTTCACTCGACTCCTCATCGGGACGAAAATTGTCGATTGGAATCGCGAACTATTTGGAAATGTCGAGAGAGGAGGAGCTCGATGAGCCCACCAATGAGCCGCAGCCGCCGCCGCAGCCGCAAGACGCTGTCGTTGAACAGAAGGCCGAACCGTTAAATGAGCCCGACGTTGTTGAGGAGAAGCCGGAACCGGAAGAAGCGGCATCGGCGGCCGACACCTCGCTCGAACTTGTTTGGAAGCAGCCCGAACCGCTGCCGGAATTCGTCGAGGAGGATGAAGAAGAGGATGAGACGAAAAAGTTTCGGGTTCCCGACGAATTCGAGGATCCGATGACGACGTCGTCGTCGTCGTCTGAGCCGCACGACGACGCTGCTGATGTCAAAGTGTCGAGAAGCGACGAGAACGCGTCGTTCAATGACAGCGCCGATGATTCGGGATTTTTGCTCACCGACAAACCGATACCGAAACTGAAATCGATCATCGACGCGGACACGCCGCGAGCGGCGCCGCCTGCGAAAACGCAAGAGAATGATGATGATGATGACGACGATGTGGGATTCGATCTCGAGACGTATTGCCGAAACGACTATTTGACGGTGATGGTGGGTCTTGACGGCGACATATGTAGTTTGTGATCGGCTTTTAATCGACAATTATTGTAGACGCCGAAAATAATTGACGAGGCATTGAAGAATTGCGAGAGGCTTCGCGGACGCAACTGGCTGACGGCTTCGGAAATTTGGCCGCCGACGTTTATGACGATCGTCGGAGTCATGCCGGATGAGTTTGAGTACTTTGACTCGTTCAAGTGAGCGTGCTTTTGACTTTCTTCGAAATACGAGCCCGTTTTTTGATATTTTCAGCGTTTGCCTTTGGGGATCACTCGTTGAGCTGCTCAACTCGAAATTCCTCAAATACCACGAGGTGATGACGAACGAGCTGAAGGAGCAGTTCCGAGCGATGGCGAAAGAAATGCTGTGTCGAGATTTTGGGCCGATGTCGAGAACGGTGGAATGGCATCAGGGTGCGATTTTCGAATTGTTGATAAATGGCGGAAAGAAAAATTTAGAGATTCGAACGAATCAGCGAGTCGAGAACTTGATGCTGTATGATGTTGATTATCGATTTGAGCAGCGTCGCCAGTTGCCGGACACGGCCAAACAGAATTATCGATGGGCGCAGTTGAGTATGATGGGAATCACTGAACGATATACGTCGGAGAAATTGGTATGTGTGCGAGAAGAAAAAAAGAAACAAATGTTTTGGTTTTGATCTACTATTTAGGATGCGCAATTGTCGGCGATTTGCGAGCGCGAAATGGAAAATGTGGCGTCGAAAACGCTCGAGAATGAAGTTCGACGTGTGATTCAAGCGGAATCGATCGAAGCTTGATCTCTGAATATTATTTTCTTTTCTTTCTTCTTCTTTTTTTTGGAATTCCTTTCTTGTCTTGTGTATTTCGTCATTGATATAAAATATTTACATTTTAAACCTAGAATTTTTTTTTGCTTGAATTTTGCAAAAAAAATTTTGTATTGAAAATTGCACATACCTGTGATTTTGAAGCACTCTTTAATTTCAACAAAAACTTGTTTTAGATGAATTTGTTGTGGGATCAACGTGTTAGAATCCTCGACGCCGTCGATGGCGTCGAGATTTGCGGCCAACGACTATTTGGCGAGATTCGGAGGGTGCAAGCCGACATTGCGCCGTTGACGATGAATGATGTGGTGCTCATTCAGTGTCCGAAACGCGTCGACACTGTCATAGCGATGATCGCGTGAGAATTTCGTTCAAGCACCTGAAGAAAAAAAGCTGAAAATAAAAAAATAAAATGTTCGCCTCGAGACTCCCATTGAATTAAATTGCGTGCGCCTTTAAATATTTTTGATTTCTCCACGTAAAATTATTGGATTTTGTGAAAAATTGGAAATTTTGATGAATTTTTAGTTGAAACCCAATTCAAAATTCTTGAATTTCAGATGTCTTGGTGTCGACAAAACGTTCAAATTGGCGTCGGAAGCGAATGACACAGAGCTTAATCAACATGAAGCGACGTTTCACTACGATGGAACCCGAGTAAGTTTTTTTTTCATTTATTCATAGAAGTATGTAATTGAATTATTCTGTTTCAAGTTGAAACGCTTGCGTCCCACCGCGACGACGCCGATTCTCCCGCACGTTTCATATGTAATAACCACCAGTGGCACAACTGGTAATAAGAAGCAAGTCGGTGTGCCGCTGAGCTGCATTTCAAGTAATATTGAATTTTTCCAGTAAGTTTGTGTGTGTGTCAGAGCTGCACGGAATTCCGTATTCCGTTTGATATATCTAGCACGTCTAGCGAATCTAATAAGGTTAAAAACCACAGCCGGCGAAATTTGTTCGATAAAAAGAGGGTCCTTGTGGAATGAGCACTGGGAAAATCTCACATTCTGCACTGTTAATTTCAAAATGTTCGAGTTAGATTAGCTTTGTGTTCCGTTTTCCGTAAAAAATTTTTTGTTCCGCCTTCCGCTTTTAGAAAATTTATGGTCCGTGCAGCTTTGGTGTGTGTGTTTTTGCGAAAATCGTTTGAAACGAAATGATGTTGATTTTCAGAACGACATTGGATTTAAACGCGAACGATGTGATCCTTCAATCGACAAATTTCGAGTTCGATCCGTGTATTATCGAGATTCTGATGGCGTTTCGATACGGCTGCAAATTGATCGTGTGCACTGAAGACTATTTGCCGTATCCGCATTTATTAACGAAAACAATCAGCAGAAATAACGTCACTTTTTTACAAGTTGGTAGTTTATTTTTTTTTTGCATTTGCGTCAATTTTGAGTAATCACCAAAAGAAACAATGAAGAGGCTTCATATTGTGCTGAAAATTTATCGAACGTTTTATTTTCAAATTTTAAATCACTCAATTAAAAAGAAAAACAATTTCCAGCTAACCCCCGAAGTATTTCTAATGATGGACATTGCGCGATTTTTGCTCTCGGAGAAATCGACGCTCAGATTTTTGCTGCTCGGCGGCTCGAAATTCCCGTTGCGCACCATCAACGAGTTGCGCGCCATCGGCAACACGACGCGCATTTTCGACGTGTACGGCGTCACCGAAGTCTCGTGTTGGGCGACGATTGCCGAAATCGAACACGGGTTTGTTGGAATAATTTAGAAAAAAAACGAATGGTTGCCGATATTTCAGACAGCCGACGGTTCGTCTTGGAACACCAGTGCCAGGAACCGAGCTCCATTTCACCGACGACATGGAATTAGTGCTTAGTGAGATTTCGTTGAAGTGGCGCGAAAATTGAATTTAAGCCGAAAAAAAAAGACAGTGGTGTTGGCGCTAAAATTAAAGTGGAGATTTACGGGCCTAACCTAAGCATAAGACGAGGTTAGACTCTGGTAACTCAAAATCAATCGGATCCGACAAAATTCGGCTCCGGAATCAATCTTATCCGATTGGTAATTCTACGGATTTCCAATTTTATCCGTAAAATTACCAATCGGATCTGGTTGATTCCGGGGCCGAATTTTGTCGGATCCGATTGGTTTCGAGTTACCAGAGAAGATGCACATTTTGCAATTCACCGTCGTCGTTTCGAGTATTGTTTTTAAACTTTTGATCATTTTATTAGATTTAGCATAGCTTATTAAGACAAATTAAACAGTCCATGGGAAAATTGAAAAAAATCGTGCATCGACGCGCTCACGGCAGCCGATATTAAAGGCGCCATCTCGAAAAAATAAGATTTGCAATGCTTTTTCATCTTCCAGAAGGAAAACGACAGTGTGTTGTGGACGGTGTGCTAACGGACCCAAATGTTGGCCATCCGACGGGCGACATTTTCCGAACAGTCGAAGGAGGCTATGAATACGTTGGTCGACGAGACTCGATGGTCGGTTTTGTTGTTTCCCACAAAAAATCTTTGACCCCCAAGAAATGGAATTTCAGGTGAAATTCCGCGGTATGCGACTTGATTTGATCGAACTCGAGGAAAGTGTCAACGCGATTCTCGCGGCGTCGTTTGTGGCGGTCAATGAAAACGATCGGAGTCCCACCGCGAACGTTTTCCTCTACCGCGAACAATACCTGGTTGTGGTGATTAGCGGTGGGAATAAAAAAGCGAATGATTATTTGAAGGATCTCAAAACGGTGAGGGTTTTCTTGGTCAACAAGTAGTTTGTTTTTTTTTCACTTCTCATTGCGACATTTGATTAAAATGTGTGTTTCAAAAACCAATTTAAGCTATTTTCCGAGCGACGATTGCCGTTCCGAATTTATCACACCCAAACGCTTCCGGTCACCGTCAACGGAAAACTCGATGTTGTGTCACTGACGAGCAGTCTCGATCGCGGAATTCAAGGCAAAAACGATTTCGTCGAGGCGCTCGAGCGGTTGTGCAGTTACAAATTCGAAGACGTTCTAGAAATGTCGTTTGTTGACCTAGGTAGTGTTCACCAACTTCGTCTCATTTCCTCGATGATGTGCAATTTGTTTTTTTTTCATTTGGATTTGCAGGATTTGATTCGTTCAAGGCAGCACTTCTTGCGACGTACTTTCCGATTGGCACGTTTCACAAAGTTGTTACAATGATTCTCAGCCGTCATACCATCATAAGAGATTTTTGGACGTATTGGAGATCGGATTTTTTGGAGTATGTTGTTTTAGCTTCTAAAAAACGTCTTTGAAGGGTTTTTTTGTGCGAGAATCCTTGTAGATCAGAAGAGCGCCTTTTGCTAAATTTAGAAATACTGTTTTAAATCAGAAAATGTTTTGCAATGGAGCGCGATTGCTTTAGTGGAGATAGCGAAATATTGTTGCAGTTCAAGCAAACTCGTCAACCCTTGTTCATACGACGCCAAAAATTACGTAGTCCGCATACGGCGTCAGCCTCGTCAATTATGGGCATGCAACATGGTGATGTGTGTCGACGGCGATCCGGTACTGATCTCCTATGATTCGGAGATGTACGTCGGCGCCGCGTCGCATTCCGGCGAAATCAAAATCGTCCACCATTTGTCGGGAATCGTGCTGTGCAAACTGGTAATCGTGTGTTTCCACCGTTTTCACTTCACCCCCTACAGTACCGAATTTTTTTTTGTTACATGTAGAATGTGATCACGAGAATCGAGGGAACGGTGGTGCAAATCGGAGATCGAATCCTGTTCGGCGGACATGACAGATGCCTGTTTTCGCTCGAAATCAGGAAGAAGAAGTTCCGGTTGACGTGGAAGAAGATTGTGAAAAACGTAGTTCGTGCTGGCGTCACCTATTCCGGAAAGAACTACGTGTACGTGGCCACCGACAACGGCACTTTGTGCCAGATTGAGATTGAGGTTCGGCATCGCGTCGCATTCTCGCAATTTTCCCCTCCCATTTTTCAGACGGGCGAGTTTTTGTGGGAGAAGACGGTGCTTGGTGGCTCGCGAGCGAAGCCGACGACGTTCACTCGAAATGATCGCGAGTATGTGATGATGACGACGCTCCATGGAATGCTGTATTGCTTCAAGGTTTCGCAATTGACCAAGTTTCAATGAGCATACCCAAATTTTGGATTTTTCAGTCTGATGGGACACTTGTCTTTCGCGTCATCGTCAATGGACCCATATTTCATCCGGCAATACCTATTGACGATTTTTGTGTGATTTGCAGCTCGACGGGAGTTGTTCAAATTGTAATAATCGATCCATTTTTGCCTCAAGTTTGTTTTGTTTCGTTTATTTCTACCTTTTATGGCCGATTTCTAGAGTATCTCTCGCGTTCGGTGTCAAAATCGCGTTGATCGATCCCTTCTTGCCGGCGGATTAGTTTTGGATGGACTGGTCTATGTTCCGACGGCCGAAGGAACTGTACTCGAAATGGAGCTCGACGGGCTCGAAGTGCGCAGAGAGTTCATTTTCAACCTTCCAGCTGTGAGATTCAATAAGTATTGTCGGCAGATGTTGGACCGACGAAAACCTCAAAAAAAATTTCAGAATCCCATTGGTCATCAATGGCCGAACATTATTGTTGTTGTCGAATACCGGGTATTTGTTGCGGGTGAATCTCGACTCGACGTCGTCGACGTGCGATGCGATTCACGTCGGCGGCTGGGAATGCTTCTCGTCGCCGGTGCTGTTTCGCAATCGGTACCTCTACGTGACGGGACGCGACAATTTGTTGCGCTGTTGGGAATACCCACATTAATGGTTGTGTCATTCAAAAAAAAAAAACAAACGAAAAGCCTTATTAATTAATTTGAATTATTTGTATTTTGGTTGCCTGAACACTTATTTGATATAATTGATCATAAAATGATGTTTCACTGACGTGAAGTGCATTCGGCTTGCTCATTTTTTGGCATGTTTGGTGATACGAATTGGCCGGAGGCGAATTTCGAGGAAGTCGTTGTGCCGATCATTGGAGGAATTCTAGTCACCCTGCAGGTTGGATTAATTACTTAATTAATTTTTATTAATTACCTCAGGGTTTCCTCATTTTGTTTCTCGTCCGATTATACTTTTCGCCGTTCGCTGAGCCGAGGCATGGAAATATGATTCGAATGTCGACGGTATGAGAGTTTGGCCTAAAAACGCGAACTCATCGATGATTATTTGAGGAAGTCGGACATACTGGAGCTCCCGTGTTACCAGGGACCATGATGAGTCTAGTTGAGCTGCAAGACGTGTGCTACACTCGCGCTTATAAGCACAGAGGCTTCGAATTGACGGAAAATGTGAGCGTTTTAGGGAATTGTCCGCAAACACCGAGGTACGCTGTAATTGACTACCGTACCACGCGCCCGCCGCGAAAATAATTGTTTGAATTGTCTTTCAAAAATTGTATTTTAGGATATTTCGTTGCTCGGCAATGAGAAGGACGGTGATATAAATTATGTGAAAGGTATTCTCGTGAGAATTTCGCCGAAATTGCGTCATTTTAGACCTTGCGCACTTCGACGCGGACCCGCGAATCAATTTCGGCACGATTTTGGCGAAAAAGTTGTCGATAAGCTCGGATTTTCGCGAGAAGAGCAGCACAATGAACACGCTGAACACGGTGGGTCGAAGCGTTGAATTGCTCAAAGTGCGATTGGTTTTTTTTTGTTTTGAGACGGAAAAAAAGTTGGCGAGAAGTTTGTGGAAACGCGGAGCGACGATATCGTACTCGCAGGATGCCGAGGCGTTTGTGCGACAGCCGCTGAAGCGCAAAAATAAGGAATCGGGCAGAAAGAAGGGAATGAAAGGTTTGAGAGAGAGAGAGAGAGAGAGAGAGAGAGAGAAAGGAAAGCCGAAATCAATTAATTGAAGGTCTTGAAAAATTGGCGCGCGAGATGTCCGAAGGCGACGAATCGCGAAATACGTCGAAGGGTTCGAAAGGACGGTATAATCGGTCAAAAGGAAGGGCGAGTAAACGGGCATCGAAGAAAACTGAGAAGAAGGCGACGAAAAATCGATCGAAAATTAATGGTATGATTTTTTTTCGGTCTTTAAAACGAATTACTGCTGTACGCGGGTAGATTTACGGGAATGCGTCTTTCGAAATGGTCTCGAAAGGACTAACAGGTTGTTTCAGAAATTTTATGGACCGGTTCGATAATTTTTTTAATCGAATGACGTTGGAAATTCAAGGAAATGCGAAACTCATCAAGAAAAATGAAGCAGTTCACGTGAAAACAGCAAAATAAGCGTTCACGCGTGGCGAGACCTTTTCAAGGCGCATGCGCGTAAATCTACCCGCACACAGCAGTCACCGGACGGCGACTATAAATGATTTTCAATAACGTTCCTTATAATTCTGTTTCAGCAAAGTTTTGTATAAAATTTTCGATTTTCAGTCAAACACAGTGCGAAAATTACGAAAAAGAAGAAGAAAATGGAGCCGGTGAGACGACAATTTCAAATTTTGTTTTTTTTTTCGTTCAACTTTTGATTTTGGTTTTGCAGGAGGATATTGTCTACGATTGATTTTCTCTCTTTCTCTCTTTCTATAAACTTTTCGATGATCTCCATGAAACAGGTAAACTCTTTTTTTTGAAATTTCCAATAGGTGTGGAAATTTTTGAAAGACGCAAATCGTTGTCCATTCATGAGAACAGACTTGCTCAATTTCGCGGCCGAGCCCCCATTCCTTTTAGGTTAATTTATTTTATTTGGTTTTCACTTGTAGTTTGACATGCCTTTAAAAATTTTTTATTATCATTTCATAACAATTTTAAATCTCGGCTCGGCATGAGCTAATCGAGTTTGGGAAAAGCTCTTAACAACAATAAAAATAATAAAGACAGGTTGAAAAAATTGGCCATTTCAACCCAAAAATGACGTTTTTTCAAGAATGACTGATTTTCGATGAGTTTAGACAAATTTTGGATGAAAAAAGAAACGTTGAATTTGTCAAAAAAAAATGAAAAAACGTGAAAAAATTTGAGCAAAATGACAGTTGTATACTATTAACAGTATCCACAGGATGATTTGGATGGTTTTTTTTTTGTGGATAAATACATATATGGGCCGGTGCCCGAAGGCAATCTGCCCATATATGAATCATTTTCGAATTTGTTGAATTTCCAGAAGATTTGTCTGAAAAATTCAAATTAAGCATTAAAAAATGGCGAAAAATTACCTAAAATATTCAAATCCAAATCCAATTAGTGGGCGATCTTCAAATTGCCCAATTAAAGTTGCTGCTTCTAATTACCCAATTACTGGGATTAATTGATCTCTTCCTTCTAATTAAGGATGGTCTTCTAATTGCCTAATTAAGGCTCCTTCTTTTAATTACCCAATTAAGGGAAATGATTTGTTATCTGAAAACCTCAATATTTCCAAAATTTCGTCTCAAATTCTTACCATTTTCCATTCGGCAACTAAAATCCCGTTTTGAGGCCATACGGTCGGACTCTCGACGTTCATCTAATTGCCCAATTAAGGCTGCTGCTTCTAATTACCCAATTACTGGGATTGTTGAGCCGAAGCTCGCTTCTATATGTATTTTCTTCATAAATGGGAAGGTTGTTCTTCTTCCCAATTATAGAAAATCTTCTAATTGCCCAATTAAGGCTTGATCTTCTAATTACTGTGATTTCTGAGCCAACGCTAGCTTCTATTATTTCCCATATAAGGGAACCATCGCTAATTATGGCTGTTATGCCATTGTCATGCCCAAAAAAAAACTTTACAGTTTGCTCACTCTGAAATCGAATTTCCAGAAGGCTTGCAAAATTCTCGAACTCACCTTCACTGTAATTATTCCCATAAAGAGGTGCATCGCGCGGGGCGATGTTCGCCTCAACTGCTGATTTCCAAATTTGGGACCACAATCATTCTCGTCCCATATTCTGCAATTTTTTGTTGGATTGTTGTACTCATCTGAAAATATCAAAAATCGCAAAAATCGCCTCCAATTGATTTGTACCTTTAAATCAGGTCTCGCGCGGTTCTTTTGATCTCCTCCTGGTTTGGCCATCCGCCGGTGGCTTCTTGCGTTTAATCGCAAGGCGATACCTCCATACAACTGAACCCGTTCTTGAGACATGGTTCCTATAACACAATATATTCGATTAAGGCTTATGGTCACTATGCGAATTTAATAATTATTTTTTCTCTTTGATAGCACGGCAAAAATCGCTTTTTTATAGAGTTGGGGGGTCACTCAATATGCATCGTTTTATTCTCCGTGTGGAGTACACGCAGGGCTGTTTGTCTTGGACATGTTTGAGAGAAAGAATTCAAAAAATTATGAATATTTGAAAAAAGCGAAATCTAAAAGAAATGACCATTTTCAACCACTATTTAGCCATAACTTGAATTGTTTGTATTTAATTGAACATATTTATACAGTCAACAATTGAAATTCGCTTCGAGACCATTATGAAACGAAACGAGAAATTTATGGCATGCGAATGTGAGAATTTAGGTTTTTTGTTCGCATCGAGACCAGTGTGATTTTGAGTTGGCAAGCGGCCAATCGATTGAAAATTCAAATCGCGCGCCAAAATTGAGAACCGACAAACCTTTCTTGTCCACATTAATAAGCGACTCCTTGGAAAAAAGGGCTCGCGCCTATTTGGGGCGAAAACGCCCCAAAAAATTCGAGAATATTAGTCTCGTGTAGGAAATTCTATGATTGCACCGGCCGAATGAGAGAAATGTCACGAAACCGCGCACTCAAAGTGTGTCAGTGAACTACTGTTGGCGTTTTTCGCGTGCACCATGATTGTGACCCTAAAAATCGTTGAATTTTCTCGAAATTAATACAAAATCGAGTATATCGTAGGCAGAAGATTTTTTTTAGAAAATAAACGCTTTGACTACGATGAGATTTACTACTTTTTTGATGGCCGAACTATTTCTAGGCCGCCTTTTTCGCTTTCCCACAACCACCTCATCGAGTCGAGTAATTTTTGTGCTCAAATTCGCAATTGATATGCATGGGACCTTTTTTTGGTTTCAAAAAAAAAGGGTTTTTTGCACACACACCTTGGTTTTTCCTTTAATTGTCGAAATATTTTCTCAAATTTACAAATTTCATCTGCCGACAATTTTGCGGTTTGATCGGCTCACTTTCCGATGGTCAAAAAATTCGAAAAACTTTCGTTTTCCCTTTTAAAAATTTGAGGGGCATGAAACGGCATTCAGTTACTGTAGTCAGCAATCACCGCGTCTCTCACGTAGATGAAAAAAAAATCGCAAACAAATTCATTATGATTATTATGACTAGATTCTAAAAATATTAAGGCATATAAGTAGTTTTAGACAAAAGGCAGTGTAAAACCGTATGATTCGAGTTTCGGATTTTAAAAAAAGAATTTGGTTGATTTCATGGGCGGGGGGGGGGGCAAGAATCGGGCCTGTCGAGGGACCACTATAATCAAATTTAATCATCATCGATAATCTTGCAGCTATTGGCCGTCGGCGAACAATTCGGATATTGCTGAAAATCGTGAAAATAAATCCAAATAAAATATGAATGAGCACCTTGAGATGGGGATGATCGAGATCGCCGCGATTCGTCGACTTCTTCACCGCGTCGACGCCCGACAATCCGGTGCCGAAATTTTTGACGCACGCGCAACGCTGCGTTCGCGTCGACGGATCGCGCAGCCGTCGCGGCACACCGGCCCATTCGCGATTGACGCCGCCGCTTTTCGTCGAACACCAGACGCGACCGCCCGTCTTCTGATGCCATTCGCTGTTGCACGGCGGAAACACCTCCGTCTCGGCGGCTTGCAGTTTGCGGAACTCGTTGGCGTTCTCGATGCGCGCCAAAACGCTTTCGAGCTCGACCGTCGGTTTGCCGTCGGCGTCGTAGTAGCGGCCGGTGACGACGCCGACGAGCGTGTAGTCCTTCTCATAGAACGATACCCAATCGCGGATGCCTGCAAACGTCTTCCTTTCTTTTTTTTAGATTCGAACCAATGGATTTTTGGTTTCACAGCAGGACCCAACGCCGAGATTATTCAATCTTCAGATTTTCAGAAATTGCGAGTTTTTGAAGTGTTTGCTGACAACTAAATTGGGTCTCGAAGCATGAATGTGTCACTTTAGGCCACATTGTTCGTGTGGAGTACACAGCGCACACATTGAGCGCAATTTTTGGCATTTGTGGCCATTTTATCGCAGTCGATTCGGAAAAAAATCCAAACCACCGATTTTCCAATTATTTTTGTTTTCAATTGAGTCCCGCAACAATGTCGGCAGCAGGATTTGCGTTCACCCACCCAGTAGATCTTCCGGCGACAAATCGTCGGTGCTATCGACGAGTCCCTGTTCGCTGAAGTCGCCGGTGACGAAGGCTCTCGTCGCGTCGCGTCCCGCAAAAAAATGATAGCTTCCGCCGGGACCATAATGCTTTTTGCCTTTGTTCACGTTGTAAACGCGTCCGAGAATCGCCAAATACACCGGTCTGCGAAAAAGAAATTCTTTACGATCGTTTGGGACCATTCAGCGCCTACTTGGAATCGCGTGTGCCGTCGAAGAACATCAATTGTTCGGGCGTCAGTATCTGTTTCCCATCGTCAAGACGAATTTCAGCTTCTACCGCCTACAGAAAAAAACAACGGTTAATTATTTTACAGAAAATTTCAATTTTCGGCTAGAAATCGTCAAAAATATGAATTTTTCATCATATTTGAGCCCAGAAGTTCACTATTTCGGAAAATTCAATAATCTCCCAATTTCATTTCAATAATCGCCAAAACTCGAAATTTTTCATTATCATTGAGCTGAAAATCTCAATTTTTGAGCAAAAATTCCTATTTTTCATCGAAAAAGCGAGAGAATCTCCTAAAAATCGTCAAAACTCGAAATTTTCAGTAAAATTGAGCATCCATTTCTTTTAAACCTTCAAATCCTCGGCTTTCCTCGATGGAATCTTCATGCTCTCCTTCGTTTCTTCCCACGAATTTTTTATCCAATCTATATATTCTCGCGTCGTTTCAAACTGAAAATAAAAAGGATGAAGACAATTATTCACGAGCTTAACTCTAATAACTAGAAACTCACATCATACACAAAATCGACGGCTAGCGAGGTGGCGTTTTTCAGGCCAAAATTGTAGTAGGACGAAATCAAAGACACAAGGGCGATCTGAAATTCATAACTACCGCAAATTTCCAATTTTATGGATTAAATTTTTTTTTCAAATTTCCAATTTTATGGACATGGAAAAAAAATGAAATTTTTGTGAAATTTGAGAAACTTTGATAATTTTGACCAAAATTTATAATTTCTTTTTATATTTTATATTGGCGATGTCAAACGACTGAAAAAAAAACATTCTAGTTTAAAAAATAATATTTAGGTCGATCGTAAATTCACAATTTCGTAGATCCGCACTGATTTTACGATTGAATGACGCCGATAATAATCTTTATTAAAATTTTTTGATTTTTTAAAAATTAATTTACAAGATCGGAAAAGAAAAATAAAAAAAAAATGAAGAATAAAAGAAAAATTAACATTTTCTTCAATTTTTTTAATTGTCGAAGACGGAAATTTTGAATGATCAATCGCGTTAGCCATTTTTGATCTTAGCGCGAAATCAACAAATTTTCGCATGCGCCTTTGATATCTACAGTAATTTTCAATTTCATACTAAATTAAATCGAAAAAAGCATGGCGCCAAAATTTGAATAAAAAACAGCTTCGTGCGACAATATCGCATTTCGATTTTATTGATTAACAAAAAAAAACTCCATCGGAACTACCTGAACAGCTATATACACAAGCGACGTCGTCATGAGACCCGCTCCGAATCGTTTCCGTCGCACCGGCTTCGTCGTCGTCGTCGTCGTCGCCGCCGCAGCGACGCCATTACACTCGCCCATCTAGAAATTCAAAAAATTTCGACAAATTTTAAATTTTGATTGAAATTTGGCAAAAATTTGCAATCTCGAAATTTCGCGAATTTTTCAACCAACGAAAAAAAAAAGTATATCGCATGAATTAAAAATCATGTGAAGAGGTTGAACGAGAAAAAAAAACACCTCAAAAAACTGAACAAAAATCATTTTTATACAAAAAAGGAGAGCAGAAAAATAGAGAAGCGAAAAAAAATGTGAATATTCGAAAACTGTTTGAGCTCAACACAATTTTAGGACAACGAAGACGCACCAGGAAAACAAAAAAAAAGAGAGAGAGAATACATCCGGGATTCGAAAAGGTCACACAAATTGCTGAAAAAATTAAAACGGGACAAAGATGATTCGTCATACGGTTGAAAACCCGTCGATTAGAAGAAAATGAACAAAAAAATCGAATTTTAGGTTATATGAATCAAAATCTGCGCGATCTCGACGGCAAATAGGCTTCGATGGCGGCGAATCTGCAAAAAATTGCTTATTTTCCCTATACGACCAATATGCATTTTCTGAAAAAAAAAACATATTTTGAAATATCAATATTTCAATATTATATAAATTTTTAGCAATTTTTGGCTTTTTTTCAAATCAGAATTTATCAAGTTCATTTTTTGCCAAAAAAAATTGCGTTTCTCGTTGAATCTTCGAAAAATGGCGATTTTCGAGCAGAATCGCAATTCGACGGGTCCCTTCAATTAAAAATCTCACCATTCTACATGTATCTGGGTGCGACGCTCGCGTACGGATCGGGCTTCTGCTCAGGCTTCGGCAAATCAAACTTATTCCGCATGTATTCGACGAACTGATCGATGAGCACCGGCCACGCGCCGTCGTCGTCGTAATTCGACATGTCCGGTTTGATGGTGATGAGGAAATCGAGCAGCAAATTCCAGGTATCACGAGTTATCGCGCCTAAATTTGATAATTTTCGTTGAAATCGAAATTTTTTGCCATTTTTTTTTTGAGAGAAAAATTGAATATTTTTAGGCAAATGGAAGTTTTGGAAAAAAATTTCCCAAAACTAGAAGCTCAAGCTTAAAAGACTCGTTTAAAAAAGGTTTTATAGGAATTTTTGCAATATTAAGAAATTTTCAGAAAAATGTAATTTACGCCTTCAAATTTTAATTTTTTCTAAACTTCATCCCAAAAATCTGAATCGTTAAAATAATAATTTTATCGATAAAAGAGCATTTGAAGGCTTCACTTCTTGAAAACGAAAAGCAAAAAATTGAATTATTTGACATAAAATTTATTTTGAAAGGTTTTAAACCAAAAAAAAAATAGTTTTTGGATTAAAAAATCAGAAAAATCGGGCAATTTCAATAATTTTCAAAAAAAAAATATGAAACACTCACTATTGTGCTCGGTTTTGAGGAATTCCTCCCATTTCTCGAAGACCGCAAATCGACCCTTAAACAATATGTGCCAATAAGCGATGGCGTTCTCCATGCTCAAACTCCGCTGGCTCACCGGTTTGCCGTAAACGAACGTGAACGTGTAGAGCTTCTGGAATAGTTGCGGATCGGTGTCGATTTCCATGTCGAGGCCGTTGATGCGCTCGCGCATGCCCTCCAGTGAATCGATGCCCTGCGATTTCCAGCCGTCGATCCATTCCTGAAGCGAGAATTCGCATTCGACTGCCGCGTTGAGAATCCACGCGAGAATCAGCACGCGACGATCGAGCTCCGGCAGTCCGAGTTCTTTGAGAAGCTTCTGAATCGCGAACGGACCTATTCTTGTGTTCGGCATCTCGTCGCGCGCGTCCCAATAGTGTCGGAACACCTCTTCGAGCTGAAATCATATTTTTCAAAATGTCCGCAGGTGCATTTTTTAATAAAATAATTAAATTGTTCCAAATAATCCAATTGAGTTGTGGTACGATGAAGTCGAAAAAGAAATTGTCGATTTTCCAGAATTTTCTTAAATTAATTTCAATAAAAAAGAGCAAAAACGCAAAATTTAAGATACTTCAAGAATAATCGTTAAAAATCCAGCCAAAATATCATTTTTATCCTTCAAATTTTGAAAAATTGGTATTTCCAACATTTTTCTAGAGCTATTTTTCAATATTAATGCAAAAATAAAATTTTTAACGAAAAATTCAAATTTTCAATGCATTTTTTTGTCTGAAAATGAGGCGAACCTTTCGAGTATCCACCGACGGCTGAATTTGCTCGAACAAATTCGGATTGTCGAAGAACATTCCGGCGGCGGCGTCGATATTCCAGCTGGCGCGCGTCAAATAGCTGATCGCGGTGATTTCCGACGAGCGCGTCCATTGCATGAAATTGAGCACTTTGGCCCGTTGGTCGGGTTTCAGACGATTCATTCTCTTGTTGACGTGGCCGGAGAACGGTGAGAAGCGATTGGAGGAAATTGTGCGCGATGGGCGGGATACAACCCTGCAGAAAATTGGCGATCTCGGCAAAAATTGATAATGAGGCGCCGAAATGAAACCAGAAAAAATAATATGGCCTGAAAGGCCGGAAGGGAGTTGCCGTGAGAGATATAGATGATTGTGAGAGACGCAGGCGGCGAGGTAACCCAAGACGCCTCAGAAAATTTGCCGAACAAAATCAATAAAAAGCGATTGATATGAAAAAAATCGTATTGATTTTTCGATACGAGACCCAATGGATTCAAACGCGGGATTGTTTTGAATATCGAGGTCTTCAAGGATGCGGCAAATATGCCTTTGGTTTAGCGCGCGACCGAGAACGCGGAGCAACGTTGCGAAAGCCATATTTGAATTATTTTTGAATTTTCGAGCGCGTTTTCCCGATACTTTCCTAATTCTACACTTATTTTTTGTTTTACACAAATTAAATAATGCAATTAAATTATCTTCACAATTTTCAATACAAAAAAACTGAAAAAATTGATAAAATGCACAAAGTTTGAAAAATTAGCGATAGAAAAATAGTGAAAAAATTTAAAAATTGTTATTTTAACAACTACAGTACACTATCGTTGCGAAGTCTTCTTGCCGAATTGGCTTGCGCCTTTAAAATGATTACTGTAGAAAATTTTGGTTTTTATTCGATTTTTGTTTAATTTTTCTCAATCTGGTCCAATTTTCGCATAAATTCCTAATTGTTTTAGAAATAACAAAAAAATTTCATTTAAACAAATTTATTTTATCTGAAATAAATAAAACGCCTATTACAATGTTTGATAAATAGGAAAATGGGATTTTCGAGAAAATTGAATTACTCTTTTTGGCTCTGCGCACGAGATTTATGTTTTTTTTTGTGCTAAAGTGCAATAATTACGCAATTTTTCGCTAAAACTCATTTTTTTTTCAGATGAGCGATGATATTTATTACCCATCCGGCTGCCAACCGATTCGTCTGGAATCGAATAACACAGAACTCACAAAACGTTTAAAAGTGCAGTCGAATGCGTCGATAATTGAGTGGGATTTTTGTTTTTGCAGGCACTCGGCGATTCGCTCGGCGGCATTTCGGACATCGATTCGGAAGAAGCGAAAAAATTTAGGAAATTATTTTTACACCTCGCCAATCGCGAATTGCTCGAAAATTCGAACGCCGACGTTCAATTGTATTTGGCGAAATGTTTGGCGATGATATTGAAATTCTACGCACCCGAAATTCCGACGACCGAGGCGCTCAATATGGCGGTGAGTGCTCTAATCCGAATTTTCACTCAAAAAACGTTATCATTCTTGATTTTTGCAGGCCGTTTATCGATTTTTGTTTCGAGTTATTAAAAGATGCGCAGAATTGAGAAATGATAGCCCGATGTTTCGACGATACGCGCAATTAATCGAGGTTTTTGTTTTGGCCATTTTACAGCAGCAAAAAAAAAATATTTTCAGATAATGGCTGATATAATGGCTCCGATGGGGCTAATGAAGGAAGAGGACGAGCAAGAAGCCGTTGAGATCTTCACCGAGGCGCTCAAATCGATTCTGGCGATTCCGAGCGGAACAAGTTGGAGGAATGTGAAAAAAGGCGCCGAGATGGATGGGCCGCATTCGAATTTGGACGAGCTCAGCGAATCGAACGGCAATATTTGCGATAAGGTAGTGATTTTTTTTAAATTTCCAAAAAAAAAATGTTTTTGATGCTAAATTTTTGAAATTCTGATGGAATTCGCCAAAAATTTTTGGGGTTTTTTGGAAATTTTTGATTTTGAAAATGACGATTGAAGAAATTTGCCGAAAAACGTAAAAACTTTTTTTTTTGTTTTTCTGAAAAAACGCACAAAGATTTCACAATATTTCAACTTTTTTTTTGGGAAAATACGAAAATTTGAGAAGATTTGCAGTTTTTTGCCTGAAAATTCACAAATTTCCCCCTAGATATGGATTTTTTGAACAATGTTTTGAAAATTTTGCCGAAAATCGCGAATATTTTTGACAATTCTTAACAAATGTCGATTTTCTATGAAAATGCGGCCTTTTTTTTGAGAAAAGTTTGATTTTGAATTTTTTCCCATTGAAAATGATATTTTGACGCAAAAATCGAAATTTTTTGAAAATTTCTCGCAAATTTTGATTTTTCGATGAAAATCTGGCAAAATTTGACAAGAATTTGGAATATTTTTCGGAAAATTCGAAGCGATTCGCAAAAAATGCACAGATTGAAGGAAATTTTCAACAAAATCATAAAAATTTTCAGTTTTCATCGAATTTTTCGCTTCAGGTTTTGCATTTGTTGGAGATCCTGTCGAGCAATCTCATCGATGAGCTCGGAATTGCTCCGAATCCGATACTCGACGTCATTTTTCACTATCTGACCGAACCGCACAGGGTATCATCGATTCACCAATTGATTTTCAAAAAAAAAAAGCAATTTCAGACGCAGAGTCCCGAATCGTATTTGATTGTGTCGGAAATGATCAAAAATCGAAAATCGGCATTGGATGAGTCGATTCGAAATGTGAGTCGGGCGAGGGGGGAATTTGAGAACTTTGAACATCTCTATAATTGTTTTGTTTTTTTTTTTGCAAAAAATTTAGGCGATTCAACGATTCTCGCGCAATTGCGAATTTCCCGACGATTTCGAGATGACCGGCGCTTCGAATCGCCTCAAATTCTACGATGCGATACGCGTTTTGAATCATTTGGCGTCGGATTTGGTGGCGCCGTCGTTTCCCGAAATTGCCATATGGCTGAATGTGAGTTCTCAATGTCGTTTCGGCTCACAAGTGAGCTTTTTTTGGTGTCCGTCTTAAAATTTTTTTTCATACAGATTCTTTTGAAAATTTCCAATCGAATGAACTAGGTCCCTATCTGCGCAAACTTCTAGTTATCTGGATATGGACCTTCAAAGTTTTAGCCCCTCCCCACGTGAATTTTAGATATAAAGGAAACTCGAAATGAAATAACGTGATGTCTTATCTCTTATATCCCAATTTGGCAATCAGTTGTAGTTCAGTGATGTGTAGGTTATGTTGTGATGAATGGAGTTCCAGATTCGGTGCCGCTACCTGCAAATTTTTTTTTGAATAGGTGATACAGTAATTATGAAAGTGCAATTTTGCGTTTTTCTATTTAAATTTGCAATTTTCATCATATTGAAAGGTCATGTATAGGAAAAAAAATAGTTTGTCAGGGCAATCAATTCAAAGAAAACAAAAAAATGAAATGCAAATTAACATGATTCGATGCAGAAATCATCGAAATTATTTTATTTATTCCTCAGTTTCAATTTTGAAATCGTATTCGATTGAATTAGGGTAAAAAATTCCGAAAAATCGCTGAAAGAATTATGAAATTTTACCGTACCAAAATAAAATTAGGAGAGAGGTCTTTAGGCGAAATTAGCTTTTTGCCAAATCTACAGTACCACTGTCTCTTTTTTTTCATGAAATCGTCCTGCAAGAATTATCAAAGGCAGAGTTGGCCGGTTTCGCCGGTTATCCAGAATACGAGATTCGAAATCACACTATTTCAAAACTAAAAAAAACGAAAAAATTGGCAAAATTCCAAAAAAATTATGAGAAAGGTCTTGGCGCGAAATTAGAGGCCAGCTTTTGCGAAACCTTTTTTTTCATGAAATCGCTGCAAGAATCATACAATTTTACTATATGCGCCTTTAATTTGCATTTAAAAAAGTAATAAAATCGTTTCGATTAAAGGCGCATAGGATAAAATTCCATGATTTAATTTTTTTTAAATCGGATTTTTGAGTTTTTTTTTTAATAGGAAAAATTGACGGATTTCCGCCCAACTCTGATCTTGTTCAAAAAAAAAATTATTTTTTTTTTCTATATAAAAAGTTTCAGTCGGAAGACGCGACGGATCGTGTGGCGACGGTCCATCTCATCGGTTGTTTGGCGTGCGAGAAGCTCACCCAGATCGGGACGACGTCGAACGACGAGGTCTGGAATGCGTTTCTCGCGAAGTGTCGCGACATCGACGAGGCGGTTCGAGTGGAATTTGTCAAATCGGCGGCGCAGATCCTCAAAACCACTAATATTCATTTGAGAGGCGATTTGACGAGTTGGTTTTTTCTTAATTTTTTTCCATTTTTCAATTTTTTTTAAATCAAATTTTTGAGAAATTTGCTTAAAAATTGATAGTTTTCAATTTTTTTTTGCGAAAAAATTAAAAATTTCGAGAAATTTGAATGATTGACAATTTTCAGATGAGCAATTTTCTTAAATATATGAAATTCAATTTTTTCTTTTTTGCTCGGAAATTTGCAAACATCCAAAATTTCCGACTAAATCTGAAATTGGTCATTTTTGGAACTAATGAGAAATTTGGGACCATTGAGAAACTAGTGCTACAGTAATCCAAATAATTGAGTTGATTTTCTTATTTTTTTTGTAAACGAGAAATTTCAGTTTTTTGTTTCTCTTAAAAAATTTCAAAAATCAATAAAATCTGAAAATATTGAATTTTTATAGGTCTGTAAATCTACACTATTAGATTTTCGCGACGAGACCTTGATCCTAGCTTTTTTTTTAAGAAAATAAAATATTTTCCAGAAAAAAGAACTCTTGAAATATTGCACAATTAGAGCATGATTTCATTTTTGATCTACCTTTTTGCACTCGCTGAAAATTGCCACAAAATCTGAAAATTGTTCATTGTTTTTTTTTTTCTTGCAGACCAATTAATTCGAGCAGCGACTGATCGAAGTGAAGTGGTGCGAACCGAGGTGATCACAAGTGTGATCGGTGTGGCGAAAGTGCGAATCGAGGCGATCGGCGACAAGCTTCTCAAGGCGATCTGCACTCGATTGCACGATACGATGGTAGAAAAATTGGCCGAACCAATTGCCGCTCATTGTTTTTTTTGTTTGTTTTTGCAGAAATCGGTTCGCATTTGCGCCATCAAACAGATAATGTCGTTGTATTTCCACGTGATGACGAAATCGCCGATCGTCTGCGCGAAAATCGACGAGGCGAGCAGCGTCGATGCGACGTCGGCGCCGCCCTACACCGAGTCGGACAAGGAGTGCGTCGCGTTCATTCCGAACGCCGTCCTCAACTTCTATCGGAGTATGGAGGCGACCGACGAGGAAGCGAGGTTTTCGTTTGATTGGGGCAATGGAAAGCAAAAAAACGAAATTCGTCACGAGACCCATCGCATGAATATAAACGGCATGCGTCTTTAACTACAGTATCCCTGCGAAAAACAAAAACGGGGGAAAATTCCTAAAAACTAAATCCCGAGGTAGTTTGAGACGCATGTCGTTTATTTATGCGATGGGTCTCGAAGCGAATTCCAATAAAAAAAATTTTCTTTCCCAAATCGAATATTCGATTTTTGTCGGATTGAATTTTGCAAAAAAATTGACAAATTTCGAATTTTTGTTTTGAGGCGCAAAATTTGCGAAATTAATTACTCGAATTTTGGCAATTTTTTTTTCTTTGCCGAAATTTTGAAAATGTTGAGCCCCCCCCTCCCTCTGTGCGCCTTTAAACGATATACCATTTATAGATACATAATCGAGCGATATTTCCAATTGTATTTTGTGCCGTATCAAGTGGAGGCCAGAAAACGAATGGAATTGATGATGAGCCTATATCGGAGCCTCAACGACGTCGCAGCTGTGTAAGCTTTAAAAAAAACGCGTTCGTGACGAGACCTTGACAATTAAAAAAAAAAACCAGATTTGAACATTTTTTGGAATATTCCTTAAGCGTGCACTTTTTTTTGACGCTTCAAAAATGCTGGAAAAAAATGCGAAATTTTTCTGATCTACTCCTCATTCTTGTTTTTTTTTTGGTTTGCAGAAGCTTCGAGACGATCGTGTGCAGAAGCGCGACGATTCGACGCCTTCTCATTCAGTTGTTCAACGATTTGTCGACGCCGGACGCCGGACACGAGCGCATCTGTGCGAGCATCAAAAAAATGGCGCACGCGCTTTATGATCCGGTCGCGGTGAGTTTTGGGCCCATCGGGGGTGGGGTGGGACCGTTGGGAACAAAATCCAAATTGGGGAATGCAAATTTCATTCTCTTCTTTTTTTTATCCATCACGTTTGGATTACTGTAGCATTGGTTTCTCAATGGTCCCAACAAAAATAAAATTTGGATAAATTCTAAAAATGGTCATCCAGATTTTTTGTCGAAAAATTTGGATTTTTGCAAATTTCCGAGCCGAAAAAAGTTGAATTTCAAGAAAATTTCTTATCTGTGCTCGAATTTGGATTACTGTAGCACTATAGTTTCTCAATGGTCCCAACCAGATTCCCCTTCTCAATGGTCCCAACCAGATTTTGTCGAAAAATTTGGATTTTTGCAAATTTCCGAGCCGAAAAAAGTTGAATTTCAAGAAAATTTCTTATCAGTGCTCGAATTTGGATTACTGTAGCACTATTTGAATGTTTGAGGTTTTGTTGAAAAGTTGTGCTGGAAAAAAATTTTTGTCCGGCTTAATTTTTCAAAAAAAAAAACGGTTCAAAAAACATGGTTTTGTCGATTTTCAGACGGAACGAATGCTGAAAACGTTCACAAATTTGATGTCCGAAGACGAGAGCTTCTTCACGATGCTGAAAATCTTGATCGCCGACAGCTACACGACGGCCGAAATCGAGAAAGGATCGGTTCGTTTGCCGTTCGATTTTCATTTTGTCTACGCTTTTATTTATTTATTTTTTTTTTTCAGTCCGAAATCATTCGCTACGCGTTCGGCAAATATTCGGCGATGAATCGACAAAAAGAAATGCTCCATTTTAGGCGTTTTTTGGACCGCTGCTCGCCGCTGTGTTTTGATAGCGAATGCGCAAAAGTGAGTCGCTCTTTTTTTTTGAAGAATTTCATTAAAAATTTGATTTTGTGAATTTTTGGGGGAAAAATTGAACATTTTGGCAAAATTTGCTCAAAAAAAAATCACATTTTTTGGGATTTTTAGACGATATTGAGCTGAAATTGAAGTTTTATATGTTTTTTTTTTTCTAGAAAAGTCGAATTTTTCTCTTAAAATTTGCGATTTGAAATTAGAAATTGAGATTTGCCAACAAATTTGCGAAAATTCGCAATAATTTTTTTGGGTTTTCAGAAAATTCAAAAAAAAAGTCAAATTTTCTTCAGAAATTGAAAAAAATTCGGCTTTCCTAAAAAAAATCGCAAAAAAAAAAACAAATTTACCAAGAAATTCTCAAAATTTCTGAAAAACTTCGAAATATTTTCAGAAATTCTCAAAAATTCCGAAAATTTCTAAAAAAAAATTTTAGAAAAATTTTCGGAAATTCTCAAACTTCTCAGAAATTCCCAAAAAAAAATTCTGGAGATTTTCAGACATTTTCGAAATTTTCCGAATATTCTCAAAATTATCAAAAAATTGAAAGAAATTTTCAAAAAATCCCCGTCCTCCAAAAAAAAAAAAGAAGACAACCCATGAGATAATGTTCTCGTTTGTAGACATTCGTCGATCTCGTCGAAAAAACGGTCATCGGAATCGAGCAGAAGAAGAAGGCGAGTCTGGAGAATTGCGAGAAGGACATGAAGCTGTTCAAGGTAGATCACCAAGAAGCGAAGCGTGCGCCTTTAATCGTCGTCTTCAGATATGGGCCGACAATTTCGCGCATCTGTTCGCCACCGAGCCGATTCTCAAAACGCTCGGCAAATCGTTTCTGTCGAGCGACGACGTTCGACCCGTCGAGACGTCGCTGCGAGCGATGTGCGTGATTCTGACGAGGAACAGCCTTCGGAATGCGTTGAGGGACAAACAACCATGGATTGTCGACATCATCGAGTCGTTCAAAGGTGCTAGCGCAAGTTTTTTTTTTCGTTTCGTCAAGCCACGCCCCAGAAATGGGGTCTTGAATGGAAATCGATTTAAAGGAGCATGGTGTTGATTTTTCGAGTAACCTCTCGAAGCGAAAATTCAGCAAGATTACCTTAGTCGATGACGTCCGCATTGATTGCAGAGATTCTGGAGAAGGCGGACGCGCGATTCCGGAAGTGCTGCAAGTTGGCGAGCCGCCTGCTGAATTTGATCGGCGATCGCGACGAGACCTCGCGCTACTACGAGACGATCAAAGAGCGCCTCGTCGCGAGCATCGAGCTCGACGAGCCGAAGTGCGCGAATTCGCTTCAAATTTTGGCCAACGTTTACGCGTTTCAACCCGACGCCCACCACGCCGCGTGCATGTCGGTGTTCGATCGCGTCGTCGGCGCCGACATGATGTTGTCGGCGCGCGTTTCCGACGACGTCGACGATCGACGAGCGCCGCAATTTGATCCGTGCGTCAGTCTGAAGAAGCAGCCGATGACTGAGATGGTTGAGAGAAAGGTTTGCCAATTTAAAAAAACAAATTGTTTTGAGGAAAAATTGAGCTGAAATTCGAAAAAAAATGATTTTCAGCATTAAAAAAAAATGAAATTTGCGATTTTTTATCAAAAATTTTATGAATGGACAATTTTTGCGATTTTTTTTTCTGGAAATTTGAATTTGGTAGCTGAAAATTGCAAAATTTGTCGATTTTTGACTGGTTTTTGTCAGAATATTTTAAGAAAATTGCATTTTTTGCAAGAATTTTGAAAAAATGTTTGAAATATTATTGAAAATGCATGAATTTTTGCCCAAAACGCATTGAATTTTGCAATTTGTGGAAATTTTTGGCGAAATTGAATCGAAAGACTTGAATTTTTTGGATTTTAAGCTGAAAATAAAATTTTTTTGTTTTTTTTGCAGATAACCGCTATCAAATATTGTACATTTACCCTATTATATGCTTGTGATTTGATATCGAAAAATAAAATCGAAAAGAATGAGATGAAGCCGAGATTGTGCACATTCATCGAGTCCGCGGTGCATCTGATTCGGACCAAAGGCGACGTCGATGGGTCCGGAAGGCAGAGGTGAGCGAAATTTGGCCAATTTCGATGATTATTCATTTTTTTTTTGCTACAAATTTCCTAATTTTTGCCAATGAAATGAATTTTATGGAGAAAATTGCGATTTTGGGCATTCATTATCAGAAAATTGATGGTTGCTTCTTCGTTTTTTTTTTTTTTATTGTGAGAATTTGCAGCGAACTCGAATGCGCTCGATTGCGTCTCGTCGCCGGCTCGTCGCTTCTCAAATTGTGCAATTTTCCCGTGTTTCGCCATTTGCTCGACGCGCCTTCGTTCAATGAGCTCGCCCAGCTCATTCGGGTATTTTTTTTTTGCGAGCCCTAAACCGAATTTGTTTCGATTTGTTTTTCAGGATCCGGCGTTTTGTGTTAGATTCCGATTCGCGGTGGCACTTCAGAAAGCGATGAAGCGACGGTTTGTGGCCTTTTTTTTTGTTTTTTGAAAATTATTTTGGTTTTTTTTTGCGACAATTGCCGATTTTGGCGATATTTTGTGGGAAAATTGAGCATTTTGCATTAATTTTTCAAATTTTGCCTCATTTTTTCCTGAAAATGCTGTCATTTTGAAATTTTGACAAAATTTTGAGAAAATTGCCGATTTTGGCGATATTTTGTGGGAAAATTGAGCATTTTGCATTAATTTTTCAAATTTTGCCTCATTTTTTCCTGAAAATGCTGTCATTTTGAAATTTTGACAAAATTTTGAGAAAATTGCCGATTTTGGCGATATTTTGTGGGAAAATTGAGCATTTTGCATTAATTTTTCAAATTTTGCCTCATTTTTTCCTGACAATGCTGTCATTTTGAATTTTTGACAAAATTTTTGAGACAATTGCCGAATTTGGCGATTTTTTGTGGTAAAATTTAAAATTTTGAATGCAATTTTTCAAATTTTGCCTCATTTTTTCTTGAAAATGCTTTCATTTTGAATTTTTGACAAAATTTTTGAGAAAATTGCCGAATTTGGCGATTTTTTGTGGTAAAATTTAAAATTTTGAATGCAATTTTTCAAATTTTGCCTCATTTTTTCTTGAAAATGCTTTCATTTTGAATTTTTGACAAAATTTTTGAGAAAATTGTCGAATTTGGCGATTTTTTGTGGTAAAATTTAAAATTTTGAATGCAATTTTTCAAATTTTGCCTCATTTTTTCTTGAAAATGCTTTCATTTTGAATTTTTGACAAAATTTTTGCGAAAATTGTCGAATTTGGCGATTTTTTGTGGTAAAATTTAAAATTTTGAATGCAATTTTTCAAATTTTGCCTCATTTTTTCTTGAAAATGCTTTCATTTTGAATTTTTGACAAATTTTTTGCGAAAATTGTCGAATTTGGCGATTTTTTGTGGGAAAAATGAGCATTTTGCACGAATTTTTCATATTTTGCCTCATTTTTTCTTGAAAATGTTGTCATTTTGAAATTTTGACAAATTTTTTGCGAAAATTGTCGAATTTGGCGATTTTTAATTTTGTGGGAAAAATGAGCATTTTGCACGAATTTTTCATATTTTGCCTCATTTTTTCTTGAAAATGTTGTCATTTTGAAATTTTGATTTTTTTTTTTTTTTTCCCTTTTTCTTAAAATGTTGTCATTTTGAAATTTTGACAAAATTTTTGAGAAAATTGCCGAATTTGGCGATTTTTTGCGAGAAAATTGAGCATTTTGAACGAATTTTTCATATTTTGCCTCATTTTTTCTTGAAAATGTTGTCATTTTGAAATTTTGACAAATTTTTTGAGAAAATTGCCGAATTTGGCGATTTTTTGCGAGAAAAATGAGCATTTTGCACGAATTTTTCATATTTTGCCTCATTTTTTCTTGAAAATGTTGTCATTTTGAAATTTTGACAAATTTTTTGCGAAAATTGTCGAATTTGGCGATTTTTTGTGGGAAAAATGAGCATTTTGCACGAATTTTTCATATTTTGCCTCATTTTTTCTTGAAAATGTTGTCATTTTGAAATTTTGACAAAATTTTTGAGAAAATTGCCGAATTTTGCGATTTTTTGCGAGAAAATTGAGCATTTTGAACGAATTTTTCAAAGTTTGCTTCATTTTTTCCTGAAAATGCTTTCATTTTGAATTTTTGACAATTTTTGCGAAAATTGCCGAATTTGGCGATTTTTGTGTGGGAAAATTTAAAATTTTGAATGCAATTTTGAAAAGTTTCTGAAAATTTTTTGAGATTTGGCGATTTTTTGCGAGAAAATTGAGCATTTCAAGTTTTTCCATCTGACAATGACGATATTTTTCAGAAAATTACCAGTTTATTGGAGAAAATGAATTTTTAGACGAGTTTTTCCAAAATTTTTGCGCTTTTTTGGTTCAATTGCAAATTTTTTGATCTCTTGCCATTTTTTTTTGCCAAATTTGACGATTTTTGTGGGAAATGTGGAATTTCAAAGCGGATTTTTCCAATTTAAAAAAAATTATAAAAATTTTGTAAGCGATTTCTCGCAATTTTTTGAATTGCACCATTTTTGGCGGCAATTTGAGATTATGAATTTTTTTTTTGCAGTGTTCCCATCGAGTTTTCGGCGATATTTGGATTAGTCAATTTCGGAATAACGCCCGACGATCGAGAAATTCAAAAATCGCAAGAGTTTGATGGGTAATTTTTTTTGGATGGTCCCTACTATTTCTATCTCAATTTATTTGGTGTCTCCAGATTCAAAAAATACTGTAGCGATATGGCGCGACAAATATTTGCGGCGCGGAGCGACGCGGAAGCGGATCGACTGAAAATTTCGGCGGGTTCGTTGCAAATTTCGAAAAAAAAATTAAAGAAATCCGCCTCAAAATTTTGTTTTGGGAAAAATGGCAAAATTTTGAGTGGAAATTGAAAATTTGGCTCATTTAAGCGGATTTTTTTCAATTTTGAGACCATTCCAAGTGGAAAATTTGGAATGGTCCCTAAAATTCGAGTTTTTGAACCAAAAGTATCGAAAAATAAAATATCAAAATTTATTGAAATTGGATTTTCAAATTTTTCGATTTTGACCAATTGTTGGTCCCTAGTAGACAAGGAATTTCGAGTTGAATGGTCCCATCACGAATTTGTGTTTGTTGCAGTCGACCGCGCGATTTTCTGCGCCGAAACGGTGGCGGCCTATTCGGTTTGGCTTCTCGCCAATCAGCCGTGGCTGAAAAGCAACGACGACGTGCAAACGCTAGCCGAGATCAAAGAGTGAGTTGTTTGATCTACCGCGAGACCGAACGATGCGCTTCAGATCGGTGTGGCTAATTTTGGAAGCGTTGATTCACGCGCGAATCGACATGCAAAAAGTGTACAAATCGTTGGAAAAAGTGAAATTGTGCGGCGATTCGTCGAAAAAGCACGAGATGAAGGAGAAGAAGCGAATCTACGCGCACAACAAAGTGATTTTCATCGATTTGATTTTAATTCGAAATTATTTTTGCAGAAAATTTGGGCGATCGCCGACATCGGAATGCATTTGTTGATTTATCGCGCCAAATTGCAAGTGATTGATGAGAAAATCGAGTTGCACTTCAACAATATGTTCTTCTATGGATGCACGAAAAGCGATATGGTTGATCCGTCGGAGGTTTGGTTTTTGGCGAAAAATTGAAAAAATTGCGAGATTTTGGCGAAAAATTGAAAAAATTGCGAGATTTTGGCGAAAAATTGAAAAAATTGCGAGATTTTGGCGAAAAATTGAAAAAATTGCGAGATTTTGGCGAAAAATTGAAAAAATTGCGAGTTTTTGGCGAAAAATTGAAAAAATTGCGAGATTTTGGCGAAAAATTGAAAAAATTGCGAGTTTTTGGCGAAAAATTGAAAAAATTGCGAGATTTTGGCGAAAAATTGAAAAAATTGCGAGATTTTGGCGAAAAATTGAAAAAATTGCGAGTTTTTGGCGAAAAATTGAAAAAATTGCGAGATTTTGGCGAAAAATTGAAAAAATTGCGAGATTTTGGCGAAAAATTGAAAAAATTGCGAGATTTTGGCGAAAAATTGAAAAAATTGCGAGATTTTGGCGAAAAATTGAAAAAATTGCGAGATTTTGGCGAAAAATTGAAAAAATTGCGAGATTTTGGCGAAAAATTGAAAAAATTGCGAGATTTTGGCGAAAAATTGAAAAAATTGCGAGTTTTTGGCGAAAAATTGAAAAAATTGCGAGATTTTGGCGAAAAATTGAAAAAAATTGCGAGATTTTGGCGAAAAATTGAAAAAATTGCGAGATTTTGGCGAAAAATTGAAAAAATTGCGAGATTTTGGCGAAAAATTGAAAAAATTGCGAGATTTTGGCGAAAAATTGAAAAAATTGCGAGATTTTGGCGAAAAATTGAAAAAATTGCGAGTTTTTGGCGAAAAATTGAAAAAATTGCGAGATTTTGGCGAAAAATTGAAAAAATTGCGAGATTTTGGCGAAAAATTGAAAAAATTGCGAGATTTTGGCGAAAAATTGAAAAAATTGCGAGATTTTGGCGAAAAATTGAAAAAATTGCGAGATTTTGGCGAAAAATTGAAAAAATTGCGAGATTTTGGCGAAAAATTGAAAAAATTGCGAGATTTTGGCGAAAAATTGAAAAAATTGCGAGATTTTTAACCCTAAATTGGCTGAATTTTTTTGATTTGCCCTAAATTGAGCGGAAATTTTTGATTTGAGCCAAGATTGGCCAAAATTTGATAAAATTGAATTCAATTGATTGAATTGATTTGATTTTGCTGAAATTTAATTGTTTGAACTTTAAATTGCGAGACAAAATTGAAAATTAGGTGAAATTGGTGTGAAAACATGAAAAATTTTTATTCAAAAATTTTTAAATTTATTTTGAATGAAATCTTTCGAATTTTACCAAATTTCGCTTTTATTAGGCCATATTTGGATCGAAAATTGTTTGAAATCGCGAGAAATTCGAATTTGCAGAACTACGCGCCCGACGAGGTTCTCGATATGGCATCGAAGGCGGCGGCGGCGTCGTCGAAAGGCGGCCGAAAGCCGAATATGGGCACAAGTCGGCTGAATTCGTCGAAGAACACGTCGAAATCGAGAATTGGCGCCGCCAAAAATCGACAAACGTGCGAGCCTTATTTATTTTTTTTTTTTTTTTTGATCGAATATTTTCGTTTTGGAATTTTGCAGAAAATCGAAAACGAAAAAATCGGAGAGTTTCTCGATATTGTCAGATGACGATGAGAATGCCGCCGACGACGACGACGGACCATCGACGACGCAGCGGAGCACGAAGATCAGAGATTCGATGGATTTGCCCGAAACCGAGGAGGATGAGGTGGGGCGGCGGCGTTTACGCAACTGACTTGTGCACCCAATCAATTTTCAGCCGATCGAGAAGTTTGTGATGAAGCGAGCTCGACGAAAGAATGACGACGTCGTTGAGCAGAATACGTCGAAGCGGAAAAAGGTTCGGAGAAAAAGAAAACCGATTGTTGGTCGCTTTTGTTTTTGTTTTTAGTAGATTTTGCGAACTCTAATGATGGTCCCTAACTTGAGCGACTATCAAAACGCGCTTAGCGATTTCTCAAACCGAATTGAGCGTTTCGAGTTGTCGCGACAAAATTTGAGTGTTTGCAGCCGCCGACGGAGGCGAAATTGGAAAAATCGAAAACGTCGCCGGTTCGTCGAAAATCGACGAGAAATTTGAAAACGCGCGCAAAATATGAAGAAATTGTGAGTCTTTTTTTTTTGAGTGAGAGAGAGAGAGAGATTTGAACTTTTCTGAACCACAGGATTCTGATGAAGATGAGGAGGAGGATGAAGCTGAAGCTGAAGCTGAAACTCATCCAACGGCATCCGAAAAATCACTAGATACCATTATGATCTCGCCGATCGCCGGAAATAATCGAGTAGGCCGAATGATGTCCTCCCTCAGAATTATGTTCAACGATTTCAGAAGCGAAAATCGGCAACGTTGACGTCGTCAACGCCGCTCAGAAGTGCGCCGAAGAAAACGAGCGTTCGAAACTCGAAAAAGTCCGAATATGATCTCCCAGAAGATGAAGATGAACCAAAGGTAGTTGAAAAACTGACACTTTGATCTTTTTTGGTGCTCTTCGACGGCAAACGCGCTCTATTGCACTCCCGTTATCTCAAAACAATGCAATAGAGCACGTTTGCTGTCGTCATTTCTGAGCAAAAATTTTGAATTCTTTTTTTGTTTTCAGAGTCCGCCACCAAAACGACGCGGAAGAAAGCCGAAAAAATGAGCTGATAAAAATTAGTCGATGAATTAATTTTTTTTTTTCGTATTGGCCGCCCAAAATTATGAAGCATAATTTATTAAATGTATCTCGTCACCCGTTGTCAGAAAAAATGGAGGGGAGGGCAAAAACCGAGAGAGAGAGAGAGAGAGAGAGAGAGTGAAATCAGCGAATCGTAAAAGCGCCACAAAAGCTCATTTTCTCGATTGAGCAACATCGAGCTCGTGCTCATGTGCGAGCTTCTCCTTCTGTAGCATGAGACGATGATGGACGGGGTCCTCGATGATGTGCAAATAATTGTGGTTGACATAGCGGGCGAGCTGAAAAATGAGAATTTCCAGCAAAACATCGAAATTTGCGATTTTCGGTTTCAAATGTTCAATATTATTTTTTTTTATCTCGAGCCGATTTCCAGGGGTTCATAAACTGGTGCATTCACACACACGCAAAATTGCACACATTTGGTTTTTTTTTGGATTAATTCTTTTTGGAGCCCTCAAATTTCTCTCTTCTCATTGGAAACGAAAAAAATCAATAATTTCGGCGGCAGCGAATTATACCTGGGCTCCTTGCGCGCTGAAATTGCACACGTGGCACGCGAACAGCAACAAATTTCTCGGCTGAACGTGCCACGCGAATCGCATAAAGACGGCCGAGTAGACGAGAAGCGCCGACGTCATGTTCGCGCTGATCATATCCGGATTTTTCTGCAATTGCAAACATTTTTAATGGTTTTTTTTTGCGATTCTCAATATTAATTTTTTTTGCGTCCTCAAATTTCGCTGATTTTCCTCAAAAATTATCAAATTTCTCGAAAACGAAAAATTCGACGCCAAAAAATTTCAAAAAAATGGATAAATTTTTTTTGATTCTAAAAAAATCAACTAGAAATCTCAATTTTTGATTTTGTTTGTTCATAAATCTCAAAAATTGCCACCGCGAAATTTTTTTCGAAATATTTCAGGCATAGATTACTGTAGATTTTAAAGGCACATTGTGGAACATCTTCAAAATATTAAGAAGTGGAGCAAAAAAATTTGTTTCAAATTTAAAATCGGCTTTAAAAAAACTTTTTAAGCTAAAAAAAAATTCCGAAACTTCTGAAAATCAATCAAAAACAATATGTTTCAAATCATTAAAAAAAAAAAACAAAAAATGGCAAATCACTTTCAAATCGCCAATCGCCGCCAATGGCAGTCCCCAATTGGCGACGGGTCCCCAAAAGTGTGTCGACAGAAAATAATGGCGCCATTCGGCCAAACTGTGCTGTTTGAAATAGCGCGTCACCGCCGCCGCCGCTTTCGACATTCTGTTCTTCAAGAAAAAAAAAATAGAGCTCTGAAATCAATGAAAATGCAAATTTTTTCAAAAACACAACGATTTGAGGTATTAAAGGGACATTGAACCCTTCAAAAAACAAGCAAAAATGAGTAGATCAAATAATTTATTTCGATGCGAAACTATGAACATCTCGCTCATTTCCTCGACGCCTCCTCCCAATCCGACGAGTCGGAGCTCGAGCTCGACGAGTGTCGCTTCTTCGCCTTCTTCTCCTTTTTGCTCTTTTTCGACTTCTGCAATTTCGCGAATCACAAAATCATCGAGAATTCTCGTTTCTCTTCAACGTCGACGTCTTGAAGCGATTGAAAAGAGCAAAAATAAAATTAAAGGCGCATCACACCAGAAATTGAATTCGTCGAGACAACAAAAAAACCATTAAAAAACTGTGTAGATTTACGCGCATGCGCCTTGAAAAAGGTCTCGCCACGTGTGAGCGCTCAATTTTTTCTTGATGACTTTCGCGATTTCTTGGAATTTCCAGCATTTCAAAAAAAAATTGTCAAACCGGTTTATAAAATTTGAAATAACCTGTTAGTCCGTGCGAGACCCAAATAAAGACGCATCCCCGTAAATCTTTTTCTTTCTAAAATTCCAAGAAAAAAAGCGAAAAATGACGCACTTTTTTGTGTTTTTTCTCCTCCTTCTTCCTTTTCTCCTCCTTCTTCTTATTCTTCTTCTTCTTCTTTTTGTGCTCTCGTCGCTTCTTCAAATCGTCTTGCAAATACTTCAACACCGAGAATGCCGTCAATCCTTGACTCGCCGACAATTCTTTGGGCACTTCTGGTCCATAGGTCCGATTCAAATCATCGCTATTCGTCTGCAATACTCATTTTTCAGCAAATTTCACATTAAAAATTTAAAATCTATCAAATTATTCCAACGAAAATCCCATCAAAAATCAATTTCTTGATAATTTCCAAAATTTCAAAACGCCGCCAAAATCAAAAATTCAAATTCGTCTTCTCATCAAACCTGACGATGCTCAATTATCTCAACGTCGGGCTCATCGGCAATCTCGACGACGTCGGCCATTCGTGTCGTCGTCGCCGATGATGACTTCTCCATCTCGATCTTCTTCTCAATCTCCATTTTTCGCTTGTGCAGCTCATTCGCTTTGCGCTCGTTTCGTCGACGCTCATCCTCGCTGTCGGTCTCATCCGAATCCGACGACGACGACGACGACGCGCCGCCACCGCCAAACACATAATCGAAAAACGATTTCGGCGCCTTCTCGGCTTCTTCTTTCAGCTTCTCCTCGTCCGACTCGTCGTCCGTCTCATTTTCATCGATTTTCCGCTAAAAACAACACCCAATTTTTGCGGGTTTTCTCAAAAATCTCACCTGATCATCATCATCCTCAACCTCAACCTCATTCTTGATCAAATTCTCGTCCTCCTTCGCTCGTTGCTGCTGCTCGCTCAGCTTCTCCTGACGGGCTTTTTCTCTGCAAAAACGACATTCTTGAATGAACTATATTTTAAAGGCGCATTCCAAAAAAAAAAACAAACAATTTTTTTCAAACCATTCAAAATCGGCCAAAAATTGCAGGAAAAAATAAAATTTTTCAATAAAAAATGCAATTTTCGCAATTTTCCACCAAAAATCCACTGCGACAAAAAATATTTTCGGCAAATTCGTGAAATGGCGAGATGGTTCGATCAAAATGCGATTGATAAGATAAAACATTCGAGACATTTCCAATGAACACTTTCAAATCACGCCGATTTCGTCAAAATCGTCAGTTTTCAATTTTTTTAACGGCAAAAATTGCAAAAATTCGAATTTTTTCAAATTCCTCAAAAAAAAAAATTCATCAAATTCACACAAATTATTTCATTTTTTTCAATGTTCGAATGAAAAAACTCAATTTTTGAAAAATTTCGCTCAAAAAAACAATTTTTTTCATTTCTTTTCAATTTTCTCGTCAAAACAAAAACAAAACTAGGATTTTTTTCAATTTTTTTCAATTTCCACTTGAAACAAAAAAAAATCTTTAAAAAAATGAAGTGTATTTCAAAAATATTTCTCAAAAATCAACTTCTCAACTTAAAATGTCGAATTCGTTGCGAAAAATCGGGCACATGACGATTTCCGTCGAATGGAAAAAAAATGCGAACGAAGAGAAAAGAGAAAAATGCGACAAAAGGAAAAACAAACAAATAGGTGGACGCCAGGACAAAAAAAAAGAAAAACCGATCAAAAATCACCCAATTTTCGAAATTTTTAATTCAAATTTTCTCAGTTTTTTTCGACGCAAATTTTCTCTCGCAAAATTTTTTTTTAATTGCCAAAAAAAAATTTCAACATTTTTGGGATGGATTAAATTTTTTTTGGTATCGATTTTCAATTCAAAATTGCTCATTTTTGAAAAAAATTACAAAAAAAGACATCAAAAATCCATAAAATTTGAGTTTCCATTCCAAAAAAAACACCTTTTTCGAATTTTTTGACCTTGATTTTTCTTGTCAGCATTTTAAAAATAGAAAATTTACAACAAAAAAAATAATTGGGACCATAAAAGGGACCATCGATGCAAAAATCAAAATCCCTTCTTTAAATTTTAAATTTTTCCCAAAAAATCGCCAAGCTCGGAAAAAAAGGTCCCAAAATTTACGGACCACGATAATTCGCATTTTTAATTCAAAACAAAAAACCTCATTTGAAGCTCATTCGCCGTGTTCGGCAATCCGACGCTCGGCAATCCAAGATCGGCGGCCGTCATCTCTTTGCGAATCGTCGTCTTCTGCAAATGCGGCACACCGACCATTTCGGCGCCCGGATACGGGTTCGGAACATTGAATCGTTTCACCAGCAGCGGATCAGGATACCTCAAAAAAAAAATTCAACGATTTGGCATTGCACATGATTTTCCCAAAAACAAAAAAAAAAACAAATCCATTCCGTGCCGCTCTGGCTGCAGTGCGTTTCACCCCCACAATTTTCCCTCCAAGACTTTTTGGTTCAGAAACGCTTATAAATAATTTCTGAAGCCGTTTTTTCTCTGTGAATAAATTGAAATTTGAATTTCGGCCTCAAAAACTGGTTCCAAATGGCACGAGTTTGTCCAGGAATGTTTCATTTCGACGGTGAGCACCAGCTGTTTCGCAAAAAAAAAAATTGAACAACCACAATTCGTCTTGCTCAAGCTCACTTTTTTTTGCAGGAGGAGATACCACTTTTTTGAACGCCAAAAATTCGACTTCTCTCATGATTTGGTTTTTTTTTTGGAAAATGCTCAATTTCAGTCGAAAATTCGCTGGAAAATCGCACATTTTTTTCAAATTTGAAGAAATCAGCCGAAAATTGGCGAAATGCCAAAAAAAAAAGAAACAATGTTAGACATAGTCTCGCGCGATGGTCCCAAATATTGATTTTTAATATTGACTATAGGAACCATTATAGAAAAAATTTTGGTTGTCGAAAAAAAAAAAAACACAATTTTAAATGTATCCAATTTTCGGGAAAAAATGCGAATTAGGCGACAATGAGAAAAATTCGCTAAACGGCCCCAAAAAAAAAATTACGCGATGCGCCTTTAAACCTCTCAATTTGGGGCGTAAAACCATTCTTTCTTGCATCAATTTTTCGCAATCAGACCATTTTTTTAATTGAATTTCTCGAAAATTTTGAAATTCTCCTTGTTCGGGCATTCAAAACAAAAAGGGACCCCCCCTTCTCAGGTAATCCGAATAAAAAATTTTGAGATTCATTGAGAAACAAACGTGTCTCTATAATATTTTAGATTTTTCTTAATCAACTTTAGAAATTATTAGAAGATTTTAGAATTTCTTGAGATAATTTAGAATTTTAGAAAATCTTATAAAATTTTAAAAAATAAATTTTTAAGTTTATCGATTCTCAATAAGTTTTAAAGATTATCAATAAACATTAGAATTTCTCAAAATATTTTAGGGTTTATTATTGAATATTTTTGATTTGCCCGAGTTTGTCAAACCCACAAAACCAAAAAATCGTACCATTGAAACGATTGTCGCGTCCGGTCGCCGAACATCCCCATTTTGACGGCCGCCAATTTGTCCTCGTCTTTGCGTCCGACGCTCAACTCGCCGCTCGCTTCCTTCACAAATTTGCTGGCGAGTATCTCGTGAATCGGCGCCGCGATCGACGTCTTCGCGAGCGGCTTCGCGCGCGAACGCACCTCCGGCAACATGGCGCGCTCTTCGGCCGTCAGACGCGTCTCGAACTCCTTCTTCTCCGACTCCCATTCCCATATCGAGACGTCCGTCGGCTGCGGGTAGGCGAGTCCGCGTCGCGTGTACAACACGAACTGTTTGAAGCGCGCCTGTTTCAGCGGCTCGTCGGGATACTCGACGCGATTTCGCTCGCGTCGATCGCGTTCCTCGTCGATCTCGCCGCCTGCAAACAGCACACAAGTCAAATTGCCTCATCGCTTCAAGAAACTGCGTTAATTATCATGGTCCCCCACCCCCCCCCATGGTCCCATGTGCATTTCAATTAATAAGAAGGTCCCATTGATTTCAGTTAATTCAACGGGAGGGGGATCATCAATTCAAAAACTTTAATCTATTTTAAATTTTTTTGGTAGGGTCTTGAGACGAAAATTAATTTGGTCCTCCAAAAAAGGCGAAACAATTCCAAGAGACTCCTCCTCAATTCCCCATCATCAAACTCTCATGGTCCCTATTGCAATGGTCCTTGAAATTCTGGCCACGATTCAAAAATTCGGGAAATTTCAAAAAAAAAAGTGCGCGTCGTGAGACCAACCTTGATGCCGACTCTCGCTGGCATCGGCCTCATCGGCTCGAATGTCCCATCGACTCCTCCGCTCGAGACGCTTTCGATCTTTCGACGACACCAACTCCATCACCGACGCGCGATTCTCGCCGAGGAATTTCGCGCGCTGCAACGCGCTCATTTGCCGCACATCGTCCAACATCATCGTCGGCAATCGTCGTGTGTCCATCGGTATCGGCTTGTGGTCGCCGCGAAAGTTCGACGGCAATCGAGGCGGCGCGTAGAATTTGCGCGCGTTCAATTTGTTCGGCTGAAGCACGAACGTCGCGTCGACGACACGCTGCTGCTGCTGTTGCTCGGAAGCGGCGCGTCCCGACACGTCGAGCGAGAAGTCGAATTGGCTCAAATCGTAGCTCGTGTACACGCTGTCGTCATCGTCTTCGAACGCGCCGACGCCGAACGCCTGCCCGCGAATCCCTTTGCCCGTCTTCGACGACTTCAACGCCAACGCGCTCTGCCCGAACGTCTCGTCGAGCACCGACGTGTGCCGAAGGCCTGCGTAGCCGAGACCGTGGACGCCGTTGAGCGGCGTCAACTGCTTCACGAGCACATCCTCGTTGGCGAACTCGTGCGACGGCGCCAATCGTTGCCGTTGCTCGCGATCGAACGCCGTCTCGCCGCCGCGTTGTTTCGCCTTCTGCTTGACGCTGACGAGTCCGACGCCGCGACCCTCGCGCCAACCCATCGCGCGAAGCATTCGAACGCCGATCGAATCGCTCACCGGCCTCACGACGTCCTCGAGCATTTCGGCGATCGTCGAAACGTCGGCGCTCGCCGCGTCGCGCTCCCACGCCATTCGTCGCGGTGCCGCCGCCGCCGTCTCGCCGAACGCCGCCGTCCTTTTGATGGCGCGATTGCCGATGCCGAACTCGCCGAGATCCTCGGCGTCCATGAAATCCTCGGCGCGCTGCTCGACGCGATCGCCGCGATTGTCGCGCGACGACGAGAACTCTTGCGGTACCCAGCCTACAAAAAAAATAAACCAAATCGCGTTGGCGTCATCTCAATTTTGTTTTTCCGCCACCCCCGCCCTCACCTCACCTTGCTTCGAGCCGACCGTATTCCAATAGCCCGCCGAGAAGCCGCCGGTGAACGCGCCGTGAAACCTGTGACAATTTCGACAATTCTCAAAAAATCACAATTCTCTTCGAGACCCACCTTCGCTTTCCACGCTCATCGGTCGCAATCTGATCCTGAATCGGCGTCGGCTTTTTCGAAACAAATTCCTCTGGAAAAAAAATCGGTTATCCGATTGTTTCTTTTAATTTTAGAAAATTTTTGCTTGATTTTCATTTATAAAAAAATCGCATTTCAATTATTGAACCGTTATTGAATGGAACATTTTTGGAGAAAAAAAAAAGATCATAATTTTTTCTGTTTTTTTTTTTAAATATTTTTTCTCAAAACCAGAAAATGTAAAAAAAAAAAACAAAAAAAAGTGTCAACGGGAAAAATTCTACGAATTCTACGCTTTTCTGCTGATTCATCTTTAAAAAAAAATTGAAAATCTGTGGGTTTTTCTTCAATTTTAACATAAAATTAATTTTTTGAATGGGTTTTATTTAGTTTTTGACAAAATGAGTCAATTTTTTGCAAAAATTTTTGAAAAATTCTAAAATAAAAATTTTTCTCTCAACAACAAACGCAAAAAAATTCAAAATTTCTGTGAGGCATTTTTTCGAAAAAAAAAATCATCCAATATTTTTTTGAACCCAAATTTTTCGAGGAGACGCTCAAATTTCTCAATGGTCCGTCCCATCACCCGTCCCTCACTTTCATCATCGTCCTCTTCAAACTTCTGCCCGTAAATCGCGCGAGGTCGCGCGTTTCGGCTCATCTCTGCAATCAATGAGAAAAAAAAATGATTTTAAAAAATGGAAAATTAGAAATACATAAAATTGGGAAATCCACTCAAATTTTCCACAAAAAAGAAACAAATCAACAGCAACAAAAAATGGAAAAAAAGAATTGCTCGGATAAAACTTTACTTTTTCTATAAGAAAATAAACACATCAAATAATGAGAAAAATCAAAACTGGGCAATTCTACAAGTATTCAAGTCTATTTTGGGATGGCTTCTTTTAACATTTTTTGTTTATTTGTTGACTTTGTTGAAATATTCTTTGCTCGACGCAACTCCCGGCTTGATCGTCGGCGAGTCCTCATGCCAATCAGCTGGGCAAACCTGCAAAAAAAAAACAATGAGAAAATCGCAAATTTCGAGAATTATTATTGTCGCGACTTCGAAAAATTGGCTAAATTCCAAAAAACAAAATCACGGTGTGCGCCTTTAACCCATTTTTCTATCTATGCCCGTAAATCTACACTCATAGTTCTGCGCCAAGACCTCCACTTCCATTGTCATTAGCCAATTTTCCGCAGATTCGACAAATTCTAGCCCAAAATTTTCGTAAATTCCTCTCAAAATCATAATGAGGCCCCGAAACGCACCTCTCCGTGCTTATCGGAAAACTGGAACGCCTTGAGCACTCGCAACACCTCATCCACCGATCGTCCCACCGGCAAATCATTGCACGTCGTGTGTCGAATGGTGCCCGACGGATCGATCAGGAACAATCCGCGGAATGCCAATCCGATTTCGGCGTCGAGCACACCGAAACTCTCGGCGATCTTCTTGTTGAAGTCGGACAGAATCGGAATGTCCATTTCGCCGAGACCGCCGTCTTTGCGCGGCTGATTCACCCACGCCAAATGCGAGAAGTGCGAGTCGCACGAGCACGCGATAACCTCGGCGCCGAGTTTGCGGAACTCTTTCGCGCGATCGCCGAACGCGATGATCTCCGTCGGGCACACGAACGTGAAGTCGAGCGGATAGAAGAACATCACCAACCATTTGCCTTTGTAGTCCGAATCGGAAATCACCTGAAAATCGGATTAGCAAAAAAAATTGAGAAAAATCGGCAATTTGTCGAGAAGAAGAACAAAAAGCTGGATGAAAAACGCCAGAAAATCGCATTTTTCAGCAATTTCAGAAAAAAATAAAGCTCAAATACCTTAAAATCGCCATCAACCACCGCGGTTCCCTTGAAAGCGGGCACCTTGTTCTTCGGACCAAGCGGTCTCACCGACAACACCGCGCTCGTAGTGCTGAGCGCGCGAGCACTCTGAGCAACAGCCGAAACTTTTGAAGCGGCACGAAGAGCGTTTCTCAACATTCCTAAAATGGTCAAAACTCAAAATTTGTTGGTCACGTCATAAAAGGAATTTTAAATATAAATATAAATATATATCCAACTCGCCAAAAAACGAGTTTTGCTCATCCGATTCAAATAATTAATTCGCCTCTCAAAAATTTCGCATTTATTCACAAATCATTCAACAAAACAAATTTGTGTGTTTTTCCTTTTTTCAGATTGAGTATCGCAAAAAAACGTGTAACAAAACAGAAAGTTTGAATGAAATAATACAAAAAAAAATCATATATAATTTAATTAAATTATAAAAAAACGATCAATTGCTACTTTTTAATGTTTCTTTCCGCTTTTCACGAAACACCAATCAACGTTGATCGTTTGGCCGAGAAGCTCGCTTCCATTTAAGGATTCGATGGCAGCAGAAGCCTCCTGAAAACCCAAACAATATGAGTAAATCAATTATTTTGTCAAATTTAAAATGTTTGCTCCATTTTCGGAAATTTCATTTTTTTAAATTCCATCTGCTCTAGGTTAGAACAATTACTCTTTAAAAAAATTTAAATTCTAAAATATTATATATTTGACTAAGCTCAAAATTTCGAAAACTATTCCCATTTTCTTAATTACCATGGGTCAAAAAAAATCAAAAATCATGTTTTCAATTAAAAAAAACATTTTCTTCAAAAATAACATTATTCTAGGCCAAAATTCCAGCGTTTTACCTTTTGAGTCTCATACTCAACAAGAGCATATCCTTTCAGGAATCCCGTTCTTCGGTCCAAATTCAAGTGCACATTCTTGATCTCGCCGAAATCGGCAAATTTGTCGTGCACATCGTCCTCGGTGGCTTCCTCGTGAATATTCGTCACAAACACAATCCAGCCCTCGACGGATCTTTGCGGTCCGCTGGCGCCTTTCTCCTCATCCTCGACAACATCATAGACGATCTTCTCGCGATTTCTCGACTGAAATCAATTCGTTTTAATTGAAGGCCGAAACGCTTTAAAAAAAATAATGGCACTTACACTCGCCAATCCGCGTCCTTTCGATTTTCCGGCGTTCGCCACCACCTCCTCCATCTCGACATCGTTGTCAGCCATTCTTCTGCAATTTTTTTTACATTTATTCACAATTTGTTAGGCGAACGAGCCGCCGCATGTGCTCCAAATCGGAGCTCCAAGGGCGAGCACCAATAAATACGACCAAGAGAAAATAAATAAATGAAATATTAAATAGTACACGAAATGATGGTAAATGGGAGGAAGAGAGAGAGAGATCCGGTTAGGAAAAAAATCGAGACAAAAGAAAAATGTGAAAGGATTTCAATAATTGAAACCGCCGACAAGACGACGCATTCGTCGCGTATTTCTGTCCTGATCGCGCATTTTTTTCTCGATTTCCGCATCGGTGAGCGTCTCCAAAAATGGTCCCCATGATTCGACCTCTGTCGTATTTCTGAACAATTTCGAAACAATTGAAAATGCCGTTAAAAAAATTCTACCGAAACGGGCATTCGACGGTGGCCAGCGGGCTTTCGGAGAACGCATACGTCCGCTGATTCCATTGAAGTTGGCCGCGAATCGAATACGCGATTCCCGACGCGAACTCTCCGCCGAGGCCAAGCTCTTTGCACAAATGACGCGCAAATTCTTCAGGACTATTGCCGGGATCCGACATGTCCCATTCGAATTGATCCACTAGACTCTGATTGCCGACATTGATGTTGAGTTTGAGGACTGCCCGCTGATCAGCGGTGTTCGGATCGAGCGGCGGCGCTTCAGCGGCAGCTTCTAGTTGCTGATGAATCGCCGATGTGATCGCGGGCTGAAAGACGTTGGCGGGAAGGTCGAGGTCTTCGCACATTATGTCGGCAATCTAGAATATCCTATTTCAACAGATTTCTTCGCTTTTCAATTTCCTACCACATCAGGCGTCAGCAATTTTTCATTTCTATTATAAGTGAATGTATCTCTGAGCTTCACACCTTCAAGTTCCATATCCAATCGAATCGGGACGAGATCCTCAGGTTCCTCGGCATTTTCAATAACTCTACAATTTAAAATATACACTTGAATTCTTTATAAGAAAAAAAACCTCTTGGACATCTCCAAATCTTCTGCAGAGTACACCAATTCTCTATGTTTTATTCTACCACGAGCATGAGCAATTGGGCAGGAACATGGAACCGACTCGAGATGATGAGATCCACTGCTGACTTGCTGTCCCGCCCAACCCGACTGCGATTTGTTGGATTTCGAGACTTCTGCTCGCGGCGTTGACACCGATGATCCCGCCGCTCGGTACTTCTCCTCCTGTCCGTCAAGAAGCTCATCGACTTCGTGAGCTTTCACAAGCCTTAAATTTTCGCATAATGAAATCAATTACGAAATAAAAGAAAGAATTTCTATGAATTACATAATATTCGTGTGAAGATATGCATTCGATAGAGCGATTTTCTTTAATTTCTCCTTATCCTCAGCGGTCGCCACTTTTCTCCACAACAGCGGGTATTTTTTATAAAGCGTTCCGCGATGCAATCGAAGGTATGCTCCAATTTCGGAACCAATATAGTATTTTTCGCCGGAATCATCAACGGCGAAACTCTGTGGACGAGGTCCATACGTTTGAGCAAGTGTTTTCGAACCACCAGACATTCTGAAACAGCGAAAAATGATTTTTCAGAAAATTGTTAGTGAAAAAGAATTATTTCAAACGTCTAAAAGTATAATTATGGAGGGAAAATTGCAATTTTAAAGAATTTAGGAGAAAAATGAAGAAATCGCCTGGAAACTCCCAAAAAAGGGTATGTCGACCTGAAAAATATAATGGAAATTCGAAATCTCTGTTGGAGCGACGCGCGCGGTTCGCGTCGCGTATGTCCGTTAGAGCGTATTTGTCGCTGGCCCATCAAATCTCATTTTCCAGGCTCACCGGTTGCCTGGGAAACCCGAAAAACGGGACGAACATGATGGGAAAATGGATGTATTTTAAATGTTCACAACAATATCTGTAATATTACTATTCATTTTATGCGTCTGGTTGGGAAATTGGGAGATTCCGTTTCGATTATGGTTAGCAAAAAATGCGAAATTAAAAAAAAATGTTTCAAAATTGCAGGTTCGATACGCTGAAAATCTCCGGCGGATTTCCGACCTTAATAAGCACTTCTTATAAGGATTTTTTCAATTCCAGTGACTATTCGAATGTGATTTTTTCGACGCCGCCAAACGCCATATTAAGCACAAATTTCGAACGGCGAGCATTTAAAGCGAAAAATATTGATTTGCGATTTCTTTTAGGCGTCTCGACTGGAATTGCGAATGGCTCGAAACGGGCACGATGTGTCTCACAACGCTGAAAACCGCGTCGTGTTTGAATTCCACCCAATTTTCCTATCAATTTTGGCGATTCGCCGAAAAATCGCAATGCGTTTTCGACGATTTCGCGCCAACCAACTGCTCGCCGCCGTTTCTTCGCGGCAATTTGTGCGAAAACGTCGTCAAATTCGTCAAATCGTCGGAGAATTTCACATTTTTCGAGTTGTACAAATCAGTGAAGGGAATTTTCGCGTTTTTTTTTTCGAAATTATTTTTGAGAGAATTTCAGATTAATTCGATGATTCGCCAAAATTTTCGCGAAATTGACGATCGAGAGGCGAAAAAATGCCGAAATTACACAACAAATGACATTGTTCGATTTCGAGAATCTCAAAAACCTTCTGAGACCTCATGCGCCTTTAATAGCAATATTAAATTCGGCTTGAATTCCACAGAGATTTGCAGCCTTCAATTACCCCAAATAAGGGTATTAAAGAATTTTGTTTTGAAAATTTCAAGTCTCATTTTTTCAGAATTGCTTTCAAATCGAGCATCTCATCAAATCGGCGTTGAGCATTCCAGAAAACTCAACAATCTGCAATTGCCTTGACGACGCGCATCAGAATTGCGATCGAAATTTGATTGTGATCGCTTCGGGACCAATTCGACGAAATTCCAGCTGCGTGCTGCCGACGACTGCCGATTTTCAGCTAACCGAAGCTAATGGCTATATCACTTCCGCTGTTGTCATGTAAGCGTTCGCGTCGGCGACCCGTTCAAAAGCAGCCGACATTTCAGATGGTCCGACTTCGCCGACGTCACCGACGACGGTTTCGACATAATCACGCTTCGCAAGAACGTCATATTTCAAATAGCTGTGCTCGGCGAGCCGAAATCAATGTAAATTTCTGAATTTGCATGAAAAAAATCGCTTACAATTGCAGATTTGCGTCAAAACGCGGCCGATTTCATTGCCCATCTGAAACCAGCTGCATTCTCGAGATCCTCTATCCGTTCACTTATTTCACCACATTCGACACATCTCACCAGATCGCTATCGCCTTCATAATTGCCCTCATCGCCGTCAATTTTCGAAGTTGATTCGCAACTTTATACATCATTAAATAACAAAAAATAATAAATACTGAGCAAAAAAATTAATAAATTAATTTTAATCATTTGAAAAAAAAACAAATTGTGTAAGAGGAATTCGAAACCCTGAGACGATCGGTGGCGGCGAATTGGCGTCGATTTAGCACCATTGGGTGTGCTCGCAGAGTTTGGTCTCGACTGGATAGCTGCGATCGAAGAACACACCGTTGACGTACATTGTTGGCCAGATCTGCAATTATTCCACAAATTAATAATTTTGTTCTCTTTTTTCAAAAACAAATTCGTACCCTGACACCAGCGCGATGGGTATTAACCATTGAATAGTAGTTGAGAAGCTCTCCAGTCTGTGTAGTCGCGCATTCGATCAACTTCCTTTGGGTATTCGCCGACAATCGGCTCAAGCATTTCGAGAACGCTTCTCTGAGCGTGGTGAGACCTTGAATGCACGTGGCAAGACCCAAATGACGGCGGGGGAAGTACTGAAACGAATTGCGATCAAACGTTGGAAATTTCGACGGCGCACCGAAATCGCGCAATTCTGCAGACGATTCAAATCGCACTCGGTTGGTCCGTGCATGCAGGTGCAATGAAAATTGCGATTGATATCGTATGTACAATCACCTTTTCCAAATGGAATAATCTAGAGAAAAAAAATGTAAATGGGTTTCAAATAATTAAAAACAAAACCTGCAAATTCATAATACCCGGCCGATTCACGTAAAATGGCCAAATTTGCTCTCGGAGCAGCTTCGTGCAGTATGGGCATTGAGATTCCGTAAATATTGTGACATTAACTTGCTGAAAATGGGAGCAAATAATCGAAAAAATCGAGTTTGCGCGTGAAATAAAGTGAAGTCCGCATTGCGGACAAGGCGCATTAAAGACTAACTACCGTACTCAATTCCAACAAAATAAAATTTTTTTACCTGCGCCTGAATATAAATCGGCACCAATAAGGCGACAAGAAGGACTCTGAGCATTCTGAAAGCAATATTACATTAGACAAAACCCGCAAAATGGTCCGCAGATGAATAAAAAGTGGAAAGGAACAGGAAGATTCGGGTCAGAGTAAGCGGCAATCAAAAAAAAAAATGCGCAAAACGAGGCATTGTTCATCTCTAATTAGTCGAAATATTTGCGGAGGGGCATCATCCAGAAGACGTGTTTCTTCATCGCCGCCAACCAAAATGTTGATTCGTCGAAACGATAGTCCAGGCGGGGTCTGTCGCAGCTGGTACACGCATTTAATGGTCGATTTCATGTACTAGCCGGTTATTACCACTATATTAATACACTTTTAGTGTCTTATTCGTCTCGAATAATCCGGCAAAATGATAAGTTCCGGGTCGCGGACAATGTTCGAGGCCAACGCCATCATCAAATGCAACCGCGAATTGTCCGCAGCACGGAAATAACAAAGCAGGTCCAAGAAACCAAAAGCGCCTCGCAAAATTTCCCGTTCCTTCTCGCCAATTTTTTTGCTATTATTATAATATGTCATCAGTGTCCATTTATGGCGTTAACGTGATAATGGATGGCTAGTGTTCGCGAATCGCGTTGATGATCGATTCTGGTTTCATCGAAAAACAAAAATGAACCGTTCGTTTAATATTTTCGAGGGGGGGCACCCGCTTTTTGACCTTCACCTTATTTGGGACCCAATTAGGAACATTCGACGATGGCCAATAATTCACAAGCAAGCAACTGCAGGACATTTTAAGAGATTCGGATCAATGCGCCTTTAAAATAGGCGCATCAAATTTGAAAACAATTTTTCTTTGATTAAATGAGACAAGGAAGAGGCAAGCCATGCGCTTTTAAAGGGACATCCGATGAGCCTTGAAAAACGAGAAGAAACCACTCCCAACGTGTTTCAATGATCTACAATATCAAGCGAGAAAAAAAAACGGAAAAAAAAGATGAGACGATGCTTTTTGCAGAAAAAAAAGAAGAAACACAAGGCCGCACCATCGGCCAATTTCCTGGTTTCGTTATTATAATTTTTTGCTGTCGGGCGGTCAGTCAGTTGGCCGACGAAACGACAAGATGACGACGAGGAAATCGAAAACGGCACCGCGTCGCCATCGATGGGAGTGTTGCGCAATAAAGCGCGCGCGCGCGGGCGCGTTAAAGCTTATTATTCAATCGGCTGCCGAATATGGGCATCCGCCCACAACCAGCGAAATAAAAAAACGAGGCGGAGTCGTCGCATGTGATCCGATCTGATCCGATCCGATCCGATACGAGACGAAGCACCCGCTGGCTGATAGTCATCGCGTTTGGTAATTCTGTTCAGTTTAAACTGCCATCGTCGACAGCTTCTTCGTCGCTTGACAGGACGCGCGGTGTTTGATGTATAAGCAATTCGTGCTTCGGACATTTTTCAAACAAATTCAATTTTGATTATTTAATGAAAATGGCTCAACAACCCCAAATAATTTGGGTTCTCTGGTTCAATTAATTTCGCCTTTGATTTGTAATCCGCAATTCGGCGTGTCGGTGTACATTGCGGACTTGATAACATTACAAATGACGCACAAACCCCCGCCGGCCCACTACGCAAACAATTAAGCAATTGTTGGCGCCTAATATGTCAAACCAGACGGCGAATTATGCTAATTTGGGTCCCACTTGGACAAAAAAAGGCGGCGGAATCATGACAATCGGAAACGATTTGCGCGGCGAAATTCGCCCAAATTTGGCAACTTTTTATTGTTTCAACACCTCAGCAATTCGATCGGGGACCACTTTTTGGATTTCGGACCATTTTCGCGACAATTTGTGAAAAGAAAAAATTCGAAAACGCGAGACACGCTAAATCGCAGGCGACGTACAATCGGAGTGTCGTACTAATTCCCCGCGTTCATTTTTTCATTTGAAAATCTTTTTTTTAGATAGTCGAACTCGTTGCAAAACTGAAAATCTCAAATTTTCAACAATTCAAAAAGCCTGGAATTTTTTTTTCGACAAATCCAACTCAACAAAAAAATGGATTAAGCTGCTCCAGCTCTCGCAATAAAAACCGGCCATCGATGACGATCTGAGAATGGCGAATTTCGGCGATAAAAATCCATTACAACTTGTATTTTGTGTAACTGACACTTTCGATTTCGTGAAACTTGCGCAACCAAACTTTCGCTAAGACGACGGAAAAAAACAGAACCGGATTTATTGCCAATATTCAATCAAGACAAAATTGTTCCGAAATAATAATTAAAAATTAATGAAAATCTTATCGAAACGAGCTTCTCCATCAACATTGCTCCTAAAATTGGAAATCTGCTCAATTATTCCAAAAATTGCTGACCTTGGATTTCGCCACAAATCGCATCGATTCGATTAAAGCCATTCTGTATCGCTCGTTTAATTTGGCGGTGATTTTCTGAATGGAAACGAGTAACGAAAACTAATTGGAAATGACACATTTCGAATTGAACAAGCCGCCAATGGGTTTAAAGGCGCACACGGGTCTCGCCGCGATGCCGTGCGCATTCTTTGCGATTTGGTCTCGCATGGATCTTTCAAGGCGCACACGGGTCTCATCGCAAAGTTTGAAAGCGTTTTAATGCGAATTCTCTAGTATTGGGTCTCGCGGTGAACCTTAAAGGCGCACACGGGTATCATGGCGAGATTGGCAAGAGCATTTAAAACGAGTTTTCTCGTATTGGGTCTCTCGGGGAACTTTAAAGGCGCACAAGTGTCTCGCCGCAAAGTTGGACACCATTTTAAGCGATCTCTCTGGTATTGGGTCTCGCAGTGAACCTTAAAGGCGCACACGGGTCTCGTGAAAACGGCGCATTCATCCTATTTTCATCGGGCGACTTGCTCGCGCCACCCATCTGCGGACAACATAGCGGGCCGGGATCACGAGGAGAAAAAACAATCATACCGTCGTCGGAATATCGTCGACGGCATTCTCGGCGATTTTCGACGCGAACGGCAAATGTCGTCTGGAAATTGATTAGCTATTTTTCCAGCGAAAAAAAAGCTCACTGACTCATCATCGACGTTGGGATTCGTGAATTGTGCGGCGAGAAGGTCGAGCTCGACGACCTCGACTAGTTGCTCCAACATCGGGCTCAATTGGTCCCTGCAAACAAAGGTTGCTCGTTTTTTTTTTTTTGCCAGAAGCTCACACACCTTGCCAGAAGCTCACAGATCGCTTCGTGCGCAATTCGCGGCGCACGCAAAACCGGCCAAATCTCATCGAACTCGCGCGATTGCTCGCAATACTCCAACAATTCGTCGGTCGCGCGAAATTCCAGCGTCGCGCTCGTCTGAAATCGCCCGAAATCGATGGCGGCGACGAGTGTAAACGGCGGAGTGTCGTTGCGCGCTGTGTTTTTTTTGTTTTTTCGAAAATCGAGACAACCTTTCGTCGAACCGCGTAAATCGAGCTCTCACTGGTCTCAAACACGACGTCGAGACATGCATGAGGTGGTCTCGCAACGACACGCCGCGCGCCTTTAACAAAACGAAACCCACGTCGACATAATCGCGAACCATTCGAATCAGGTAGGGCGCCGCTCGACACACTCGACACTTCCATGATTCATCGGAATCGACAGCGAATTGTCGACGGTAGGTGGCCAACTAGACAACGACGACAGAAAAAAAAATTGAAACAACCTCAATTCGGCTTCTCGTTAACCGTTTCAACCAACCTCATCGACGTCGCCGCCGCCGCTTTCGCCTTTTAATTGCCTTAAATCAACATTGCTGAACGAAAATCGCCGAATATCGCCGTCGTCGTCGAATTGCGGCGGGTCCGGTGTAAACGCCGGGGGCGGGGCATTCGGGTCCACGTCGTCGTCGTACTCGTTGCGACGATCGAACGGATCCTCGTCCTGAATAAAACGAGAAACGAATTGCATTTAAAGGCGCATTCAGATCTGAGCTATCCTATGCGCCTTTAAATGTGTTCTCATCAAAAAATTGAGAATAATGGCTCGTCAATTTAATGGCAACTTTAAATCGTGACGAGACCACAATTTAAAGGCGCACAATATAATACGCCTTACATGTCCGCCGGTTGTCTCGTTCTGCGCAATCTCGATCATCGATTCAAGATAAAGCTCAGCGTCAACGAGCTCATCATCAACATCCGACTCCTCTCGGCTCATTCTTCAAAAATAAAAACAAAGAAAGGGGCGTGGCCAATGGGAAAAGCTGACCAAATACGGTACATCTGTCGTAAGAACAATTCAGTGGCGAGAAAATTGAGCGGCAAAAAATGCTTTTTTGAAATTTATTTGTGAAAAAAACGAACAAAACGAATGAATGGGCTCGAAACCGTCGACAAATTCCAAAAACGCTCACAATAATCCAACAATTAGTGACAAAACAGGGCAATTAAGCAAGCCAATTAACAATTAACAACAACGACAACAAAAAATCAACCAGAAAATAGTTGAGAGACAAAAAAACAGTAGAAATCGCCGCAATTCTTTCTTTCTTTTTTTCTCAATTTCGCTATCCCGAAGAACAAAAAAACGCAATTATTTTCAAGGAGAGGACGAACATTTGCCGCATTGGGTCTCGTATGGAATGCGCCTTTAATGTTGACGTCAAGATACTGCACACAAGACGTTTCGAATTTTGGAAATTCACAAAATTCTCAAAAATTCTACGCTACCAAATTGAAAAAGGCGCCAAATTCAAAAATTCGTCGGCTCACGACAGTTCAGAACAGAAATTCGAAAAAAAAAGAGCAGAAAGAGCAACGAGATTAGACGAAATCCTGTTTCGCCACAAATTCCTTCGCATAGCCGTCGTTGGGAATTCGGCAGCTCGCGGAGCACGTGTAGATGTACACTGAAGCCCAATCGATGGATTGGCCTGTGAACAAAAAAATTATAATTCACAATTTTCTCACTGTTTTTTTTATTTTCGTGTGTTTTTATAAATATTTTTATTTATTTAATTTTTTTGCATATTTATTTTACTATTTTTTTTAAATTTTTAAAGCCGAAAACACAAAATTATGTCAAAAATTAAAAATGCCAAAATTTTCTCAAAAATTTCATACCAATAGCGTCGACATCAATCAGAGACAACAGATGCGGCATAAGCTGCATCTCAAATCGTCTCGGAGCTCCGCAAAGCGCGCACGGCTCAATCTGCTCAGGCAATTCGCTGCGACATGTCGACGGGAGAGGATCGCCTGAAAATATTTTAATCAACATATTCAAAAAATTCATATAAGTGTGAGAAAAATAGTGACCCTAACGAGGCAAGTCATTTAACCTCCAAATTTGGAATTTTTGTAATTTCGCATTCTTAGACTAGAAGACCTTCCGAGTGTGCCTACAAATTTCAGCCGTTGGTTTCAGACGAGTTATGGCCGTCTGAAAATCCACGGTGATTTTCTATTGCCAGCCGTCATTTGGAAAAACGGTAATGAAAAATCACTCGTCTGCAATTTTGTAGGCACACTCAGAAGACCTAATAGTTTAAGTATGCAAAATTACAAAAAATCCCAAATTTGGAGGTTAAAAGGCTTCCCTTGTAGTTTTTTTTTCATTCTTTCATTGAAAATGTGTAATTTCTTCAAAAACATTTTTTTATTTCATGAAAAAGTCCATAAAACCCCAAAAACTCGTCCTACCATTCCGCTTGTAGCGAATAATCTGCTCAGGATTCAAGTTCAACAACCGATTGAATTTGTCGAACACCAAATCCTTCTCCTGTTCCGCAACAGCCGCTTCAAGATCCTCGCGCGTCATGTCAGGATGCTTCTGAAGTTGCAATTTTCAATGTGACATTTAAAAATAAAATAAAAAAAATTTAGGGTAGAGCTCACATCTTTGCTCTTTTCGATGAACTGCTTGAATTCTTTCATTCGCGCCGCTTTCTCCTCCTCATTCTCCTCCTCCTGGGGGAAAAAAAACAAAATGAAAATAAAGGTACGTTTTCGATTGAAACCTCCTCGTCCTCATCGTCGTCGTCGGAGAGATCGTCGAAAATCTGACTCGGCACATATTCCTGATCGATATCGATTCCAAACTCTTTGAAGACAAAGCCATTGCGCGGATTTTTCGGCTCGACGCTTTCGACGCACGGCGGTTGACCGCAAGTCGTCTTATGCGTCGGCCAGTCAAGAGCCTGGTGCTCGCGTGAGCAATACCTACAATAAAAAAAAGGGTCAAGTTCCATACGGGACCATTAATCAAATCGGAAAAAAGGGTAATAAATGAATCGACGCACCAAACCGCCTGACATTTGGCGCATTTTTTGGTGGCCGCGCAGCCGCACGTCTCGCAGAGTTTCGCCGCGTCGGCCGGCAATCGAGGATCGGGAACATCGCCGTCCAAATCGGGATCCATCGGACCGTCGAACGAGTAGAACGCGTTGTCGCGCGGCAACGCGCAACGAAACGCCGCCAGATTCGACGCGTCGTTCGACTTCGAGCACTTCGGATTGCGGCACACGAACACGAAGATCGAACGATGGAACGAGTGGTCGGGATCGTTGACGCTGTTCGCGTACACTTGAATCAAGAAGCACAGCGGTTTCTCACAGTTCTGCAAAGAAAATTCTCCATACGTGACAAAAAAGTTCTAGTTTCTTTTTAATGGCAAAAAACGAAGCCTATGCGCCTTTAAATCTCATAACAAAATCGCTACATCAACTTCCGAATTATTAAAATCGCATTTTTTTTTCTTATCTGTTTGAATTCATGATAAAATTACTGCTTTAGATCCCATCACACGAAGAATATATTAAAGACGTCTGGTCTCGTAGCGAAAGTCCAAAATTTGCCACCACAACTGACTTATTTTTGAAAACGTTACGGTAGAATTCCATACGAAACCCAAAATCTTAGACGTGTAAAAAATAAATTTCTTTTTCAACAAATACTTATGAAAACCACCGGGTCTTATGCGGAAAACAAAAATAACTCAAAAAATTTTCTAGCAAAATAGCTGTAAAATAACGGATTATGGTAATTCCAAACGAGACCCGCCTCTCGATGAAATCAGATTCTGACGGAAATTTTGAAAAAAAAGATCAAACGAAAAAAAAATGTCGCGTGCGCCTTGAAAATTTCTGGGATTTTTGTTTCGTATGGAAAATTGACACGAAAAAAAAAATTCAAAAGAACAAATCTCGAATTTCGCTCCTACTTTACACAACAATTCGCTGGAATTTGGCAGATTTTTCGGGTTGAGCCACGCCGGTTTGCCGCCGATTTTGCCCAATGGCAGATATTGTGAGCGAAGGCGAAACAAGTCGTCGGTTTCGAGCGCCACACCGAAACCCAAATGAACGGGCTCGTCTGCAAAACAATTATAATACAAATCTTCTTTTTTTTCCGAGGTCTCGTCGCGACAAATCCGACCTACCATGCGCGTCTTTTTGCATTTTTCTTTCTTATTTTTTCTCTTGAGCCAACCAATTATATAAATTAATCAAGTTTGTTTTCGCGCTTCTTTTTGTCCTCTTTCGTCGCTGCGAATAGCCAGAGGACGAGAACGACGTGCACAAGAATGACGGCGATGATCGCCGAATACGTGAGCGAATCGTTCGGCGAAAAGCCCAGAAGACCTGCAGAAAAACATTTTATTTCAATGTTTTACTTTTTTGTTTTGAAAGCAAAATCTTTTAAATTCGTATTTTTATAGGAAAATATGGAAAATTCCGTTAAAAAAAATGAAAATCTGCAATTTTTTCTGGAAAATAAAAAATTCTCAATTGTCTCGTCGATAAAATAGGCAAAAATCTAGGGAAATCGAATTTCTCCAATCAATTCCACTTGAAAATCGGAATTCGACGGATTTTTTTGCTTCAAAATAACAACATCAAAGGTTTGCAATGGAAATTTTAAATTGAAATTGAAATGTGCATTTTTAGACGAAATTTGAACAAAATATTCAAAATGCGTCAATTTTTTCTCGATTTTTGCCAACTAAAATGCATGACGAGATAAATCACCTTCAAAGAAATACTGTTTGAGCAGAAACATTGAGCTAAGCGGCACAATGAGAATGACGAGACTGTAAGCTAGCAGATTTTTCACCGCGCCTTGCACTTTTTCGTCGCGAAAATTCGGTATCAGCTCTTGCATTGCGGAACCGGTCGCCATCTGCAACAATCTCGTCATTTCTGTGCCAAATATCAACATTTCAAATTTTTCTCAACAAAAAAAATACAAACTCGCGCAATTTTGAGTATTTCTTCTGATTTTCGATGCAAACACATTTTTTTTTTCAATTTTAAGCCAAAATTTGTGAAAAGTGCAATTTTAATTCAAATGAAATAAATTTTTGATTGCAATTTTCGACTTTTTCAATTAAAAACTCTCAATTCTAAAAAGAAATTTTCGATTTCTCAAATTTTTATTCGTGAAATGCAATGGATTTTCAAAATTTCTTGAAAAATTGAAATTTTTGGGCTATTTGATTGTTTCAATGGCAAAATTGATGTTTGAATGTTTTTTCTTCGGAAATTTTCAAAATTGGTCCTCAAAAATTTGCACAACTCAAAAAGTCGATTCCAATTTTCGATTGAAAATCAATTTCCCCGAAAATTTCAATTCTTTTTTTTTAAATCGATATTTTAGAAATGATAACAACGAGACGTGGCAAACCCAAAACAAAAATAAAAAATCAAGTATTAGAGCGATTAAAACGCACGAAAAAAACCGGAAATCGAGGAAAAAAAACAAAACAAGCTTTATTTACATGAGCTACACGCAACTAAAAAGGGAATCACATGTGGAATTGGAATGAAAAAAAAAGTTACATTTTAGCTAAAACTACTCGAGGTCGCATTATTCTCAAATTTAGAGGAACAAGTGAATTAAGGCTTCTTCTTCTTCTTCTTTCACATATCATTAATATTATTATTATTATGAAATTGTTTCAGTTCGTCTTTTTCGCTTCACTCATTTTGAGCTTCTCCTCGGCGTCCTTTTCCTCTTTCCACGCGACGTAGGCGAACGCGGCGCAGATGAGAATGACGACGGCGGCGGCGCAGATGCCCGAATAGAGCATCGCGCGATCCGGCGGCAAATGGAAAAGGTCGATGAACACCCAATAGTAGAGCGAGAACATCACGAGAAGCGGAAGTGTGAACATCATTGCCGAGAAGAAGACGAGAAGGGTGATCGCTCGACGACTGTCCTCGGCGGTGTAGAATTGCTCCTGAATTATTCCAAAATAAAATTGACGCAATTTGAGGTTTTGTTAGAATTTGAAAGCAACTTTTTCTAGAAAAAACAATCCTCAATGGAAGTTTTTTCATGATTTTTGATTTCAAATTAATTTTTGTCAAATTTCGCCAAAATTGATGATTTCTGCAGTGATTTCATGTGAATCATTTTAAACAAAAACCTGGTCTTTTCTGATCGGAGCGTTCAGCGCATCATGCACTAGCTGCTCTCCATCCTTCTCAATCGGCCGCTCGGCATCATCCTTTATTGATTGATCAACGAATGGAAGCGTCGGTTCCTCTTCCGTTTCCACTCCATCGGCTTCACCATCTTCTTCTGTGCCAGTAGATGCTGAATTTCGCAAAATTTCACACATTTTACCCCCCAAAAAAATGATACCTTTTTCGTTCTCGGCGACTTCTTCGAAACTATCTGAAGCGGTTGACGATTTTCTGTCAGATTTGTCTTCGATTAACTCGAAATCTTGTTCGGTCGACATTTTGTTCGCGCTGAAATTATGCGAATTGAGCGGGCACGACCGAAAAACAAAGCGAGGTGAACCGAAAATCGTGACCAGTCTTGTCTGCAGTTATGCGTCACGTGTTTCGAGTCCGCAAACAATGAAGTAGACGACTGAGAATGGGATTGAACGTGGTAAATTTAGGCATTTCAACATATTTTTAAATAAAAAATACGTAAATTTAATGTAAAATGTGAAATTTAAAACGTACACAATTGTTATGAAAAAAAAATTAATTTTAAGTGGTAAAGTTGGTTATTATAGAAAAACTAAGGTAAAGGCACAAGATATAACATAGAAATACATATTTTCTCAGGGATTCGTGCGAAAATGCACAAATTTTCAGAAATTGACGAGAAGATCGGAAAAAATAGGACAATTTCGAAATACCAAAAATTATAATACCGTAGTCGATTAAAGGCGCACGACAATTTGCGAAAACTGTCTCGCACAGATGAGTACTGTAATTTCTTTTCCCACATTCTTTTTTCCTCAATTTCAATCAATTTCCAACGTGAAAAATGCATTTTTATTTCAAAATTTGGCAAATTTACAAATAAAATCAGAAAACAATCACAAAATTTAGGTAGCATAAGCGTGTCTACGCTTATACTGAATCGCCGGCGGCACTTCAACGACAGCGGCGCTTCTCGGCGGACATGGGCAGTAGGCGGCATCCGTTCCCGGCTCGCCGTTGCCACCATCGGCTCCCGGCTCACCATCGGCGCCCGACTGTCCCGGTTGTCCGTCGGCGCCGGCGGGTCCCGCTGGTCCCTGCTGTCCCGGCGCGCCGTCATTTCCGCGCTGTCCCGGTTGTCCGGGCGCTCCGGCGGGTCCCTGTGGTCCGGGCGCTCCCGGCGCTCCACGTCCTCGCTTTTCGTTCTGCCCGGCGGCGCCCGGCTGTCCGTCGCTTCTTGGGGCTCCCGGCGCTCCCGCGTCGCCTTGTGGTCCCGCCGCGCCCGGCTGCCCGTCGTTGCCCGGAGCTCCCGGCTGTCCCGGCTGCCCGTCAGCTCCCGCTGGTCCCGCTGGCCCATCGGCTCCCTTTGGCCCCGGCTCGCCCGCCGGACACTTGACGCAATCAGTGGCGACGCGAGCCTTCACCATGCCGATTCCATCGACGCCATTCGGTCCCGCTTGTCCCGGCGCGCCATCCTCGCCATCATCGCCCGGCGCTCCCGGCGGCCCCGGTGGTCCCGGCGGACAATTCGACGGCTGTGGTCCGCAATTGCAACTCTCACCCGAACGTTTGTGCCGTCCGAAAATCGCGGCCACTCGTTGAAGCGACGACGGCTGATTGATGACGATCATCGAGTTCCACGCGTCGTTCGCATAGTGCTGTAATTCAAGACGCGTTTGAGAATCCTGCAATTTTCAGAACGCACCTCGAACTCCATCATATCGACGAACACATCGTCATAGAGGTTGTTGATCGAATTGTAGAGCGAGCCGCAGCACACCAGCGAGCCGATGATCGCTGCTCCGCAGATGAGGTTGGCCGACGCGGCGACGACGTTCGCAATCATTCTTCTTCCATCCATTCCGCTCCACGCCGTCTTTTTATAATCGACCATCGGCCACACTTTCTCTATTTCGTCGATATTTTGTAATATTCCCCATTTTTTCCTCGGGTTGAAGGCGAATCCTTACACTTGCTGAAGCGTTTAAAGGCGCATCGATGAGAAGGAACACATTTCTTTTAACCACTGGATTACGGTAGCATTCGTTTCAACTGTGTCGTCACTTCTCAAAACCAATTTTCGATGAATTTACATAAAAATTATTATTGCATAAATGCTGGACTACTGTAGCACAAGTTCAGCTACCTCATTCAACCACACGATTACGGTAGCATTCGTTTAAGCAGTGTCAAATTGAGATCAAATCAATTGTTGTTTGGGATACTGTAGCACGAGTTGAACTGTGTCTCTTCCATCAGCCCTAATTGCTCGAAATTTTTCAAAAAAAAAATTCGAGCCCTATGATGGCTACGGTGCAATCATTCATCGTCAAGGGTCTCAGAAGAGAAGACAATCATCATCATCATCGGGGCTCTCTCCTCTTGACAATTCTCATTCGGACGAAAATCTCGATTAGCCATCTTTTCCAATCCAATTGTCCGTCTGTGTGTGCACACGCGCAAAACTTCAATTAATTTAGTGAGTGTGTGTTTTGCACATGAGCCCTCTCAACTCCTTCTTCTTCTTCTTCTTCTCCATCGGAAACTCAAACTCGCGCGAGCAGGTTGCTCACCAAAACCGCCAATTGGTAAAAGTCCAACCCGCAAGAGTGTCCGCAGCTGCCTCGTAAAGGTGTCTTCCCGCCTGGGGACCATTCATCCCATCAATCATCATCGATGGAGAGCGCCGATTATTCGCCGCTAGCCGAAGAGGCCGATCCGTGGGATCTTGATCAGTTGCTGAATGGCGAGCAGGTAATCATCCCATTTTGGTTTTCTGTTTTTGCTGCGGACATTTGCCGGGTTATCCCGAATGGTGTCCGCAGATGGAATTGAACGAGTCGTCAATCAAACGACGAGGCGTCCAATTGCTTCCTGGAAATGTCGTTTCCAAAAAAAAAACGAAATTCGACGAGGCAAAAGGGGGGGGGGATTAATTTCGAAATGGAGTTCGTCAAGGACCACGAGGTCCCTTTCCATCATCAAATAAACTAATTTTCATTCTCACTTCTTGCCCTTCACTAGTGCAAATCAAGAGGTGAGAGCTCGGTTTCCATCTGCCGACAATTGGCGGGTTCAAAATTGTCCGCAGATGGAAATTGTAAAGTGTGAAGTTGTCGAAAATTAAAATTTTTTTTTCATATTTTTTTTTCTCTCAAATTTTCGATTAAAAAATTTTTTTTACCAGTTTTGTCAATTTTTTCCGAATTTTTTTCATTATTTTTCTTTTTTTTGTTTCAAAAAGTCGAATTTTGATGGAAGAAACATCAAGAAACGAAAGGAGAGAAAAAAAATGAAACCTAATCGCGCATCTCGAGGGAGCCGTTTTGAAAATCGCACAAAATTTGGCGTCTATTGGAATTTTGAAGGACGACGACGAAGCCGTCTCGACGACGTCGTCAAAAATGCACGTAAGTCCATCACGCCCACCTCGGGTTGCTTTTATCGATTCCTTGCTGCGGACAATTCACTGGCGATTCCACGAAATTGTCCGCAGATGGGTGATTGTTTTTTTTCCAATCATAAACGGAATTTCACATCAATTTTCTGATTTTATTGTCCGTGTGGAGTACACAGACAAAATACCATTCTACGAAATTGTCCGCAACTGAATTATTTCAATAATCTCAAAATGATTGTTCAGATATATAGGGAGTTTGTATTTTTTTCGAAAAAACGCTAAAAACTGCCAAAATTGGTTGCTTTTCTTCCAGTAAATTGTCCGCAGCTGGCTTGCGAGATAAACAAATTTCTGTTTTTTTTTCGAATTTCTCAAAAAAAAATTTTGTTGCATCGAAAATTTAAAGGCGCACCTTGTAAGGGTCGTTTTGTGCAGTTTTTATTAATTGAAAAACGAATAAAATTTCAGCTACAGTATTTGAAATGAAAATTTGGCTTCCAAATAAGGGTCAAATTGGTCCAACTCGGCCACGGACCCATTCAACATTGAAAACCCCCCTCCCTCCAGCAGGTCCGAAAATTCCCATAGAACGTAATCATATATAGTGGGGGGGGTTCTTTTCGACGCGCTTTAACCCAAAAATGGTCCCAAGCGGATTCGCGTCAAAATTCATCAACGCCTTCTTCGTGCTCCTCCTCCCCGTTGTTGTTTTTTTTCCACCACCCTCCTGGGCCCTTTTATGATTCTTATTGCGGTGCTCGTCGACTCCAACGCGAGTCGGCAACATTGCAAAAAAAAATAAACATTCGAACTTGGACTCCAAATTGCGATCCGGTGTGTGAAATTCCATTTTCACCACGCGTTTCGAAAAAGTTTTCGCCGCACGCCGTTTCTCTCTTCTTAAATTTATTTTTTTCCCTCCTCCTACCTTCAATGATACCTTTAAATAGCCGTGATAACCGGTTTTTGAGGGTGCGCGCGCCTTCGTGTGACCGATTTTGATCGATTCGAAAAATAATTAATCTCTGGAATTGAGTATTTCAAATGAGGAAACCGCAAATATCGTCCAGCGCTTTTGAGCCAATTCATCTGCGGACAATTTGCAGTGGGCCGAATTTTCGAATCCAAGATAATTTTTTCCGACGAGTCGAATTCTTTCATAAAAACCCATCTGCGGACAATTTCCACTAAGGCAAAAATTCAAATCATCAAGAAATTTGATTGGATGAATCAAATTCTCTTATGAAAACCCATCTGCGGACAATTTCCAGCAAGATCAATTTTCGAAATTTTGCGCGTAAAAACCCAAATCTGCGGACATCTTGCCAACTTTCAGATGCCCTTTGTCACCGCCCATCTACCGTACACCCCGGGCCGCGTGGGCCTCTTCATTCAACACCAGAACTACATGAAGAGGAGAACAACGACGCCGACGACGTCATCGGATGTTAATGAGAATAATGTTTGTATAAATAATTGAATGTTTAAAGGGACATGCCGATTCGTCAAAAAAAAAAAAACAAAACAAAAGAAAAGCCAATCCTCAATTCGAGACCGCTCTCAAATTTCAGATCACCGTTCGCCCAATGCCGGTATGGAAGAAATACGCGCGAATCATTCTTCCGCACGTCGGCTTGATCCTCCTATCATTGCTCTACGTCATCGGCGGCGCGATGGTCTTCTATCACATGGAGCGTCCGTTCGAGGTAGCGCTAATGATAGAAAAAAGCGAAAATGAATAATTAATTGGCGAATTGAGATGGAGGTGCGCGCCGACAACGTGCAACGCTTCAACGAGCACAAAGAGGTGATGCTCAGCGATTTGTGGGAGCTGCGAGCCGCCGGCGTCGAGCAGGGTTTTCGATTCGCTCAACGGCCGACAATTGCTTTTTTTTGCAGAACTCCTCGAAGAGGTCGCCAATGAGTACATCGACAATATCACCAAAATTCTCTTCGACGCCTTCGACACCCATTGCATTGGCGCCAAACATTTGAGGCCTGGTGGCGAGCACGAGGACGTAACACCAAATCCGCCTTTCAGAAGCTTCTTCTTCAAAAATTCTCTTTCAGCACAATTGGACGTTCATCACCGCGCTTTTCTTCACTGCCACCCTTCTCACTACTATAGGTTTACTGTAGCTCTACCGTACTTCATCCAATTATTGCGTTGTCTAGGCTACGGCAATCTCGTGCCTGTCACCTGGCACGGAAAAATGTTCTGTATTGCGTATGCGTTGCTAGGCGTCCCATTGATTCTCATCACCGTTGCTGATATCGGCAAATTCCTGTCGGAGAATATTATTTGGTTGTACACAAGGTTGGTAAAAAATTGCAAAAATGTCGGCTTGGCAGCGGGGGTTCGAAAATTGGAGGGTCGGCGCACCGACGTAAAACCCCGCCACTCGACCACTGCAATCCACGAGTCAACGGCCATAAGCGCCGTATATGTGCCGCCCCAAAATTTTGCCCTTATTTTTTTCTAGGTACACAAAAATCCGCGAGCGACTTTCAAAAACCAAATACACGGGGATTTCGACAAAGGACGACAATCCGAAAGAAGGCGAGCAAATCATGCAAGGCCTCGATCATTACATTTCAATTCCGATCTCGCTAATCGTCATGATCCTTCTCGGCTACATTACAATCGGCGCCGTTCTACTCGGCTCATGGGAGAATTGGGAGTTCTTCTCCGGCTTCTATTTCAGCTTCATCACAATGACAACCGTCGGCTTCGGCGACATCGTGCCGTTGAAGCGCGAATTCTATTTGCTAGACCTTTGCTATATTATAATTGGATTAGCGATCACGTAACAAATTCGATGGCATGTCTAGACGGTCTCGTTTCGAATTTACAGTACCATGTGTATCGATCTCGTCGGAATTCAGTACATTCGTAAGATTCACTATTTCGGACGAGCGATTAAGGACGCACGATTCGCGTTGGTCAACGTCGGCGGCAAGATGGTCCACGTGCCGGACCTGATGCGCTACGCCAGCGTCCTTCAGCAGGTTGGTATTTGCGAAGTGTGCTGCGGACAACTCGCGGGTTGGCGCGAGTCGCGGCGAAACCCGCGAATTGTCGCGACATTCGAATTCTCATATTACAGAAATACGGCCAACGCAAAACGCACGACACGATCATCGTGAAGGGCGCCTACGCGCCGAAAGACCTCGCCCGAATACGGTAGTCCCGCAACATTTTCCACTCTTCGTCTATTTTTGATCTACCAACTTTAAAGGTTCATCGATTTCGGCGCGCTCGCCTCAATGGAAAGCCTCCAATCGCTCTTCTCAATTTTCACGTCAAAATCGCAAGAAGCGCTCGTGTAATATTGTGTAACATCTATTTGGACGGGTTCCAATGATGAATTATACCATAAATAGACGTCACCCGATAACCTTGCGCCTGGCGTGTGTGTGTTCTTTAAAGAAAACGATAAAGAAGCGAAAAAACGCGTTTTTTTTTCTTTCAATCGCCAAAGAAATACACTAGATTACACGCGATATCGGTTCAATGTACTTATTTGGGCAATTCGAATGGTTTATGTGATACGCTGTTGTTGTGTAATATAGCGAGTTCAAACAATGTCCTTATTGGGGACTGCTGGAACGTTTTGAGGATTCGAACGAACAGGTTATTGGCTGCGGATTTTTAAAGGCGCAAGCCGCAAAAAATTGTGTGGAACGGTTTTTTAAAGGCGCATAAAGGAGACATTTGCGAAAGTTCCATCGCGGCATTTTGTTTTAAATTCATTGCATTCCATCTGCGGACAATTTTCAATTTGCTGACGACGTGAAATGGTCCGTATCTCAACGAATTTTCCATATTATTAAAATCTGTCAATTTTACTGAATTTCTGAAGTTGGATTTACCCATAATTCAGGTTTTATGGTAAAAATTGAAGAGCCTCTCTCAAGGGACCATCGTGAAAAAATGGGAATATTGAATGGTCCGTATCTCAACGAATTTTCAATATTTTTCAAATCTGTCAATTTTACTGAATTTCTGAAGTTGAAATTACCCATAATTTAGATTTTATGGTAAAAATTGAAGAGTCTCTCTCTAGGGACCATCGAGATAAACCTCGAATATTGAATGGTCCGTATCACAACGAATTTTCCATATTTTTAAAATCTTTTGATTTTTCGGAATTTCAGAGGTTAGAATTGCTTAGATATTCATTTTTTGTAAGATAAATGCAATTGCATCAATCACCCACAAGTCAAAAACATCCTAATATGGATTTTTGCAGCTTTTCGAATCCAAAAAGTGTCCAAACCCGTAAGAATGTCCGCAGACATTTTGCAATATGAGTTAAATTTGCAGCCAAGTGCAAAAACCTGTTCTATAGTAAAAAAAAGATGAAGAAATATCATATGAGTGACACAATTTTGAAAGATCAACTTTTCGACTACTGTACCCGATGGTCCCGCCCACTCAACAGCGAAAAATGTGTTCTGTCTCAATGGAAAAACGATCGACAACGCTGGCAACAAGACGACGAAAGCCAAAAGCGGTTTTCACTCAACCCATCGCCGATTTCGTGTCATTGATATGTCGATTACGCAACCAGCGCGATTATTTATCATTTTTTCTTCGACACATGCCATTTTTATGCAGTAATATGCCTCAATTAACGCGAATCTCATTCATTTGCCTCGTTTTCATCGAAAAAATAGCATTTCTTCATTCTTTTTGGAACCCCGAATGGTCCGCAGCATGTTGTTTATAAGTCAAAACAGGGGGTCGGTGCGGGTTTCGCATAGCTGCGGACAACTTTCGGGATTTCAAATCATAATTTGGGTTGCGATAGCACAATTTAATTCCAGCCAGGACCATTCTTGCCCCTACCCCCGCGTGTTGTTGAATGAAGCACCACGTGCACATTTTGGTGTGCGTCTCGGTGATTTTAGGCACAGTCATCGAGAATGTCGATGGCTCGTTGCGAGATCGCCTAGACATTGTCGAAATCGATCGGGCGATTCGACGATTCAAACGGAATCCGTTTCAACGATCCGGCCGATCGTCAAGCGATTCGGATTTGAGGGAGAAGGAAGACGATGATGATTCGAGTTCGACTACCTTCCAGGTATGTCTGATTGTAACAATCGGAACCGGTTTTCGTTTGGTTCAACGTTGATTTATGCGAAATTCGCCCATTTGCCGACGGTTCGCCACACCGGCGCGACCCGCAACACTGTCCGCACATTGTTTTGTTTTTTGTTGTCAGGGCGACCCGCACGACTACTGCGACAAATTCGAGCAGCACTTCTCATTCTACTGCATCGGCGAGATCGACAGAAGCGGCAAAACCGACTATGTGCTTAAAAAATTCTGTCCGTCTTATAAGCAAGCGTGTCCGAATAAGCCGATAACGAGCTCGGTGTCGCTGACCTCATGGCCGACGGACCCGTTCGAGAAGAAGATCAGCATTCCGACGAGAAGCGAACACCTCGAGGAGAGCGGACGACATCATGCGAAAACGACGAGATTGGAATCGTTGGAGGATTCGAAGGAATCCGCCGAGGATGAGGAGCTTTACTATGTCGAGTTGAGGGTGAGTCATTTGGTTTTGTTTAAGCAGAACGCACGTATACTGCTCTCGCCAAACTGGCGCCAGGTGCGATGATAGTGCAGTTGGGTGCGCGCGCCGCTCAAGCGGGCGAGGCGTTTTGCTCGAGCCCACCTCGAGGCCAGAAATTTTTTGCCAACTTCAGAAACGCTATCCATGCAAGCCGGATTGCGATCGTCGAATTTTTCCGCACTGCACCGAAGAATGCAAGTGCGACTACATCTATCCAGCCGTTCAGCGCTTCTGCAATCCGCCGCCGATGCCAATCTTTTTGAACACGTGCCGCTTATGGTATCACGGATGTCCAAAATACGAGCAATACCATTACGCGTCGCAATTTGTGCACTCAAAAGCCGAAAAAGGAAAAGTTTTGCGTGAGTTTGACGAAAAAATTTGGGCGGTTTTCGAGTTTCGCTTTTCGATTTGCAGCCGGCTCGGCGTCGTCAACCGCAGCCCAATATGGTCTCGATCCGAATCAAGCGTCGACGTCATTGCGAACGCATCGAGCGTTGGCGTTAGCGCCAATCAGACGCAATAAGCGAAGTGAAGGGTATTTCTAGGGGGGGGGGGAAAGCTGGGGAAAAGTTGAAATTGGATTTTTTTCTCTTGAATTTAGAACTGAGCTCGAGCTCATCGTGCCGCCGCCAATTCCACACCCAACACAATTGGCGGACTCGAGAAAAATCCAAGACGAAATCGAGATGAGGTACTAAATTTTTTGGGACCATCGAATAAATTTTTAATCATTCATTTTTCAATTTTGTCCATCTTGCTTCATAGATTCCGCAATTTAACGCTTTTAGTGATGCTCTAACCGCACCAAGATCGCGAGCGATTCTTCACGAGAAGCTCAAACAGAAGACGAAGAATAGGAGAAGCTCGAAGCGAAGGAAGCTTCACCGCAAACGACGCCATCATCGGAGGTGAGCGCGCGAACCTCGAAGCGTGTCCGCAGATGTGTTAGACGGACAGTTTCGATTTAAAATTCGCATCATCAGAATTTTGTTCCAGATTTTCGCTCGAGCCACTTTCCACTACAGCCCGTCCAGCGACACCCAAAGAAGTGTGGCGAACCCTCAAGTCAGTCGGCAGATGGTCCCCGAAATACTTGATCTCGACGATTTCAGAGCGCTCAACTCTCTAACAAATGGCGGTATTGGGCTTACCAGATCGCCAGCGACACTTAAAGGCGGCCAGGCGGGACCTGGCGGCCTCGACGGATTGATCCAATCCGTCACCCAGCCGAAACCTCATGAAGAAGCTGCACGTGAATGGGCCAACGTTGGTGGGTACTACCCGAATGGTCCCAATTACTAACTATGATTGCTAATAAATGGTACTAATAATTAATTGCTTGTATTAATAAAATGATGCTGCTGACAATTCGCTGGTTATTCAGATGCGTTGTTGTGATGACTAACTTTGATGATTAACATAAATGTTGGCTGCGGACACCTCGCGGGTCTCGCGCTCACCTCCCATTGTTGTTTTCAGCGCAAAATCCGGATAAATTCACGAAGGACGTTGTGCAGGCGGCGAGCGGCAGCGCGACGACGACTGTCGACGTTAACGACGAGGTGAACTCGACGAAACTCGAAGAACCCGTCGATTTTTCAAGTAATTTTCTCATTTCGCCAATTATGTCCGCAGCACGGCGTTCATTAAATTTGCAGGTTTGAAGACGCGTCTTCTCGCCGCGAACGCCGCGAAAACGGTGATGCTCGACGAAAAAAATGGGAAACCCAAGTAATATAACGGTTGATGCGCCTTTAAACTGTCAGCTCTTATTGCGCAGAGCGTTCCAAGGTTCGATTCCGGTGTTGGCGACCGAGGCCGCCCAGTCCGACGACACGTTCAAAGCGTTCGACGGTCTGTCGGATAGTCGCGGTTTGGTGCACGTGCCGAGAACGTCGAGTCCGTTCACGAAGCCGGGACTCTGGGAGCCGAATCCGGCGGATCCGCACAGTCGAGATCCCACCAACAAATACTGGTACCATCCCGAATCGGTCATGGTTGATTGGCTAAACGGACAGGTGAGGGCCGCATTTTTTTTTTGGGGGGGGGGGGAATTTTAAATTTATTTTTTTTTAATTAGAAAAATTTGGATGAAAAGGTTTTCGCCAAAAATTCGTAAAAAATTTCTTTTTTTTTCTCGAATTCCAGATGACTTGGGGTGCTCATTGGGCGGTTCCAGCCGCCGGCGTCGGAGGAACTGACGGCTTCTCGTCTCTCCACTTCCCAAGTGTCGGAACATTCTTGAACATTCCTGACGATTACGACTAAATTTCAATAATTTATTGTTGTTCCCGCAATTTTGTTTTGTTGATTTTAATTTTCCAGTGTCAACTGCCTTGTTTGTATATAATTGAACAATATTACAGGGTTTTTTAATGAATGATTTCTCTTTGCTGATTCTTATTTGTCAATGGCATGCGATTTTTACAGCGCGCTACGGTGCGCGTTGCGAGACGCGCCGCGTGTGCAAACACTGACACGACATGTTACACCTACCGTACTTTGGCATTTTTCTAGAATTGAAAAATTTCATTTCGTCCTTAATTGCGCATTTTCTTCGATATTTCTCGTTCTTTCGCTTAAAATAAATAATTGTCATGTTCTTTCAAATTTTCGGAATAAAATAAAACCCTATACGCGTGTAGTTTTCGCGAAAAATGGGTATTTCGAAATAATTTAAAATTCCGCTCTTCTAGAAGAAAATTATGAATGGATTGTGTAATGAATTCCTCTCGATTTCTCATCGCTTATGTTCGTTTATCGCGTACTCATCGCGTTAAGCGTGATTATTTTATTCAATTTTTCCAGCGTTTCGTTTTTTTCTTGGGAAGACAAATCATGGCGGCTTCCGCGCAACTGCTCTTCGACGAGAATGGCCAACCATTCATCGTTATGCGAGAGCAAGAGAATCAAAAACGAATTACCGGCATTGAAGCTGTCAAGGTAAGTATATCTATCAATATTACATTCAGCTTTATATCGTTTGCTCAATTTCAGAGCCATATTCTTGCTGCTCGCGCCGTTGCGAACACTCTTCGCACTTCTTTGGGACCCCGTGGTCTTGACAAGATGCTCGTACGATTTTTCTAAGTCAAGAATTTCTGAATTCATCGTGATTTTTCCCAGGTTTCCCCTGACGGCGAGGTATGCATCACCAACGACGGCGCAACCATTATGGAGAAGATGGACGTGCAGCATCACGTTGCCAAGCTTATGGTGGAATTGTCAAAGTCTCAGGATCATGAAATCGGAGACGGAACAACCGGTGTCGTCGGTAAGCGAATTATCTCGAAATGCGTCGATTTCCGTTTCGAATCTTGACTTGTTGTTGCCATGTTCGTTTAATCGAATTAACTCGGCCTTAGTCATGTTCTGCTGAAATGATCAATGTTCCGGCAGCACTAATATCCAAAAATCGAGTTCATTTCGTGTGTTTGGCGGTGATGGAAATTCAATAAGTTTCTTCTTTTTCGAGTTTCTTTTTTCTTCGGCACAGAAATTAGAAATTTATTCCTTTTTAGTACATTCATCTTCTCAGAGGCGCACTCCTGCATTTTTAATAAGTCTAGACATTAATTTTCAAATAAAAAGTCATTTAATAAGGAAACTATAATCATAGAGCACGTTAATCCTAAAAATTTAAATTTAAAGCAGATCTTATGAAAATGTTGCTTATTTGATTTGTAAATTACATAAAAATGCGGGGGGGGAGAGGTGGCGGGACTGAATGAGCTGAACTTCTGCTCGGTTGAGCTAATTTTTAAAGTTTTCTCATGTAGAAGTTTGTTTTCCTGTCGATATTAGAGAAAAGCGCTGAAAAACAGGATTATGTGCTTTATAGCTTTAAGAATTTCTTAAATTCCGATTTTTTGTAGAAATTAAAAAATGGTTTTTTTTTTTCATCATGTTGTCATGAAAGTGTTTTTTGAGAAGGTTCTCTTAAAGCTGCATGAAAGATTCGCACCGCGATCGAATAGTTTTTCTTTTTCCAACATGCCATCATCGAGAATGTATAAAGTTCCCTTTAAGCTGTTGCTTCATCTAGTCGCGCTTTGAAACTTATTTTTTCACATTTCTGTTTATTTTGTTTTGTCTAAAAAAAACTCATTGTTACTCTTTTGAACTCCGACATAGGGAACCGTAAACGCATTGTTTGGGTGCTAGGAGGTTTCTTGTCGGTTTTTGGATGGTTTCGAGATTCCTCCGTAATTGTTTGTCTTGTGCGGAATGACGTGCGTAAAGCACTTCATACACCTCGAAAAAAATGTTTGATTTTTTGTTGAAAATCGAGACGGTCTCGATTTTTTCGAACTCGTCGTGGCGGGCGTTTGGCAGAACAAAAAAATGTGAGGCGAGACGATGTTGTGATTAAACAGCCGCACAGACAGAAGAAGACAAAATAAATACGTCATTGAGGGGGGGGGCCGTTCGCATTTTTTCGGTATTGTTTTAAAAAGAATGAATGGACCGTCGCCGATTGGTGTTGTGTGTTTATCACACACACACACACACTTTCAAAAAAAACCATCCATTTTCTCTTCTTTAAGCGAAAAAAATGCACCATCTGGAATGTTCCCAATGAAAACAATTATAATTAATTGGATTTTTCTTCTCCTTTTTTTTTGCTAAATAGGCTCCCAAGAGGCGACAATCGTAATTGTTTTCGCGTTGGCGGCTTGAATGTACTTGGCCGCGAAATGGGCACCTTTTTAATAAAAAAAAGACATAATAACAGAAAGTGCGGTGCGCGAGCGAGTTTTACACAGTTTTTCTTGGTTCGCTCTATCAATTTGCTGTAAAGTGATTGGGGCGTATCAGCGTTTCGAATGAATCACTCTGACGCAGAATTTTGCGTCGTATCTGAGCTGATCACGTCATTCAGGTCAATCTTTTTGTACGCCCGGTTTCGTGAGGTCCGAAATGGCGCTGATAAATTCGGAAAACTTTCCTTTTTTGCGATTTTTATCTTATCGCGTCCACCCTTACTGACATCATTGAGATAAGGTGTTGAGCGAGCGAATGTTTATTTAAATCGCGATGACTCGTTGCGTTTTCACGTTTGTCCGTCAGCCCTTCGCGGCTCACGTGTTCGTTGTCAATTTTTCCTGTTTGAACAGTCATTTTGCCTCGCAATTTTGGTGATTTTTGGGCTTTGCCTCCGCCGCCCGTATAGTATTTGCTCACACAGTTTTTTTTTTTTTCGTTGTCGTTGTTTCGCGACAAGACAAATCCCTACCGGTCGCGTTGGATTTGAATGTCTGGAGTTCAAAAAAATTGCATCCATTTTGAATCTTGAGCGCTGATAGTTTTATTGCAAAATAAAATGGTTGCATCGGTTTTTGAACTTGTCAGAAACAGTCACGAGAATGAATGCGACAAAAAAAATCTGTGTTTGTCGTGAATCTCGAGTTGTTTTTGAATTTCGACAAAATTTTAATCGCCTTTTTGCTATTTCTTGTATGCCTATCATTGGATTTTGTCGTGTCAATATTTTCTCTCCTTCCCTTCGATCTTTGAGTTTTATTATTTCATTTGCTCATAGTACGGTAGCGTAAAGCGATAATAATCGAATTTCCTTTTTTGTGGCGACTCTTGAAACAAACTTCGCGGCTAATTCGATTTTTTCGGCATTCTTCGCGCACAACCCTCCATTTTTGGCATTCTGGTGTGTATTTTGCGCTGGTGTTGATCGCATTTGTAGAAATGCCGGCCGTCGAAAGTTCACAAAACGCCAAAAATAGATGTTTGACATTTTGAATGCGAGTTCTGAGTTTTGAAAATGCAAAGATAATGATATGTCTAGAGTACGATGAAATATGGTGCCAAATTTTTGATCTTCAGTTATTTTTGACTGTTATTCGAATAGTCTGATATGTAAGCACATCTAGGAAGTCTAGAGAATATTCTTCGGATTCATTTGAATAAATTCTGCCAAAAGTAGACAATATAGAAACTACTGGTTGATTCAAACCAAGATCCTTTTAAGTAATTCCTCTGCTCTCCTATCAAACACATTTCGGTCACATTTTCTCTTATTGCGGCGAGTTCATAAGAGCAGATACCAGATTGTTTGCAGAAGGGGTTTTTTCTTTGTCTGATAGCATTTTCGAGTTGATCGGTCATGTCATCAGGTGCCGAAATACTGAAATATTTTCAAATTATTTTTTGAAGCATTTTTCTCGAGTTTGGTTCCCTTTAGTTGTAGGATCAAATTGAGTGGGAAACTTGCTCGCCAATTATATCCCACTTTCTCGCAACTTAATAGGCTTCATTGAACAGAAAAAAAAGTCACATGAAAGGGTCCAGTTTCATTATCTCATATTCATTTCTTCTTTTTTTTTTGTGAGCTCATCTGTTGCGCTCGACACATTCCATCGTATGGATGGACGACGTGCTCTCGCGGTTGGTGGGCGTGTTTCTCTCCATCGTCGTCTTGTGTGCGTATGAGACCGCTACATTCTATCGATTTCACTGGCTTCGTTGCCGCTGGTTTCTCGAATATGTCCCCGTTTATTCATTTTTTTTGCGCGCGGGTGCGATTCTCTCTATATATGTGTCGACGACGGCATTTTTTTCAACCTCCTCGCCTCTTCTAGCTCGCCGACTTGCTGCCCTTTTTTGTTGTGCGCCACCCATCAACTCATGTCGTTGTTGCGTAAATTGGAATTCCGAAATGAGTGTTTTCATTTGAGCGGCTCGATATTGCGCTTCGGGAGCCCACGAATGAGCATTCTCAATTAGTGATGACAGAGTAAAAAAAAAAGAGAAGTTGTAGAGTCATGAAATTTGTTTTACATTTTTCATTGCCGTTGGACAAAGATCACCGAAATTCGTTTTCTTTCCGGCAGCTACGTTCACAGGTTGAGTTTCGCAAACACTTCCTCTGTTTCCGGCTTACAGAGTTCATGGCTTGCCGGAAACTCGCGTTTAACGCACATTTCCGATAGGCTTTGATGACAACTCGTTGATTGGTTTTTTTTTGCTGAATTAATGCAAATTTATGCAACAAAATGCTTCATCTTTTCTTTTTTTAGTAAAACTTGTTAGGATTCATTAAGAAGTTGGCGTAGACTTTTTTCAGTGCGAAAATCAGCTGTGCGAAATTTCGAAATTGTTATTTGTAGTAGTCGCGACGAAAAAAACAACATTTTTGTTTAGAAAAATACGAACGCGTTGGTTCCGTTTTCTTTGACAAAAAGCGTGTTCGACAAATTATGGTCCCTAGAGTAATTTCAGAACCTCTAGGATGTAGAAGCGAATTCGAGATTTCGTTAGGGTTTCTATTCCAGAAAAAATTTTAAGAGTCATTTGAATATTTTAGCTCTGTTAATGGTCCCTAGGGCGCCAGGCGGAAATCGTGTAACCTAGAAATTAATATTCTTTTCAATTGAGCCGGTCTTAGTAACACATAAATACTATAAATTTTATTGAATCCAACTTTTTTCTATAGCTGATAATTAACATTAAAAGAAATTCAATTATGGTCCCTAAAAAATTGAAAGAGCGATTCTTGAATTTTGAGTCTATAATGCCACATCCGATAACTGTAGGACATGGTTTTTTTTTTAAATTTCAAACCGATTAGAAGAGTCCAAAAAATGGCAATTTTCCCAAAGAGCTTTTGAATTGACCAAAAATTGCGCGCAACTCGATATCTTTTCATTCTCATTTTTTTTAAACAGCCATCCTCTCCGTTTTTTCTGTTGTGGTGCCGAACGAAAGATTGGAATACTAGATAAACATTGGTGGAGGCAGTGAGAAAAAAAAAGAGTCGACCTCAAGTATGTAGTAGACGAGAATGGTTATCTTCTGCCCAATTTTTTTGGAGGCGGCAATCAGCAGTTGAGATAACTCGTGAATTCCGGTCTGGTTTTGATATACACACAAACGTTTTCGGTCTTTTGTTCGGTTTTGCCTCCTCGAAGATTTTTGCTCTTTTCGGAGCACACACATAGACGGGGGTTTCTTTGTGACACCCCGCTTTCTTACCCTACCCCCCCCCTCCTCTCGCTTTTTTTTGCACAATGTCAAAAATTAATTGAATTCGCCGACCTCTCGTGCACGTTGTTCTTTTATATTTGAATCGAAAACAATGAGTGGTTGGTATATTTTTATTTTTTTTTTTTGGTGGGAGACGAATTGCCGGAAACGTGTGCCTCTTCGTGTGTTCCTCGACAACTCCTCGTTATTGCTTTCTTTTATTTTTTTTTTTTGAATGTGTCTAAGACGCTTTCTTCCTTCTCCTTATTAGGACACTAGGATTTTTTCCTCGCAAACGTTGTCTCATAATGGATTCCGAGAAGAAATGCGTTTAATTCGTATATTTGATGAGGATTCACACGTCGTTTCCGGTTGTTTAGATGTTTTTTTTTTCTCGAAATCCCTCTTGAGATCGAATTTCGAATGATACTTCATTAGCTGCTCCTTGAGCTTACAACTTTGACGAAGCATCGCAACGAAAAAAAAAACGCGCGTGATCTTGTCAGTGGCGAGATAGTGAGGGAGAGAGAGGCAGAGAAAAAGTGAGGTCACGTGAAAGTCGCCCAAAAACCAACTGATTTTACTTGAAAGATTTTTTCTTTGCTGAAATCTCACCACATTTTTGTCTGTTTTGTTTTGTTTTTGACGAAAATGCGACAGGTTGCGTGCTATTGTTGTCTTCGCCGTTTTTTTTCTACCCGCTCGTTGTCGCCACACACAAACACACACAGGCATTCTCGTGTCCTTACAAGTTTGTGAATGTTCTTCGTTTTTTTTTTATCCATGTTTGGATGAGATTTCGATACATCCTTGTATTCTCCTACCTCCCCCCTCCTCAATGAAAAAAAAACCGCAAACGTTTTTGTCGCATTTTTTTCCATTTGGCGGTTGGCAAACGAGTTTTTCGTTTTCATTTCGTTCCGCTGGCAACGCGTAGGTTTCAAAGTACAAAAATGGCCAATTGCGAGTGTCGCTTTCTCTCCAAAAAATCGATTTTTTTGTTCGCTTCAAGACCACCTACGCACGTTTGAGCTCTCTTGAAAAAAGGTGCCGTTTCAAACATGGCACACCGGTTACTTGTGAATAATTCCATTTGCATGTCGAAACGTTTTTTTCTCTTCTTCTTCTTCATGCTTCTGCTGATGGACGGCGCCACTCGGCGCACGCCTTCTCGAATGTTTCATTTTTTCCGTCCTCGTGTTGCCTCCTCGCGCCACGCTTCTAGAAGTTGCTCACTTCTTTTTTGGTGGCGTTTGGCTCTCACCTAGCCCTAGTGACACAAATTGAACCACGGAGTCGAATTTTTGTGCTCCACTAGAGGCGAAGAACGAGTGGTGTTTTTTTTTGTTCGAAAATTCCCTCTCAGTCTATTTTTGATCGAATCGAAATTGACATTCATTTTTTGCCATGTTTGGATTGCGACGAAACAAAATGTTCGTCTACCGTCATACCGGTCTGCGTCTCCACATTGATTAGCATCACCTGTTTACTCCCGCGCGCGCGTACACAGGCACGCACTTATCGCATCTAGACGATGAACTGTGTTGCGCCATCGTGCGTTTGGCGAACGAACAGTTGGTGAAATGTCGGTGCCATAATGGCAGATGCGCTCGCATTGTGTGTGTGTCTGTGTTTTATTCGTTGAAATTGATTAATTAAAAAAATAAAGACATATTTTATTTGTTGCAGTTCTCACCGGTGCCCTTCTTGAGGAGGCTGAGAAGCTTATCGACCGTGGAATTCACCCCATCAAAATCGCCGATGGATTCGATTTGGCGTGCAAAAAGGCGCTCGAGACGCTTGACTCGATTTCGGACAAGTTTCCTGTTGAGGACCGCGAACGTTTGGTCGAAACCGCGCAGACATGTCTTGGAAGCAAAATGTCAGTTTTTTCACCCTTTTTTCTTATTATTATTTTTTTTCCTTATTTAAAAAAATGTTTATTTTGTTTTCAGTGTGAATCGCTCGATTCGCCAATTCGCCGAAATCGCTGTCGACGCTGTGCTGTCGGTTGCCGACGTTGAGGCGAAGGATGTGAATTTTGAGATGATCAAGGTTGAGGGAAAAGTCGGTGGACGACTTGAGGACTCGATGCTTGTCAAGGGAATCGTGATTGATAAGACGATGTCGCATCCTCAAATGCCCAAAGAGATTAAGAACGCCAAGGTTTGTCGATGCGGTGCGAGGCGGAGTTGTGTGGTAAACGTGCGGAATTGCAGGTCGCCATCCTCACCTGCCCATTCGAGCCACCAAAGCCAAAGACCAAGCATAAGCTCGATATCACCTCGACGGAGGACTTCAAGGCGCTTCGCGAGTATGAGCGTGAGACATTTGAGACGATGATCAAGCAGGTGAGCACGCGTGCGTGCAATTTCGCCCAACTCATTAATGTATGCAGGTGAAAGATAGTGGCGCGACTTTGGCGATCTGCCAATGGGGATTCGACGACGAGGCGAACCATTTGCTGCAGGCGAACAACTTGCCGGCGGTTCGCTGGGTTGGTGGTCCTGAAATCGAGCTACTCGCGATTGCGACCAACGGCCGAATTGTGCCGAGATTCTCGGAATTGACCGAAGCCAAACTAGGAACTGCGGGACTCGTTCGCGAGATCACCTTCGGAACTGCCAAAGATCGCATGTTGTCGATTGAGCAATGCCCGAACGTCAAAGCGATCACCGTGTTGGTTCGTGGCGGCAACAAGATGGTTTGTCGATTCTCGTCGATCGTTGAAATCGCGATTTGTTCAGATTATTGATGAGGCAAAACGCGCACTTCATGATGCTTTGTGCGTCATTCGGAATATTGTTCGCGATTCGCGCATCGTCTATGGCGGTGGCTCGGCGGAATTGGCGGCCGCCATCGAGGTCGCCAAAGAGGCCGACAAGATTGATGGAATCGAGCAGTATGCGTTCCGCGCGTTCGCCGATGCGCTTGAATCGATTCCGATGGCTCTTGCGGAGAACTCAGGATTGTCGCCGATCGACGCGTTGTCGGACTTAAAGGTAATAATGATTTAAAGGCGCATTGATAGCGGTGGGTTGGGATAGGGTTTCGAATTGATATAAATCATTGGAACAAGTTTGATTTTGTCACACAAGTTGAATGGAATTTTGTTTTTGAAACATGCGGTTTAATTCTTTTTTTTTTTCGGCGGCACCACGGTTATAGATTGACATTTTTTGGTTGTTGAATTCCGGTTAAGTTTTTTATGCGTGCGTGTTATATATCTGATCCGATCTGTCCTTGCTTCCTTTCAAATTTCACTTTTTCTTGGTCATTAACCGGGTGTCCCGGAACGTTTGTTTCCGAATCTGATCGAAATTTTTTGTTGTTCTTTCGCGACCATGGCGTTTCAAGATATGATTTGATGATTTTTGAAAGCCTCCTTATTATTCTTATTATTATCGTTTTTTGAAGCCTTTTGATTTATTGATGAGAAGCGCGCTTTAAGAGCGTTTTAATCTATACGTAGTGTATGTTCGGCAATCTTTTTGTTTTTGTTGCTGCTCGGCCGACGGCTTCGGCAGCGAACGGGGGGATAATCTGCAGCGTCTTACGACCTAATAAGGCCGATGATGATGATGTTGTTTTTGTAGGCGAAGCAGATTGAGCAGAAGAATTCGCATCTCGGAATTGACGCCGTCTTCGCCGGCACCAATGACATGAAGAAGCAGAAGGTAATCCCTTCCTTTCACAGTTTGTTCTAATGCTCACTTATTTAATCTTGCAGGTTATCGAAACCCTTTTGAGCAAGCGTGAGCAGATCTCGTTGGCGACGCAGGTGAGATTTTGTTCTAGAAAAGGCCTCCTTGCCTGTTTTTTTTTCTCCTGAAAAATGATTCTCGGAAATACAAATTTCGTAGGACCGCCGCGCGACACACTCACTACAACATTTTTGCGCCGAAAAGTTTATTTCAAATTCTATTGCCGTTCAATAAGATCCATTTTTCTTCACTTTTTTAAAAGGCGCATCTTCGATTTGTCATATTTAAAGACGCATCGAGTGCTTCTTATGGATGTTTTTTTTTTTCCAGGTTGTTCGTATGATTCTGAAAATCGACGACGTCCGTGTGCCAGACGACGAAAAAATGCAAGGCGGTTATTAAATTGTCGAAATTGTTTCATTTTGCTTAATTTTTCTCATTTTTTTTCGATCCTTCCGTTCCTTGTTTCCAAGATTTTGTGTTGTTTTCCACTAACACGCTGCGATGTTTGAAATTGAAAGCGCGATACGCGGCGAGATTTTTGGGGGTGGTGGGTTTGAGGAATGAGAAGATGCGTGGAGCCGATTAGGTGCTTCGTCTTCCTCATTGTTGCCCTATTTTCCGTTTGTCCGCTCGCGTCGACACCGACAAATCTTGTTGCTTTCATTTTTTACCACGCTTTTGCTTGAAACTTTGATGATCTTTTTTTTTCGGATTCTCGCATCCAACAATCAATTCTTTAATTCTTCAAGTTCGTCACCGTGTTCGTTTTGCTTCTCAATTCCACCCACATTATTGCATTCTTGTTGATTTTTTGAATTTTTTGATTGAATTAAATAATTGTTGCTTTTGGGATTTGTACGATGTTGTTTTTTGAGATCTGTTACATCTTTCATGATGTCCAGTCAACCATTTCTTAATTTTTTTTTTCGTTTTCTCAATTTTCTTGTTAAGCTTTTGCCAAATTTTTGATTCAGATCCCCTCCTCTGTGTGTCGATGTGTCATCGTCTTGAGATGATGAGCACTTGCTTGTGATTAGTGGCGGATTAGGTGAGTCGTTTTTTTTTCTTCCGCGAATCTCAATATCGTTTTTGATTTTTTTTTCTAGTTCTGATATGTCAGTTGTGTCGACGAGCCAAGCCACAGAAGGACACGCGTCAGAAGCTGTTAAGAAGGTGAGTGATTTCTATGGTACACATGACTTTTGGGTGTTTGAATTGGCGCCATTGGGTTCGAAAAGTGTTAGGGGGGTTTTTTGCGAATATGATTTCAGACTTGAAGTTGTGAAGTAGTCAGTTTTAGGGACCATTGATAAACAAATTTGAGAGATGGAAACGGGAAAACGAATTCTTTAAAGCTAAAATCGAAAATTTTAAATTAAGAGATTAAAATTTGATAATTAAAAATCAATTTTCAGCTGACATTGATTCCTAAAAAATATTTGCATGATTTTATAGAATTTGCTGAAATTTGGAGTTCTTCGAGAATTTTTATTATGGTACTATGCCAATCATTGGGAAATAGTAAAGAAACGATTTAAACTAGTGTGTTATTGCCCTACGTTTGCATAATTCCTCTAGTGACCATCCGGAGTAATCTCATGCTGAAATTCAAATGTGCTTTGATCGTCAAAAATCCGCTACTCGTAGGCTGCTGGCGCGAGGTTTTCCGATAAGTTGAATTCGAAATGAAAAAAAAGACGAGGAGGTGGAGAGTTTTGTTGCGAGGGAGGCTTAATATTTCAACGAACGGATTAGAATCGTTGAAATTATTTCGCGTTTAATCTTCGCGGGCTCGATATCGCCTCGATTTGCTCGATTCGCTGCGAGAACAACAATTTTTGGATGAGGAAACGGTTTAAAAGGCGATCAGAAAAAAATCACTCGTTGTTTTGTTTTAGAAATCAGTCTTTCAATATTTTATTGGTCGATTTTCTATTTGGAGCCTCTAATTTTTGAGCCTTAAATGGGTATTTAAACGATCTTATATTTTTGGTTGATTTCTGCATTCATTTACTATTGGTAGATCAAAGAAATTGTACAGTTCTGCGCCTTTAAACTCTTGTGTGGGGGGGGCCCATTTTGTAAAATTTCGAGTCATGACCTCATAAATGGTTTTACGACGATGCAGCTCTCGCTCTCTCTTTCCCTTCCTCCCCCCCAGCGACGTTTGACCGGCCGCGCGCAGCTGTGATGACTTTCATCATCGGCAGTTTTAATCAAGATGTTTCGCCCAAACATGGTTTCTCAGTTTTTGCGCGCTTGGGTTTTTCTCGCCGATGTTATCGCGATCGGTGTCGTCACTGCTGATAACCGTCGTTTTTCTTTCTGATCCACTCGAAAGATCTCTAAAAATCAATGCGTATAATGCTCAGCAAATTGTGCCGCCGTTGAAACGAAACAGCGATTAATGCAAAAAAAAAACGGGATACCAAGAAATTTCTCCGTCTCTCAAAATCGCACGCATTTTCTCTTCGTCTCTAGCAATTTTTTCAATGGCAAGATTTTGAATTGATTCTAATTCCTGTTGAGTTTGTACAATTTCGAGTAGATCAAAAAAAAATGCGGACCCTCTTTTGTAGAGTAGCGGGCCGATTTTAGAAGAACCCTCATTTGTGTTTTTTTGGCGACGGTACTCTTGCCTATCTTCTTTTTGTTCTGACAATGATGATATCAGCGATGGAGGGTTCAAAATAGATACATCGCCTATTGGTGGTGGTGGTGGCAACAGACGACGACGATCATGTGAACTTTTTTTTTCGTTCTTCTGCCTTCTTCTCTCTTCCCTTTCGCGAGAATTGAAGAGGAGGAGGACGATAGAAACGGCAGCAGAGGGAAAAAAACGATTGTCATCTCATGGGGGAGGCATTTTTGTTGTTCGTTTTCCTGCTTGACACTGCTTGAACTAGTGTTACCGTATCCCAGGATCTTGGATTCTCTTTTTTGTTTTGAAATTAACTTGTTAATGCCAACATTGTTTGGGGTCTTCTAGGTTTCGGTATCTCAAGAAGGTCTTGCCACGATACAGTATCCATGGCCTAGCAGTGTCTCGACACCGTCTAGACGCTGTAAATTTGCATTTTGAAAAGAAATTCTCACGCTGTTGCCTTCTTCTACTTCTTCTTGTCGTTTTTTTTAGCGTTTATTGCGTATTATACCATAAAAAAGGGTTTGATCTACGATATGACGTCACACTGCGATTACTGTTTTCTCATTTTCGTCGTATTGTATCGGTTGGTCGCGAACAACCATTTCTCTCGTTTTTGTGTTGCGCTGAATTTTGTGACCCGCCATCATCATTCAGAAATGTCGGCAATCGAATCGCCGGCGTTCGTGATGCCTTCTGATGAGGCGACGCCGATGACGTTGGACGGCATGCTGATGACGTCGAGAATTCTTCATGATTATCTGAACTTGATGGTATCTTTAAAAAGAAAGCGCCAATTTTAAACACTAGAAAATTTTATTCATTTCTCTGAATTATTGAATTTACAATCATTGGAATTTCAGAGAGTTCAAATCAACAACTCATCGCCGACATTTATGTTGGAAACGCCCAATCCGAAACTAATGTTTGGTAGGATGCGAGAGGTTGTTGGCGATTGATCATCATCATCATTGATTATAGACTTGCCGACGACCGCCGAGCTGATGCAGCGGTGTCTGGCGGTGAATCCGTTCGAGGCGAAGTTCCGCGAGGCGAATCAGAAGATTAGCAGCGGCGCGATGCCGCCGACGAGCGCCGCCACTCAATCGATCGAGGCTCTCGAAGCGAATGGCCCTTTGCCGATCAGCGGAAGTGGCGGTTGTATGCCGACGAGCGCGAACAGTGAGTGTTTGTTTTTTTGTCACTCTCCCGCCCGATTGCTCGCAATGCGCGAATTTTGCAGTGACCGACTTGCTGCTGAAAATTCCGCCATCGAGCCTTCAACAATCACCCGGCATTTTTTCGAATATCAGCATCCTTGCAGCCGACAATAATGATGGGCAAACGCATGAGAATCTGAAAACCGCCGACATCTCGAAATTGTTGTCAGCGGTTAGTGTGAGTGACTGACTGGCGGTCTCGAGACGATTCATCGTTTCAATTTTTGTAGGCTGGCGACTCGTCGGCGCAAGCGCCTCGAACTGCTGATGTGTTGAATGCGGTGCTTGATATGCATTCGGATCGATTGCACACCATCAATTATTTGAATAAGTGAGCGATTCCGATTCGTCGTTATTCAATGGAACCGATTCATTTAGGCCAGACTTCTCGAAATTCCTCCGATCGCCGTCGTCGTCGGCGCCGAACTCGGCTTCGATTCTGGGATCGGCCATGTGCGTCCCATCAACGAGCTGCAGCCTACTGGCGCCACCTCCGCCACCCGTCAAGCCGATGAGCACGAGCTTCTCGCCGAATCAGAATCTCGCCGTTCCCGATGCGATGCTGGTGTCGGGTGGCTCGTCGGCGCAGAGGTCGCCGGCGGCTCCCGGCGGCGAGATCAACGGGCACGATTCGAAGTGGGAGCATCCGTCGGTAAAAAAAGAGATCTATTATGATGATCATTCAATGATATCCATGGATCGGGCAAGGTTGGTTGATTGGAACGGATGTTGTCGGCGGTCAATTCGAATGATTGCGATTTTCAGCGTGTCGGCGAGTGGATCGGATCGAGAAGTGACACCGCTGCGAACCGAACACAAAGGCGTCGGACGGCCGCCGAACAGCGGACGAGGTCGCGGACGAGGTCGCAGCACGACGGCCGACATGCAGCCGGATGAGAGGCGCAACACGATACTCGAGCGGAACAAGGCGGCAGCGGTGCGATACCGCAAAAGGAAGAAGGAGGAGCACGACGACATGATCGGACGCGTCCATCTACTCGAGCAAGAGAAGAACACGCTGATGACGCAGAATCAGGTGTTGAGGAGGGAGCTCGAGCGAGTGACGGCGGTGCTCGCCGAGCGCGAGCAACGATGCGTTTGTTTGAAAGGTGTGCCGCTTGATTGTGAGACGCAGGTATTCAGAAGCGGCGTTGACGGCGCATAAAATGAAGATGGCCAATTTTCAGAATGGCGTTTACTGTGCGACTAGTCAACCGCAGCTGATGAACTTGAACCCGATGCAAAACGGCGGGATGGCGATGAAGCGGCCGAAAATGTGATTCGCGATGGACGAATTCTTGTCAAAACTGTTGTGAATTGAACATATAAACAAAAAAATAAGAAAACAAATGTAATAAGACAAAGTAGATATTGATTAGATGGTGTTCTTCTCCAACCCCCTCCCCTCCCCCCCCCCAAAAAAAATGATCTCAAAATATTTCTCTTTTGCTGTTTTCGTTTTCTCGTGAGTATCCAGGTGGTGTTTACTTAACTTATATTATATATATATTTTTTTTTTTTAATTTAATTTTTACTGAAGAGAAAAAAGACCGACCATTTGTATATTTTTGACCCCCCCCCTCCCTTCTTCATTTTTCATCCATATTAGATTTTTGACTAGGTGATTTTGTTTTTTTTTTGTTTTGTGTAGATCATGAGACCCGAACTTTCCTTCTATTTTTCCTTCTTGCAGAGTATATTTTCTACTTCTTCTTAATAAGTCGACAAATTTGATTCTGGCAACTACTGAGATAATAATCGCATGTTTTCCATTCGTTTTTGTTCCTGTTAGAATATCCCATATGTTTATTTTGCTCCTCTTGTATATTATTTTTGAACTCATGAAACAATTCGTTTTTTTTTAAGATTTGAAAGTTTTTTGGAGTCTGCGGGGATTACTGTAGCTTCTCATTCTCTTTTTTTGAAGCTGAAACATTTGAATGGGGGGTCTTGAAACAATCTAGCCAACACAAATCTAGAAACAAATCTTGAATGGGGGTCTTGAAACAATCAAAGCCTTTCATATAGGGAGATTGGATTACTGTAGAAAGCAAGTTCAAATTTGGGTCTTGACGGGAAACAAGCATTCCAAAAGCACATGGTTTAGTTTAGAAAATATGTGAGTGAAATTCGAATTGGGAAATCGGGATTACGGTAGTATGGAGAGTTGTTCTTGGATGATAAAGGTGTCGAGTGGAACAAATTTCAGCAGCTTCTCCTCCTCATCGCCGTCCAATTAAAAGGGATCGGCGAGCGAGAGGCCGATTTCCTGTCGAAGTGCGTCCGACATCCGGCGCTCACTCATCCATTCACGCGATTCTTACTCGACGCACACACAATTTGTTTGTTTATGCTCCACACGACGACGAGAAGCAGCTCGATTCTGTGCGCCTTGAAACGCATTTTTTGAATTGCGCGCCAATTTTAAAAAAATTTGAATGCCGTCGGACGCGTTGCGTTTCACGTCGCGGTCACACGATTTTTGATTTTCCATGTTTTTTTTGTTGGAAAATTTCATTAGATGAGATGGGGGGTGATTCATGACCGCACGCGAACCGCAACGCGTCCAACGACATTGGGCATGTGAATCAAAAGTGTGCAATTTTGCGCCCGTGTTTATGCACATAATTGCAACCATATCCTTTCGATTTCTTCAAACTCTAGGTCTACCGTACACTTTTAAAGTTGTCCTTATCAAATTATAGTCGACGCCGGCAAAAAAAAGTTGAAAATTGCCATGCGCTGTTCTAACCGCGACGCGACCGCAACGTAAAAAGCCGTTCTAGTAGTTTAAAGGCGCAGGTCTCGAAAATCAGTTTTTTTTACAAAAATAGAATTTTTTACAATCTTGATTTTATAGTGGCTTTTGTGATTTTGTCGTGGGGGCCGATTTCAAGTCGCTAGGTCTCACCGCGACGGATTACGGTAGCCGCTATTTAGCAATGCGCGTACCGTAACCATCGGAGTTTTGCACGTCGTACGTCGCTTCGAGACCCATTCGCCCACAAACCGTGTTCGGCGCCCATAAAAACGCTCATTATTCGTGTTTCTGCTCATTTCTCGGTTTCTACGTGGCAACAGGTGACGCATTTGGAAAATGTACACCAGCGGACCAAAAAATAATCGGACACGCCGACAACACGGAATTTTTTATTGCGAGGCGCTGTCTCGATGCTTCTCGTTTTTTTTTAAAGGCGCACGACTCGCTTGTATTTTGTGGACCCCTCGTCGATTGTCCGATAGTCGCTAATGGAAATTCTCAAATGTGAAAAACGATCTGCGGACAACTTGAGGGTTGTGTGTGTGCGAGAGCGAATTTAATCCCCCTCTCAGCCGGCGATGTTTCCGGATAATCCGCAAAAACGTCGCATTGATTTTGAAAAAAAATTACAGCAGCACCTCGTCGATGGAGCACGAGCTGCTCCAGCTCCTCCCCCCCATTCTACGTCGATTTTTTTTAATTGGCCGATTGCGCGCATGAGAGCACGCGAATTAGTTGCGCTCAACGAAAATTCTTTGGGGCGGTTCATCTTTGCTTTTTTTCAACCGTTTCCTTTTTACAATGATGTCATTGACGATTTGTTTGTTTTTTTTGTGCGCCTTTAAAGGCGCATAGCTCGTATCTCGCGATTCCTGCAGCGATTGCGAGTTCAAATATACGAGAATGGCCTGCAAATTTAATTTAACCGCGCACCGCTCATTTCTGTGGTTTCGACACGAATTTGTGACCATGAGCGATTTAAAGGCGCATCGAGCAAATCGTTTAAAGGCGCAAATGAGAGACGAGAGTTGTTTCGCGATTAATCCGCGCTCCGAAATAATCTGATCTAATCCAATTTCGCCCACAATTTTCGGCCAAATTCTATTTATTTCTTATTTTGCAACAAAAGATTTTGTCTTCGCTAAAAAATGATGTCAAAATGATTATATGCGCCTTTAAAAAATGCTCGGGTTACTGTAGCCCTTAACAATATTTCTAATCGAAATTTTCCGCAGCACAGACATGCTTTTTTTCGAGACACTCTTTAATTCATATTAAAATTGAAGAAAACTGGCGAGTTTGATTCGCAGGTTATCTCGAGTACGGTAGTCAAACTTCAACTGCTCGAAATTTGAATTACCGCCAACCCGAAAGGTAGAGATGGTCCCCAACTAATCAATGCATTCAAAACGTTGGCATCACCTTCCTGCCGGCGTTAATGACTATTAATTATTATCATAGTGCGGACAATCTCACCAATGTCCGCAGCACGCTTTTGATAAACATTCTCCTCCACGCTGGACTCATTTCTTGACGGCACGGATTTCGATGAAATCCGACGTCACCACTGCTCCCCCCACCAAATTGGCGGATGCCGATAATTATAGTTGCGGTAAACGAGAGAAGAGCGCGTCGATTCGGCGAAACTAATTTCACCCGTGTTCATTTATTCATCGGCTCGCTTCAAGACCTTTTTAATTGTGTCGCTTTTATGTAGGTGACGAGTTCTTTTCGTTGTTTTTTTACGAGCTTCATCAACTCCCCATTGAGTTGGGGTAGGCCATCGAATTAATTCGATGGTTCGCTGGCAAGTAACCGATGAATTGGGGGCAATTTTAATCTGATCGATGTCATTCGCCAAAATTAGAAGCCCTGAATCCAGTGATCCATGAAATTCGACTCGAGTTATCCAGGAAACAATTGCTTCTTTTGACTACGCCTCTTTTCTCATTTTTTTTCTCAAAAAAAATACGACAACAATCATGCGCCTTTAAAAAAACAATTTCGAAATATTGATTAATTCTTCAACATCAAGCCGTTCCAAATTGTTGAAATTTTAAATGTAGCGTCCTGCGGCGAAATCGATGCGCCTTTAATCCCTCCTGCTGTTTTTCCTGACCCTGCGTCTTTAATGTTGTCTTCAGAAAACTAGAATATGCAAGCCTTCAAAAGCAATGGTTTTTTTGCTATTTAGACTATGCGCCTTTAAAAATAAAGCGAGGCGAATCAAAAATGAAACTTTTCACTTCGAGACCCTCCCCTTCTTGCACAACACAAATAGTGTGTGTTCGTCTTTTTTTTGGTCGTTGGTTGAGAACGCGACCGAGTAGTATAAAAAGGAGGGAATTGAATACCATTTTCAACATTTCAGTCATTCTCTGAGAGCAGAGAATCATCTCATTTTACACAACTTTTTTGAAAAAAAGTCAATTTTTGAAGCACTAAAAAGTGCTTATTTTCAATAATTTTTATGCATTTTCGACCAATTTTTTGTTGATTTTTCATTTCCAATTTTCATGCTTAAATGTTATATTTTCATGTCATTTTCACACTTTTTAAAAAATCAGTGGATGTCGAAGGATGTCGATTTTAGAAAGAAAATGGTATTATTAAAAATAAGCCTAATAAATGCTTTTTATAAAAGATCTGAAGCCTCTGACCAACCTAGACCTCGAAGAGCTTGTAAAAGTACTCAAGTTAAAGAATTTCAGAGGTATCTTGCCATTATGCGAGTGGAGCGAAACCTTCAGCTGGCGATCCGCGATAACCTCTTAAAACTAATACATTGCATAAATATTAAGAAATAAAAATTACCATGTATTACAAGCGATGCACTGCACCAAATGAGCTCACAAGCAAGTCGATGATCGCCTACTTTAATGAACAGCTTTGCGAGAATCAGAAGAGTATCCAGAGAATGGTTCTGTCCACGATTAAACGTTTTCTGAAATAAGATATAATAAAGCTACTAAAATACTGATTTAATTGTTATCAACACCACTTACCTCACAGAGTCTATCAAGACGGCCAATTAGTAGTGACTCGTGAAAAGTGGCTTTTTAAAAATTAATGAAAATTCACTTATCGCGTTATTCAATTCCTTTCGCTTCCTATTCGCGCTCTCTGTGGTTTTTACTTCTTAGAACTTGTGTCTCCCTTCCTGCAAATAATTACAGTTTAACATAATCTTTAAATTTCAAAAAAATTGCCGACGTAAAATTATTTTTTGAAAGAGTATGCTCATAGATTAAACTGAAATTTGCCTTTGGAAACGTCAAATATTGTAAAAGAATCCAATACGCATCTAGTAAAGTCCTCGAATTGCTCAATCTGTAAAATTTAATATAAATAACTCGAATAATCCCCACTATTAATAAAAAACGTTAAAAACGACGAAGAATGTTGCGAAAGAACGAGATGTGTATTTAAAAATTATTACTTATTAAATTTACTAATGTTTGAAAACGTTTTGCGCGGTTAAAAGCAGCAAAGAAGTATTTTAAAAAGAAAAATAGGCCGAAAATTAAAAAATGTTCGGTGAAAACACGCAGTCCGTAAACACTCTACGACTAATTGCACAGATATACCGTAGGGCGAACTTTATTTATTTATTTTTTTCTCTTATTTTATTTCTTAATATTTATGCAATGTATTCGTTTTAAGAGTTTCGCCAGCTGAAGGTTTCGCTCCACTCGCATAATGGCAAGATACCTCTGAAATTCTTTAACTTGAGTACTTTTACAAGCTCTTCGAGGTCTAGGTTGGTCAGAGGCTTCAGATCTTTTATAAAAAGCATTTATTAGGCTTATTTTTTATAATACCATTTTCTTTCTAAAATCGACATCCTTCGACATCCACTGATTTTTTAAAAAGTGTGAAAATGACATGAAAATATAACATTTAAGCATGAAAATTGGAAATGAAAAATCAACAAAAAAATTGGTCGAAAATGCATAAAAATTATTGAAAATAAGCACTTTTTAGTGCTTCAAAAATTGACTTTTTTTCAAAAAAGTTGTGTAAAATGAGATGATTCTCTGCTCTCAGAGAATGACTGAAATGTTGAAAATGGTATTCAATTCCCTCCTTCCTATACTACTAAAAAAAAAATATTCAAGAATTCATGATGAAAAACATTTTTTATAGTAGTATTTGCCCCCCGCTTATCCAATAAAGGCTCTCTCAGAATGGGCAAAAATTCATTCGATGACGTGATCCATCCATCCATTTGTGCCATCATCATCATCCTACAAACAATCAGTCGGCTATTCACCAACCGCCCGGAAACCGGCCGCTTTTCGTCTTCGTCATCTTATAGTCGGGGCTTCAGGCGAGCCCCGCCCGGCGCCAATGTTTTCCCCTCCCCTTCCCTCATCCTCCCCCCCGGGGCCGAGTCTTCGTTCCACCGCACAACACCGCCGCGTTTCCTCGAAATTAATTCGTGCTTCTCGTTTTTTTTCTTTTGCCGAAAAAAAACAGAGAAACAACTTTTCCTATATTGTTTTGCAGCATGTTATCTCGAGGGGTCCTACTTCTTCTTTTTGTTGTGTCAGTCGTCAGTGCATTCGGTTTGTTTTCGCGCCCGGCGCACGATTCGTCGCGACCCGCCCGCGCCAAACACGGATCGCTCAAACTTTGCCCGCCGGGTGAGACTCGAAACCCGAACTCGTTCGCAAATCCGTATTCTAATTTGTAGGTGGCGCATCGTTCCTTGACGCCTTCAATCTCATATGCCCAATGCGACGACGTCGCCGAAGTGCTGATAATGGTGAAAGCAGCACTTTGGGAAAAATAATGAACATGTGCTGCGAGACCGGCTGCGAATTCACCGACATCTTTGCGATTTGCAACCCGTTTGGCTAGCTCCAGTGTTGTCGGATCTGTATGTACACTTCAATCATGCTTGTTGGGTCCTAGATCTCATAAATAATTCGTTAACACTTGCTAATTTAACGACAATCGATTTCGCCACTTTGTAAACATGCTTTTGAATAACATTTATCGCGATGCGACATAACAATAAACAAATTTTTTAAACTTCGGCGAGAACTGGTGGTTCGTAGTCATCTGGACGGTCAACCTTCTCTCCGTTAGCTCCGACGGTGATGGAGTCTCCGTGCAAGTCCAAAAGCTTTCCGACGTCCACCTTTGGCTTCTTGATGATCTTCACCTTGCGGATGTAGACCTCTTGAAGTGGGTAGAGCTTGGAGCAGGCTCTCTCGATGTCTTTTCCGATCGAGTCTGGGATAAGCTTGTTGACAACGGACTTCAAGTCGTTTCCGGCAACCTTTAAAATTAATTCTTAATTGTGTTAATTTAACAAATTAATTGACCTCCTTCTCGATGCACTCAACCATCTGGGCGCGGATCTTGCGGATCTTTGAGGTCTTGGTGTAGCAGGTCTTTTTGACCTGGTTTGGTGACTTCTTGGTGAAGGCAATGCAGAAGATTCGGAGGGTGAATCCATCGGTGGTCTTGACGGCAGTGTTGGCCTCGATGAGCGTCTAAAAATAAAAACACGTGATACAGGAAATTATACAACCGGAAAGGATTAAGCAGGAATTAAACTACTTACGTGCCACTTCTTGACGATCGAGCACAACTTGTCGTGGGTCATCGACATAGCGTGGAAGTTGGTGAGAACGTTCTTGCCCTGAACGTCTTCAGCAACAAGTTTGAACTTTCTGAAATCGGCATCAGAGTCGTTCAAATCTCCGAGCGAGACTTCGAAGACACGTCCCTTGAGTCCCTCAGAAGCGATCTTGGTTCCCTGGGTTCTGTTGATCAAGGTCTTTCCAACCTGAAAAAATAGACTATTTAAAATAACACGTGGAAAATCTACCTGACGGGTGGTGAACATGTTTGGGGCCTTGATATCGTACCATTCCTTACGGGCGAATGGATCAACGGCCTTCTTCTTGCCTCCCTTCTTTCCCATTTTATTGTTGTTCTTTCCGACCGCCATGATTAAGCGGATATGTTTTCCAAGCTCTGCAAGAGAAAATTTAGTTTTGACTCGAAATGATTAAAAACGAAGTGACGTACAAATTATTTCAAATTCAAGAAAAAACTAAAATGATAAATTCGTAGCTCAATATCGCGTTATCATTTAAAACAAGGAATGAAATCATTCGGCGAAACTAATACGGAAAATATTTTAGTCTTCGAAAATGACGAACTTTTAGGAGAAAATTCAACTGACTGAAATAACAATTTATCTGTATTTTCCCAATTTTCAAACAAGATTAAAGCCCAACTAACAAGCAATCTAATGGCCAAAAAATTTTGAAAAATTTAAACGTGAAACTGTTAAAATAGATGAAATTGGCAAAAAACGTTCCTAAAAATTATTTGACGAAGGGAAGGCACGCAGCGTGTTCTAGGTGTGTGGCACACCCGCGAAACACGCTGCGAAATGCGAATTACCGTAGTATCGGGTCGCGAGAGATGCAGAAGACTCGAAATCCAATTTCGTACGACTTTTTCGCAGCTTTTACCGCAGCGCCGCTTTCTCTTCCCGATTCGAATCGATAAAATTGGAAGGATATTTTCGAATTCGAAATCTAAAAATCGATAATCATTTGCAGCTGCCGCGAAATTGCCTCGAAAAGCGATTATATGCAAGCTTGTTTTTTGTTTACTCCTATTTCACCGCGCGAAATAAGTTTATTTTTAGTTGAGAAACGCGTTATTGCCGCTTAACTCCGAATGAATTGCATTAAACTGCAGGTTAGCAATCGTTTAACGCTTATTTTTTGCGAAATTTGAATTTGAACTTATAGTGTTTTCAATGGGTGAACGCGTGCTTTTTCTTTGCAGTAATTCACTATTTTGAACGCTCGTTTCTTTCTGGCACATATTTGTTCCAGAATTGCGCCATTGTGCGAAAACGGGGTGTGGCGACCGCTATTACGAGATAGTTATAGAAATGTCATATGCGATAATAGAGAAAAGAGAGTAGACATGGGACGCGCTAACGTCTCGCCCAGTCTTCAGGTCATTTATTGTAATGAGCGTTGCGTTTTTTTTGTTGTTCTTCGCTCTCTTGATTTATTTTCGCGTCATTTGGAACATTTTCCATTTTTCAGTGTAAATATGACAAATCAACCTGACGAAGAATTAATCCCAGCGGTGTCGAGTCTTCTTGCCGGCAAAACTCTGCCAGTGGTCGATGTAAAACGGTACGATAGAGAGACAATGATGAAGCTTCGAGTGACAGAGCTCAGCATGACGCGACCAGATAACTTATCTGTAGACTTTAATGGGTGTGTGTTCTTTTTGCTGCAACTAATTAATTAATCGCTTATTAATGATTTAGTGATGATGGAAAGTTCTCTCCGCTAAAATGGCTCGAACACAGATGGGAAGTTGAAGGCATAAAGAATCGCCCTTCGTCGAAAAAATTGGAATCACTTTGCGCTGGCGCTGATGATAATACGGGTCTGTCGCCACAACGACGGGCATTCTCGAACGGATGCCGTGCGCCAACCGACGGTGACAAAGGAAAAGACGACAATGGCGAACGACTTGGCGGACATGGAAAAAATTGGAGAAATGGAAGCTCGGGTGGTGCCGAAAAGTACGCCACGAAAGGAAACGACTTCAAACTTCCATTCGTAAATGCCGACATTTCCAACAATCTGTGATTAATTGACGCATTTTCAGCAGAAGGCCGGATTTGAGCGAGGAAATCGTAACGAGTGGAAACGCGGCGAAAAGGACACTCGTCCAGGAATCTCGAAATATGGTCAAAGACGGTACGAGGGAGAATGTGCACTTTGTGATTTTATTTTTCTTTTCAGTGATGAACGCGGCGGAAGTGTTGGCGGCTGCGAGAAATTGCCGGAATGGGCTGATGGTCCTACCACGATGGATGACATGATCGAATTGCGCGGATTTGAGGAACCCAAGAGTACGCGCGAATTCCTATTGAATTATAAATTCGTTTTTATAGAAGGAAAGAAAAAGTCCGGAAAAGAGAAAGAGAACCAAAAGAAGGAGAAGGATGTTTCCAAATCGTCGAAAACTGAGGACGTTTCTTCGTTAGCCAACGTGTCAAGACCATCTTCTGCGGGACTTGCAAACAATAAGGGAAATGTGGAGAGAATTGAGGATACTGCCATTGAAACTGCTGAAATCGCGTTCCCGTCGACGGCTGCTCTTCCGGAATCGGATCAAGAACTTGCGGCTCTTCTTGGAATTGTGGATCCGAACAATGCTACTAATGCGAAAGTCCGTCAATTATTTTTTTTTCAGAGTTGTTTTTATTGAAAAATTATTTTTTTGCAGAAAGAAAATGACGCTCCAACTCCCGTAAGTGGAAGTCGATTGAGCCGTTTCTTCGCTAATAAGAATGCTGATAACTCTGGGGATTCGGATGGAAATGAGCGTGATGAGAACTCGCAGAATCCGATTTTTGCGAAAATTCTTGGACATCAGAATTCTGGAGCCGATTCGCCGGCGGTACGCTCATTATTTCGTCTTTCCTTAAAAAATTTCTTTCAGAATGGACTTGCGTCATTGGGATTGACAAATATCAAAGGCGGAATTCGATTGGAGGATATTGAAAAGGGGCTGGCATCGAGTGAACAGCGATCGGAAGAGAGCAAAGGAAATCCACTTCAAGATCCAAACCAGCAAGCCGATCTCCTCAACCAATTGCACCGCATTGCCAAGCAACAAGACGAGAATGCGCAGAAGTTGCCATCGCCGCCTTTAAATGCTAATGGCGCCCGTACCCCTCAACCAGCTCCTGGCGGTTTTCCATTAATGGCGGATCCAGCACTTTTGGCGAGCTTTATACAAAACCCGGCTCTTCTAAACGCGCATGTTGAATCGCAACTCCAGAAAGCCATCGTCGCAGCGACGCGTGCCAATAATGGTCAACAAATTCCACCACAACTTTGTAAGAAATTCATGAAAGATTGGAATAATTATTTTTTTTAGTCCAAGAATTGAAGTTGATGGCCAACCGCAATCGCATTTTCTTGCAACAGCAGACCATGGCGTTTGCTCATTTCGCGCAAGCTCGGGCTCAGGCTGCCCATCAGATCGCAATGCAGCAACAACAACAAAACTCCAAGGTTTAATTGAGAGAAGCTCAATCTCATTATGAATTTGTGTTTAGCCTCGCGTACCTGCTCCAGCTATGGTTCCAGCTTCTGTCCAGAGACAACTTCATCTTTTGAAAGGTGGAGCTGCTACTAGTGCGGAGAAGAAGGAGAAAACCAGTGGAACTACTAGCGCTGCATCAGAATCGGCTGAAGTTCAGCCTGAGAGTGACGTCACGGCGCAGATGAAACGCCTTCAGATGCAGCAAAACTACAACACTATGCTGAACGCGATGAATAATGGTTTGGGAATGTCGGCGTGGCGCGGACAGCCTGGTCAGGTGCCGCAGCAAGTACAAATGTTGATGGCTCAGCAACAACAGCAGCTCGCTCAAGCACACCATGTTCGAATGATGCTCGGCAAGCAACAAGAGCAGATGATGATGGCGAAACTGTTTCAAATGCAAAATGCTCAGGCGCAACAGCAAATGCAGCAGGGACAGGTGATATTTATTCGTTGGAAACGTGAAATTGAAAGTGATGTGGCTTCAGGGAATAAGTCTTGCGCCGGGAGCCGAGCGCGGTGCACAATACTCGCAACAAGCTGCCCGCCCAGCTGGGGGAATTCCATCTGAGCTGGCGCAAGTTGGACCAATTCAAAGTCCCCTTGAGAAATTGTTGGCCAATGCTGGAGTTCAAGCTTCGCAATTCACTGGTAGATTTCAAAACCCTATGAAATTTTAATAAATTGTGCAATTAAGGAACTACTCCCGATGAGAAACGCATTCCGCCTACCGCCAGGCCAATGTCATTAGAAGAAGTTGAAAAAGAATTGGTTGCTCAGCCAAAGTAGAGCCCACATTATTGTTTCTTACTATTATTATTCCCCATTTTTTATTGTTTTTTATTACTTTTTCGTTCATATTTTGTTTCTTTTTTTACTCAACTACATTTGTCGCTTATTGCAGAAAGCGGGTACAAATAGTCATGTATTCGTATTGTGCTTTTTCATTGTTTTTTTGTGTGTCTCTTTTGTCCATTTTTCGTCCCGTTCCCCACACATTCTCCCCCATTTCCCACTGGAAACATCACCTCCTCTTCCTCCACCATCTTGTTCTCTTGTTCATATAGTTCATACTCGTGTACATAGCCGAATAGGGCAAATCATCATGAGTTTCAGATTTCTATTTTCTTGAATTTTCGCTTTTCTTGAAGAGATTCTTCGACTCTATCTCCGCAAAAAGTCGCAATACATATTGTTAGCGTTGTTTTTTCTAATATTTGCGTTATATTGACGACTATTTCCCACGTGTTTATATTGTTTCAAATGTTTTTCGTTTTTGAAGATTTGAAGCGTGGGGGAGACCCTGATCCGATTTTGGATCCGATCCAACCGGTGCGTAGGTCAGGATCCCAACGGATAAATTCTATCATCACTTGTTGGTCATCTCACATCTTGTACACGAGTGTTTCATTCCTTTTTTGTGAAAATTTCCAATTTCTTCCTTCGTTTTCTGAAGATGTTCCTCCTCTCCTCTCCTTCCTCTATGTTTTCCTAGAGAACAAGACCATGTTGGTTTTATTGAATTGCTGGTGAATGGGCGTGGGTATCATTATTAAAGGGTTGTACAGTATAAACAGAAGCTGAAACGGTTGGCTGGCTGCTATGTAGTGAAAGCACTTAAACACTTTAAAGTTTGCCGGTCATATATTATTTTTTTAATTGCAAAAAAATGAAGAAGAAAACGGAAATTTGATTCCAAAGAAGCACCTCTCTATTTTTATTCCAGTAATTGTTGTTAATCATTCATCCTGATCTTCTTTTTCTTCTCTCTCTCTCTCTCTTTTGTAACCCTTCATTCAATTCTTATTGATTGTTGAGCCGGTGAATTGTCTTGTTTTCTACTTCTTCTCGAGAAATCGCGCGTGTTTTTGGTTTTCAATCATCTTGAAATGAAGAGTGTGCATAAATGAGGAAAATGATAGGCGTTGTTTGGTTTTTGATAACGCGTTTCGACGGTCGGCCAATAAATGTGATGGTGCCCTTTTATGGCCGAATGTTTTCTGACGACTAATTGGATTAAGTGTGGTGAGACACAAATTTGGGATTACGGTAGATTTGGGGCGAGACGCTGCCACCACAAAACGGTATGAGAACTCCATTTTCGTAGCGAGACCAAAGAGATGGAATGGAATTCGGGGGGCGAGGTCGAAGTTCATTCAAATAATATGCGTGGGGGTCCTCCGATAAGGTTGTCGGCGGGCCATTCACCGGCCATGCCCGGTCCACTCGATGGCCATAATTGATTGAGTGCGAACACGACGACGACGACGGAAAACCGACAAATTCGGGCGTCTCATCGACGCGTGCACTATTTTGCCGGACGGTTGACCTCAACGATTCGCTCAAACGAATCGAAATCGATTTTTTTCGAGTTCTGATGACGACGAGATGTGGTGGTCTCGTCTGGAAACTCGTCGTCTCACCTTTTTTTTGTTCGCCTCTTCAAATCGTCGTCCTGATAAGGGAATGTGTCAAATTGCTGTCATCATGAACAGTTTTATTATCAATTTCGTTTTCAATCATTCAATTTCGTTTTTTTATTTTAATATTGATTTTGTCGGCAAATGCAATTTCTCAAAGCGTTTTTCGTTCCGCACGCAGTTCATTGAAGTTTAAAGGCGCACAGCGAAAAAAAAATTCGATGCGCCTTTAATTACCGTATCCCAGCGATTTTTCCAACGCCTCAAATTGGCTTGAAAACCAAAAATAGTATTGAATCGCGAAATTCAATTTTGCTAGTTAAAATTTTTTTATTTAAAGGCGCATAACTTGATTTTTCGAAGAGAGAATTTTGAAGCTGCAAATTAGTTTAAAATATTTCAATTTTCGCAAAAAAAAAATCAATTAACAACAAATTTTCAGCTCATAATTGGTTTTCAACGAATAATTCAGTTTTTTATAATTTCATGCGCCTTTAAATTTGCACATTTCAAAATGCCATCGATTTTTCAAACAAAAAAGGACCAATAATTTTTTGAACGTCAAAAATTTTTTTTCCACGTGACCCAATTATTTCATTCATTTCTCATTTTCATTTTCATATTTTTTTTCGTCAACGTGTCACTCATTTTTGTCTCAAATTTAAAGGCGCATGCCAATTAATCCGATTCAAAGGCGCATTGATAAAATTTGAATTGTCTTTCCAATTATGAATGGTTAATTTGAAGAAAACTCTCTGCCGAGGAATTTTTACATTCCATTCGAGACCGAAATTTGATTTTTGGTTCAATTCCAGGAAAAAAAATGGGCGCCGTCGACTTGGCGGTGCTGTTGTTGATTGGTGTCGCCGCCAACGCCACCCTCGCTTGCACCCTCTGCTCGTTTCGAACACCGCCGCGTCCGCGACCGCTCGACCAATACAAACTGCCGAAAATGGGCGCGATCACGCTGGAGAACCGCCCGCAATTCTGTAGGGCGTCGGCGGGACCATCGAACCCCGGAGCACACCGTCAAAATTGTTTTCAGGTCAAGCGGCGAAGCGTCTTCCCGTCGACGAGGGCTGCCGTCAAGAGTTTGAGCGGATCTTCTGCTCGACCGACCTGCTCACCGGTAACCATCGACTCATACCATCCGACACATTCACAATTCCAGACGCGCTGTCGGGCTGTCGTGCCACCGCGAAGACGCATCTCGCCGACGAAGACCAATGCTCGGAATGCGCTCATCAGAAGGCCGACAATCTCTGGGTGTTGAAGTGTAAGTGGCTCATACATTAGTATTATTGAATGAGGGGGTGAGGGCTCATCAATGTCGATCAGGGTTCGATTCGCTCGGCAAACCGCCGGCGGGCATCACCGAAGGCAACTACTATTGGCTCGGCGACTACGAGTTGTGCACGGCGATGAGGCAGTGAGCGAGCCGACGCCGTTCCGACGCCATCCGATCTCTCGATTTTCAGCGACAACACGTTCAACGGTCAGTATTGTCGCGTCGAGATCGAGGTGCCCGACGCCGGCGTCGAGTCCGGCTGCCCGCAAACCGATCCGCTCTCGATTGTGCTCGGCGCGTGCTTCCCGTCGTCGTGCTCGGCGGCTCAACTCACCAACATCTCGCAGCGTATGCCATCAGATTTTTGTCTTTTGCTCACAAAATTACAGTATACCTACCGTACGAGTTCAAAATCGAATGCGAGTCGGAGAGCTCGTGGTCGACGGTGACCTATATGCTGATCGCGATCGCCATCATCTGGCTGGTGCCGCAATTCGTCGCCACCGTTCAAAGCGGCGACATCGACTCGATCATGGCGTGCTTCTCGATACCGGAGAACGCGAAGCGCGCGGTCTCGACGCGAAGGTACGTCTAGGGGGGCGTCGGGAATGCGATTCAGACGATGCATTCGCGATTCAGAGAGTCGACGCATTTGCACTGTGTGCACGGCCTCGAGTTCGTCGTGAACTTTGCGATCATCTCCGGAATGGTCTACAACCTCATGCTTCCCTACATTGGTAGTCGAATCGAATTCGAGTCGTCGCCGACGTCATCATTGATTCGTTTTAGAGAACGTCGCGTTCTCGTTCGAGGGCGTCTCGAGCGTCTGGCAGCACATCGTCAACAATTACTCGTACCACGTCGACGGCCTTCTCGCGCTCTCCGCCTTCTACACCACCTATTTGCTCTACGGCGAAGTCGAATCGTTGAAGCACGCGTTCGATTACATCGTCATGCGTTTCTTCAGGTTTGCCGACCGAATCTGACGATCGAATGCGACGTCTGAATGTTGTGTTTTTGAGATTCTGGCCGGCGTACGTCACGTGCGTGCTGTTCATGGCCGTCGTGTTTCCGGGCATCTCGTCGGGACCGATGTGGATTCACACCGACACGGTGTCGCGTTGCGAGACCGCCTGGTGGAAGAACATTCTGTTCATCAACAATTGGTTCAACGTCACCGACACGGTGAGTGGTGGTGGGTGCTCGACGACGCCGCCAACGCCATCGTTTCAGTGCGTCGATTTCGGCTACGTGATATCGCTCGAAGCGCAATACTACGCGCTTCTCGTGCTCGTCATCTATTTGTCGACGTCGCACGTGTTCCTCGCGCAGCTCGCCGCCTACGCGGCCATCGTCGCCTCGATCGTCGTCAACTTCTATCGGGCGTACGCGTACGCGTTGCCGCCGGCGCCGATGCTCACACTCGAGCCGGTCGCCGTCGAGAAGACCGTCCAACTCTTCGACATGCTGCTGTTGTCGTTCGCCGCGCGCATCTCGCCCTACTGTATGGGATTCGTGTTCGGCATCGGATGCGCCACCGCCAGCGACGAGCTCCGCCAATTGGGATTGAGATATGTATGATGGTTGCCGATGGCGTTGTTCGATTCGTCTCGATTTCAGAACCCCCACAAGGTGTTGGCTCTCGTCTGCCTCGTCTGCGTCGCCTATCCGCTGTTCGGCGCGTTCGGCTATTCGGCGCACGCGGCGCGCAGTCCGTTCTTCGAGGCCGCCTACGCGGCGCTTCATCGGCCGATGTACGCGTTCGCGTTGCTATCGTTGATCTACCTATGTCATCACGGAGCACTCGGTGAGTTCGCGTGTTTGCACCCAATGCACTTTATTTGACGACGATTGTCCCGAATTTTTGCTCTAGAAATTTTCGAAAATAAACGAAATTGTTGTCATTGCGGACTTGTGCATTATACTTGACGACATTGTGCAGAAGACCTTCTTTTTAACCAATTTATGAAAATTAAAGGCATTTCTTAAAAATGGACATATTCTGAAAGAAAAATCATCTTCAAAAATTGGGCGCGACGAGACCCCCGAGCTCGTTTTTTAGCGATTCATGCGCCTTTAAACCACTTCAAAATATTTTCTAGACTTGATTTAAAGGCGGCCTTTTCCACTGAAAAATCCCTCTCTCTTCCAACCCGCAAGAATGTAGGCAGATGGGATTTTGAAATATGACGAACATCGATTGCAGGTTGGCTCGACGCGATCCTCGGTTGGCGCGTGTTCGCCCCGCTGTCGAAGCTCACATGGATTGCGCTCGTCGTCGCCGAGCCGGTCATCCTCTACTTTTTCTCATCGCTTAACAAACCCGCCTATGCGACGCATTGGAGTACGGTAGGTGCCCCCCGCCCCCTCCCCCTCGGCCCATTTGGGGCTCAATCTCGACGACGACGCGCTGCTCGTGAGACAAGAATAATTCATTAGACGGCGAACCACGGGGTCCCCCGAAGTTTTTGCCGAAAGGCGCTCCCCCCCCCCCCATCTGAGATTGATGGGTGATTGACACGAGACATGCCGCAGCGGAACTGTGCGGCCCCTCCATCCTTCGAGGGGTCCCCCACCACGCCGTCGCATTGAGTGATGGCTTCCCGCTAATTGCTCTCGTTCTTGCTCACTTCGATTTTTGGAAACATTCGACCGAACAACAACAACGAAACCAACGGTGCAATTCAATTGAAATGCGTCGAATTGGACGCGAAATTGCGGACTAAAAAATTGAAAAACGCTGAATTTGGCGCGAAATTGCGCACATTTAGTATGTTTAATTAAATTTGGCAACAAATTGTCGAATTTGACGCAAAATCGCGGACTCAAAAATTGAAAAACGCCGAATTTGACGCGAAATTGCGGACATTTATCGTAATTCGCAAAATTTGACGAGAAATTGCGGATTTTTCGTCGCCATTCATAAATTTGCCAAAAAATTGCTGAATTAGGCGCGAAATTGCGCACATTTTAGTAAGTTTATTTAAATTTGGCAACAAATTGTTGAATTTGACGCAAAATTGCGGACTCAAAAATTGAAAAACGCCGAATTTGACGCGATATTGCGGACTTTTCGTCGCCATTCATAAATTTGCCAAAAAATTGCTGAATTTGGCGCGAAATTGCGGACATTTTCTAAGTTTGATTAAATTTGGCAACAAATTGTTGAATTTGACGCAAAATTGCGGACTCAAAAATTGAAAAACGCCGAATTTGACGCGAAATTGCGGACTTTTATCGTAATTCGCAAAATTCGACGCGAAATTGCCGACTTTTATCGCAATTCCCCAAATTCGACGAGAAATTACGAATTTTTCGTTGGCATTATTAAATTTGACAAAAAATGCTGAATTTCACGCGAAATTGCGGAGTTTTCGTCGGCATTCATTAATTTGCCAAAAAAATTGCTGAATTTGGCGCGATACTGCGTACATTTTGTAAGTTAAATTAAATTTGGCAACGAATTGTCGAATGTAACGCGAAATTGCGGACTTTTCGTCGGCATTATTAAATTTGGCAAAAATTGCCGAATTTGGTGCAAAATTGCGGACTCAAAAATTGGAAAACGCCGAATTCGACGCGAAATTGCGGACTCGAATTGACGATCGCAATAATTGACGAGCAACCCCCATATATATATATATGATGACGCGACATTGCACACAAATTCTCTGCCCCCCCATCAGTCGACTTTCGATCGTGTTTGGCTTGAAAATTTGTCGCGATAATCATGTGATTCGAATATGCGAGAAATAAGCCTCAAATTACACATTCGGCCGCCTTGAAATGAAGTATGCAATTAGGCGGAAGCGAGTGGGCGAATTTTTCGAATCGCCAAAAATTGGTGGTCCCTGTGCCTCAACGAGCCACCCAATCAGGATCAGGATCCTTGATCCTCCCCAACCCCCGTACCACCCATTAATCCATGATCTTGTCGAACACCTGTCGATTGCGGGTGTGTTTTTCGAACGACTTTCGGCTGAAGTGAAATCTGACGCCAAATGTGGCGTGAACCCACCCACAGGTGTGCCTCGCCGAAATGTTTCAATTTTTGCAGGTGTACACGGCGATCTCGGCGGCGTTCCTCTCGTACTTCATCGCGCTTCTCATCGACATCTTCGTGGCGAGACCCATTCGCTATTTGATGTACCGCGAGCAGAAGCATCGATATGCGCGTGCTCACGCCACGGCCGCCGCTTGATTTGGAGCCCCCCGCGGCGAAAATAATTGGCCAATACATTGTACGGGTTTATTGTGGTTGTGTAGGCGAATAAAAATTGAGTCTCCTTGATCCGCTCACCCCCTCCCTTCTTCTGATTTCTCGACGCCGCTTCGACGGCGCCGCTGTTCATGTGAAAATTGTATAATGATGATGATGAGAAAGTGTGACGATTTCCCACACCATAACTCAGAACTTTGGCGCCGAATCGAGCGGAGGTTTCTTTTTGACCGATAGAAAAAAAACGCCTCACACCAAGAAATTTATGACCTTATTTGGCGGCGTGTGTGTGTGTGTGTGTGTCGAAAATCCACCCAATCCGACGCGCATTCGTCAAACAATGAATTATGAGCGTCGCCGGATTCCGCATGAATTGATGGTAACCGGATTTGTGCAATTTTGGTCAACTGAAAGTTTTTCAAATTTATTTGGTGGTGACAAAAAAATGGGAATCTCTAGAAATGCAAACATTACACATGCAGCAGAAAAAAAAACGAAGAATGGAATAGGGAGAACACACACACACAAATCTACTATTTGAATAAATAAACGGGCACCCGAATGACCGTCTCTGATTAGTTGAACAAACACTCTTTTGGTGTGATAATTAATGGTGTGACAAATTTGGTGGAAGCCAATAATTGAATTTCTAAGAGGGGGGGCAAAGAAAAAAAAAAGTCGAGGGATGTTGGGTTATTCGGCGAGCCGAATTCGATTCACTGGTGCATTGAGAAGTCTATAAGACGCAAATAGAGAAAGAGAGAAACATGATAATTGGGAGAGATGGGACGATTTTTGGGAAGAATTTGGGGGGGGGGAGATCGAAATTTACACAAGAAAAAATCAATGAAATTAAAGCTTTTTTCCTGGATTAACATGGTTTGACATTTGATTAGTAGGCGATCATCTAATATGGATAGGAGGCATGCGGGAAATTGTAATAACTATAGGCCATTTCCGGGTAGAGCATCACTTTAGACTCTTCCGAGTATTTTAATGGATCGTAGGTGCCGAGCGGCGTCGCCGACGGCATCGACGGCAACGGTCCAGCGGCGGGAGGTAGGCTGTTGGCGAGCGGCAATTGCGATGACGTCCAATCTTGTGGAATTGTGTTCTGCGAATCCATTGTTTGGGTTGGCGAGTTGGCATCCTGCAAGAATGACAAATTGAGGAAATAAAAATCGAAATTTTGTTTTTTTTTTTGGTTTTTCGTCGAAAATTTCTGCGAATTTAAATGACAATTTCGTTTCTGATTAAGATTTTTCAGAAATTTCGCAATTTTCTAAGCACAAAATGCAAAAATTCAACGAAAAACCGGTAAAAACGCGAAGAATAGGCGAAAACGAAAATTTTGAAATCGATGAGGCGGTACAAAATTTGTGTGCAAACACAATGCACCAATTTTGCGCCTACAGTACTCAACGCGAAAAATTGAAATCGAAACGAAATAAAAACCTGTGTGCTCATCGGCATTGTCGTCGATTCGCTCATCGGTGAGCTCTCAGGCCTCGAGTCCTCCGTGTCGCCCTCGTCATCCGACATCCGATCCGTTCCGCCATTCTTTTGTTTCTTCTGTTTCGATCGACGATTTTGAAACCAGATTTTCACCTGCAAAAAAAAAAACAATTCAAATGGTTGAGAGTATTCTCTCTAGGTGGGTAGATCAGAAAACAAAATGAAGCTTTGCTATTCAAATCCCCAACAATCCTCCCTCATCTGACATTGTCAATGTCAGCAGTCTGAAGACGACGACGACGACAACGACGACTCGCGTCACATTCGATAATTAGCCATACCGATAGAGGTCACACACATTTATACACACACACAATATACACAAAACTACAGTAACCCCGTGGCACGGGTCCTGAAGGCAGACAGCAAAAACGGGCGCCCCACAACAATGCTTCAAAAGAAGGAAGGAAGGTGGAAGGAAGGAAGGAAGGTCACCCGCCTACAGTATCCCCTCACACACACATCTCTATGGGTCCCAGGTGGTGCAGCTCAAGCTCATGATCCTTATCTTATATGCTAATCAATCACATGTGCGTAAACATGTGTTCCGGTGAGAGGGGGGGGGCGCCGGTTAACCTGACACTCTGATTCTTATCTTGACACCCACTCGACAGGTAAATGTCAATGATCTGCTGCCGACGGGATTGCGGGTTTCCGAGAATCACGAAATGCAAGTTGCGTACAAAAAAATTAAAGAGAAAGAAAAATTTAAAGGCGCATACATTCAAGAAAATTAAAAAGGCGTGATGACAATTTTTACAATATAAAATTGACAATTTTCATTTAAAGGTGCATACCCACTTGGAGCACTAGCCAAAATTCAATTCAAAGGCGCATGTCCCTTTAAGCTTCAATTTAAAGGCGCGTTTGATCGGAATTATGAGCAAGTGGTCCCCAGGAAAAAAACAGGCACTAATAATAGGGTTTTGAAGCGAATCATCTCGTCCCTAAAGCGAAAAACGGCAAAGAATATAATATCTATATCATATAATTATGATGGGGCTCGTCTCGCGTAAAAACAATAATTAAAAAGCTCCGCCAATTTTCTCGCGGCTCATTTAATTGGTGGCAAAAAAAGAGGCGAAGAAGCGCAATGATGGGACCATTAAAAAAAAAGGAGCCAACCTGCGTTTGAGTCAATCCGAGCTCGGCGGCCAAACTCGCGCGATCCGGCAACGCCAAATATTGCGTTTTTTGGAATCTGAAACAGAAACTTTTCCAATTCGTCGTCTTTTTTTTGTTTCAACAAATTTGGCAAAATGACGAATGAATGAGTCAAACGTTTCCTCGACACAATTCAACCTATGATTAATATGTGTGCTCACTTCTTCTGTAGCATTTGCAATTGTTGCGAGTTGTAGATGGTCCGCGGTTTTCGGACCTTCTTCCCTTTGCCGTTGATTTTCACTTCGCCGCCTTCGATGATTTTTGTCGTCATTTGATCTGCAATCAATGATTTGGAAATAAATTGAGTGGGTGGCGCGCAACACATATATGCTGACTGTATCGCTGCACATCAACGCATCAATAGCGCAGTTGGTTGCGCGAGCGCTTGTGGCGCGGAGCTTATGGACTCGGTGCCGCTCTCTCCTCTATCAATGGGGGGCAGTTTTACATAATTTTGCCTACCTTCTGGCGAGCTTCCGGCCGCCTGCGGATACATGAAACCATTCTGCTGCTGTTGCCCGTACAACGATGAAGCCGTCGACGACGGAAATTGCGACGAATAAAAATACGGCGAAACGTTGGGTGCTCGCGAGAAGTCGGCGGCGGCCGCCGCCGCCACCGCCGCCGTCGAATAGCAATAATCGGCGGCGGTGGCGGCGGATTGCTGCGAGCCGGCATTATAATCGAACACCTTCGAGTCCATCTGATCCATGGATCCGTCGGGCGCAAAACCAAAGAAAGGCACCTAATAAATATAATTGAAAATTAGTTATCAATCAAACAATCGCTAAGCGGTTTCATTTTCGAACGCATAATTATATGCAATAATAAGGGATTGGTGAAGCGCAAGTAAATGAGTATAATAATAATAATAATCATCATAATAATAAAGGAAGAGAGTGAGTGACTCGCCACACATACACACACAGTGCAAAACCGCCTAAAATGGGCGGTCGCTTCGTGCGGAGGCAGCCGGCCGCGGCGCGTCGAAGAAAGTGTTCGTGTTGTGGGCGTGGCCAACGTCGCTGATTGGTCGGCGGCATGGAGCGCGCGCGCGCGCCTTCGCCCCGCCCCCTCTCTCGCCTACATATTTCAAAACGTTGCCCTTGGTCGGATTTCGGTTATTGTGGTTTGAGAAAGATAGAGAAATTGCAAAATGGTCCCGATAGGCGGACCATCGAGAGACTAGAACAATTTCGAATGGAAAAATTGATTGAAATCGCGTCGCGTCGCGCCGCACCAAAATATTGCAGCTAATTGGCGGTTGTCGACGCGATTGGAGGGGCGGCGCTTTAATTGCCAAAAAAAAAAGAATGAAGGGGGAGACAGAAAAAACAAAAGCGAGAAAAAAGTGACGCGCCGATCGCCAGTTTTTTTGCATTTTTTTCATTTTGGTAGATCACAAGCAACTCGCGCTCCATTGCGAATTCCAAAAGCCAAGTTCCGCTTGTTGTGCAACACCGTCGTGCCTGGTGGCCGGCATCGCTTTGAAATGGTGCAATTCGCACCCACCATCCACCCAAAACAATTGGGCGGTTTGTTCGCACATTGTCGGAAGGTGTCAAACTCGAATGTTGTCACCTCGCGAGCGAGCGCGCGCAAAACAAAAAAGGGACCCCTGATGCCGTCCCTCGTTTCCTAATCCGCGGAATTGTTCGCACATCACAAAGTTTTCATCTTTCTGAAAGCAACATTCGCTCGATGGTGTCGACGATTGGCACATTGTATTCGTATGGTGCTCGCCGACACCATGGGGGCCGCCGCCAATTTTTTCTTCTATTTTCCTCTTCTCTTCTTTTTTTTTTGGGGCCGGCGAGAGAGCGGCTGGCGCCGTCGCCGCAAAATTACATATAATTTGCGAAAATCGGGGCCCTTCCACCTCAATTTCGTCTTGTCGACTCCGCCCTCGTCCCGAGCGCCGCGGACCCAACATACCAGAAAAAAAACTAGACGCCCAAATGCCGGTGGCCCTCTCATGGTTTTTGTGCTGCGGACATATTACGGGCTTCGCGTTGTCAGCGACTCGTTTACGATTTTCACGAAGCCTCTTCCCCCCACCCCTCTCATGCTGCGGACAATTCACGGGTTTTGAGTAGCTCGGTTTGAACTAAGAATCCCGTCGCCCCCTTCTCCATGATTTCGTGCTGCCGACATCTTACGGGCTTACCAATTTCATGAATCCCCTCCTCCCCGCCATGCTGCGGACAATCCACGGGTTCTTCGCGTAGCTCGGTTTGAACCAAGAACCCTGGGCGCGCCCCCTCCCTTCTCCTTGATTTCATGCTGCGGACATCTTACGGGTTTACGATTCTCCCAGAGCCCGTCATGCTGCGGACAATCCACGGGTTCTTCGCGTAGCTCGGTTTGAACCAAAAACCCTGGGCGCGCCCCTCCCTTCTCCTTGATTTCATGCTGCGGACATCTTACGGGTTTACGATTCTCCCAGAGCCCGTCATGCTGTGGACAATCCACGGGTTCTTCGCGTAGCTCGGTTTGAACTAAAATCCCAGCGGGCGCCCCCTCCCTTCTCCTTGATTTCATGCTGCGGACATCTTACGGGTTCACGATTCTCACAAATCCCGCCATGCTGCGGACAATCCATGGGTTTCGCAAAGCTCCAGAGGGGGGGGGGGGTGGGTGTTTTCTCTGTGGGTGCGCCTAATTAGGCCCACGAAGCGCCGCCCACTCGTCCAATTTCGAATCGCATTCCGAATCGGCATCTCTCGATTCAATGTGCTCTTTCGTTCAACCCTATACATATAATTGTATGCAATTTTGATGGCGGGGGGAGGCAAGAATGTGGAGGAGTAGGAGGCGATAATAATTACCAAAATAATTGCCAACCTCATCCCAATAGGCGTTTTCGACACACACACACACACAAAACATTTTTCGTCACAGGCAGGCGAACTTTTTTTTTTCTCATATTTCTTCTTTGTTGAGCTTCTTCCGTTCCCCCTCCCTTCCCCTCCCCAACCTCTCCCCCCTTGCGAATAATCGCGATTGTCGATCTTTGTGACACGATCGCGAGAACTGTGCTTGTCACTCAAATTGACATCCATATCTTCGAGACACAGGATTTCCGTACACAGTCATTTCCCCCCCACTCTCTCACCTCGTCTCAATGTACATATAGTTAAAAAGTGAATATCGTTAATTAGCTAATTAACCTTGGAAAATTGCGTGGTCGCTCTCAGTGATATTCAGCTGTGTTCATAGGTGTCCCATTATTATGCATGGTAGATCAAAAAAGCCCCCAACAATGTGGGGACTCGAATTCCATCAAAAATGGCATTCCATTTCAATGCGAAAAAAAGAGAACCAAAAAAAACGGACCCTTCAATAATTATGGGGTCGCTTTTTTTCGTCTTCTTCTTTCGATTGCTTTCTTTTCATTTTTTTTTCTTCTTCTTCTTTTCTGGCTGTTTTAGCTTGAGATTGATCGTCTGACACGCTCAACGCGCGCGATGAAGACAGGTGTAGATCAAACCGCGAGATAAACCGCCACGAGTTGCGCAATCTATTATGTTTATTGTGCTGCGGACAATTTCCGGGAGCCCCATGGTGGCGCTCTTTTTTCCGCTATCAAAACGAGATGCTGCTCGACAAATTCACTTATCAATGTTCTGCTGCCGACATTCATCGTGGCCCGGCCCGGCCCAGCGAGATGTCGGCAGCACGCATTTCACAAAATCCGGATAATTGTCGGTTTCGACCTTCCGCTTCCCCCATCCCCCCCGAAAAAAATATGGAGCGCGAAACAAAACAAACAGTCAAGTGGTGAGGGACGGATGATCCGAATGGATCATCATCATCGTCGACCTCACTAAACTACCGTAATCCGCTAGTACAACAATTCCGTGTTCCGGAATGAATAGATGGATTCCGACGACGCAAGTCTCTAATTACTGGCATCGGGTCATTCGAATGGAACACAATAGAACTCCCGTGGCGGGAGACCACCGTCAAAAATCGAATTGCTCGGACCTTGTTGGGGTTTTTTTTCCCGATTTCAAGGGACCTCATCGTCCTCAGCAGTCCCCCAAAAACCAATAAAATCAACACCTGCGTGCGCTCGTCAAATGACCTTAGCCATATATCAGAAACCGGGGGGACCCCCCCTTATATTACTATTATTATTATTATGTGATGACAGCAGCTGTGATGGCGCCCAATCGGCGGCGGCCCGCTCGTTGCGCCTTTAAACTCGAAGAGCGCTGAAAATCGATTGCCTACCGTAACCCGTCCTCCTCCTCAGGGGCCTACCGTAATCTGGGGCGGCCCCCCCCCCAGCAATTATATTTGGTGTGGCGAGAAAGAATCGAGTTGAGAGCGAGAGAAAAATGGCCGCGCGTCCATATATGGACATGGATTCGTCGCAAAAAAAAATTTTTTGCGCCTCATGCTTCTTTCTTTTTTTTGCGATTCTCGATTCCTCTTCCATCACACTCTGTCTCTCTTTCCAGTCTCAGCGGCCCACGCCGGATTCGATCCGAAACACACCGCCAATTATTCCTTCACAGGCGAGCGAGGAGGAGGAGGAGGAGAGGAAACCTCCCTCCTCTCTCTCTCCCCGCTGACATATATGACCAAAAACGGAGAGAGAGAGAGAGGGGAGGACAAGTTTTTCTAAGGCACACTTGTTTTTGCGAAATTTCGATGGTGGTTGGGGGAGGGGGGGGTCTAGCGGATTACTGTAGGTTCTTTTTGTGTTGTTATGATGGTGGCTTACGAAGAAAACTAGTGAAGGGGGTTGTAAAATTCGCGCAACCAGGTGAAGGTTGGCCGCAAATCCCGAATGAGTTGAATTAGACGGAGGGTGGGAGTCCTCAATTTGTGCGTCGCGGTGTTTGCACACCTACAGTAATTTTATTTTTGGGCGCCAATTCATTAATCCAAATTTGAACCAACAAAATTACAAAATTAAAATTTTTTTTTCAAGTCCGCAATTTGTGCGTTGCGGTGTTTGCACACCTACAGTATCTCTTGTTCGTTCAAATTTGGATTGATGGATTGGCGCCCAAAAAAAATTACGAAATTAAAAAAATTGTCTTTTCAAGTCCGCAATTTATGCGTCGCGGTGTTTGCACACCTACAGTATCTTTTGTTGGCTCAAATTTGGATTGGCGCCCAAAAAAAATTACGAAATTAAAAAAATTGTCTTTTCAAGTCCGCAATTTGTGCGTCGCGGTGTTTGCACACCTACAGTATCTTATTTTTGGGCGCCAATTCATTAATCCAAATTTGAGGCAACAAAATTGCGAAATTTTAGAAAAAAAATTGTCAAGTCCGCAATTTGTGCGTCGCGGTGTTTACACACATCGCGTCGCTCTACAGTATGCTGGAAATCTAAAAAAAACCCATCGTACTTTTGATTTGCCCAAATTCGTCTCCAATAAGGGCCACTGAAATCATCTGCCGACAATTTTGGCGGTAATTCAAAATCCAATTGACGAGTGATATGGAGCCGAAGAGCACTAGTGTACCTCATCAACCTGTCAAGACGCCATATTGGGGTGTTGGTGTATCGCAATGCCCTCCCTAATTAGGCATTCGCTGTCTCAATTTTTTCTTGTGTCATCATTCGGACCATATGTTTCTCGGGGTGGCTCACCTGTTCGCGAAAAATACGCTGAGCCGAATCGTCGCTTTCGTTTTCGGCCCTCTATAATTATAATCGATTCACCGCTCCGCAAAAAAAAATTGTTTTCGCCGAAACGCGCTTCGGCTCGGCTCGGCTCGGCTCGGCGTACGCCCAATTGAGCAGCTTGAAAGTGATATACGCGCCGGACCATCATCGGCACACCTGTTCGGGTTTGAGGCGGCCCACCTTTCCCAACGGATTACTGTAGCACTTTTTCATTTGAATGAAGAAGGGACCACAATAAAACCGGAAGTTTATTCTCGTCGTGCCGGAGCCGCCGCTGGCAGCACCTCGGCCAGCCATAATTATACCCCCCCCCCAATCTTGTTGTGTTTCTCTCTCTCTCTCTGAGACGTCGACGAATTGCTTCCTGCCGACCTTCCGGCCATGTATGGATCGACATCCGATCCGATCCGATCCGATCCAATCCGATACCCGAGGTTCAGGGGGGAACAATTGTGACACGCGCTATGATTGGCAGGACAATGTGATTATTGCAATTAATTGACGCGATGGTGATTGTCGGATTAGAGTTGATGTGCGAACATGCTTGACACCAACGTGGGACAACCACGTGCGGCTCCCCAGGGACCATTTGGTCCGTAGCTCAACGACAAGATTTGCTGGGGTTTTGAAAATTGGAAAAAATCGAAAATTCCTGCTAGAAGATTCTCGAAACCAATTTTATACTTCTTACCCATCATTTGGAACTATTAAATTCAAATTTAGATAATTTTTTATTTTTGTTTTTATATTTTCAAATTCAGCCAATTAAATTATTAGATTCCTGTGATTTGAATAAATCTTCGACAAAGAATAAAAAGAGAATTTATATTGCGAAAAAATAAACTATAGCAAAAATTTTAGGAGCAATTGAAGGAATATTCTCAATTTTAGAATTTTGCCTGAAATTTTTCTTCGAAACTTTTTTTTCCACTAAAAATTTCAATTCCGAATTTTGAGGACACACTTGACCGCAATTCGCGACGCCCCCACAGGTGACCCCGTGGTAAAGTGCAAAGCTTTTGGCCTCACGCGCGTGCGACCTCGCTGGTTCAAAACCAGCCACTCTCAATTCAATTTTTGCCGACCACCTGCTGTTAACTAATTAGGTGGAGAACACGTGTTGGCACAAACGGTTGAAAAAGAAAAAAACCATCGAAGAAAGCAACTTGTATGTACATCGAATGTAGGGAGACCTCCTAATTATGATGTGCCGGTGTAATTGGGTGTCATCACCTGTGTAGTGGTGGAGCGTCGGATTAACCCAAAGAGAGCGAGTGAGAGAGAAAGGAGGGGGGGGGGACCCAGCCCAATCCCTATATGGCGCAATAAAACATCGTTGAAACAATAGGGTGTGGTTGAATGGCGGTGAATTGAAAAAGAATGGACTCGGCACGAGAAAACTTTTTTTGTTGTTGTTTGTTTCAAGGTTGGATGCCGCCCAAACCCCGATGGATCGTAAAATTGCGGTATGGATGCGCTCATCAAATTTTAGGACCATTTTCGGGGGGGGGGGGCCATCATAAACCCCAAGTGTACCCCGCCAATAAAAACGATTTCAAACTTGCGATGGTAGGGATTATCTTAAATCCTAGCTGCCGACAATTCCCGGGAATTCGTCTTGCTTCTTTTTCTTCTCATTTTTTTCAGCGCTTTTTTGTTTGTCATTTGAAGTTTTTTCTATTTCAGACACCACCTCCACCATCTGCCGACGTCTCTCCGGGTCGCGCCACAATGTATTTATTAACACTTTCATATATATGTATAGCATAATTAATAAATCGATGGAAGGTTTCATTTTTGGGCATTTCCGGCCAACACTGTCAGAAGCGCGTCGCGATACTCGCCCTTGCACTCCTCTTTGATTAGCTGCAATTTTTCGTTTTCTCGGACCAAATTCGGCAATCGTCTCACTTGCGACAACGGTTTGCCGAAAATTAGTTGGTATTCGTGCTCGATGAGCACCAGATCGATTTCGGAACGCGAGACGACGATCCGAATGAGGTCCTTGTCGCGTGTGCCCATCCCCTACAATTTTCGCCTATATCAATTGTGTGCTGCGGACACCTCGCGGCATTCCAAAACTGCGCGTCACCTTTGTTGCCGCGTGAATCATGTTCGCCAGAAATCGCGGTGTGTTGACGGCGGTGTCGACGAGCGCCTGAAATTTGCCAATCACCATCTGCCGACAGCCTTGCGGGTTTCGACTCGACCGACCAGCACGAGATTCTTGAAGTCGCCGCTCAGCTCCTTGTCGACGAGCTTGGCGAACTCTTTGCCCGACAGCTTCTCGACCTCCTCGACGAGTTTGCGCGCGTGCTGACCGTTGGCGGTGGCGAAAATTTTGAACTGCAAACTTTCGCCAATGCGCCTTTAAATCGGGTCTCGCAACGAACCGCATCGAATTTGTCGACGCCCGACTTTTTGTCGAAACTCTTCAGAATGTTCGACGCTTCTTGTCCGACGCGACCGTAATCCGCGTAGAGGGTCTCGTCGCGCTTCGCCTGCAGAATGACGATGAGAAGCTTCTTGAAGTCGCCGCTCGTGTCGCCGCCGATCGCCTCTTCAAGCCGCCGATTGAAGCACGTGAAGAACGTGTTTCTGAAAAAAAAAACGAATCGAGTGGTATGCGCCTTTAAACACGACGAAACGAACTTGGCCGCCTCGATTTGCTCGTTGGTGCGCGTCGTCAGAATTTCGATGAGATTGCGCTCGTTCGTGCCGAGACCCTAATGTGAGAATTGGCGCGAATTTGAATCTTTTCTGTTTTTTTTTTCTCATTTTACCTTCACCGCTCGTTGCAACTCGACAACGTCGTGTTTCGTTGGCGTCTGAAGAAGCGCGACGAGAAGATCCTCGAGATCGCCGGACGACACTTTTTTGATCTCCTCTTCCAAATCCTTGCCGTAACGCGTTTTATATGGTGTTCGAATCTGAAAATCGCTATTTCAGCACCGCAGTTTTTTGTTTTGACTTGAAAATCACCATTTGGCGTTGCGCATTGTTCACTGATGTCAGAATTTGGATCACTTTCGATTTTTCCTTGTTTCGCAAGGCTTTTTCGATTTTTTCCGATGCTGCTACCTGAAGATTTTGATTTGACCGCGCACCTAACACTTATATGCCGTTCAGGCCCCATCGCATAAGACGGCTAAGTGGCGCAGCCGGGAGCGCTTTTGCTTTTCAATCTAACACAGATAAACGGCAGCATAGGCACAATGGAAGCATAGTGGAACGGCTGTGGATATCATAGGAATCTTATATGCAAGTTATATGGAAGCATAATGGAAGCATTTTTTTGCGGAACCGCGTGTTTCGTATATGGAATGAGCCGTATGCCTTCCATATGGGAAAATAAGAAAACAATTTGATTGCTGTATTCAAAATTTATTTCAGATTAACACATTTATTTAATTTAAAATAAAAAAAAAACAACAATGAAATGAATTTCAATTAAGATATAATCAAACCATTAGTTACTGGCAACTGCCGAACTATTCGAATCATTGTCAGTACTGACATCGAGCGGGACGCTGTAATAAGTAGATTATAATGGGCCTATTAATTTGAAAAACTTGTAAACCATTGTTACGTAAACTAAATTTTTCGAGAAAATACAATCAGTTTTTTTACATCAATAATTTTCTTAAAAATAAAAATAATTTATTTTTATTGCATTTTTGGAAACCCTTTAGTGCACAAAATAAAAAGTGAATTGGCGGAAGAAAGAACAACTCCAAAATTTGAAGCAAAAAGGCATTTTGGTTAAAATTTCAAAGACATATGAATACTCACATCTGAGGGTTGCTGGTAGAATCAAGCAGCTTCCTTAATTGCGCCGCGAGCGCTTCCGGCGCTACACCAAATTTCCTTTGAAGTCGTAGGCGCATTCTATTGCTTAATCAAATAAATAAATTAATAGTCATAGTTCAAAATCTTACAGAAGATTATCCATGACTTCTCGAACCATGCGTAATGCTTTCGCTTTGAAGTCATTTGTCGGTTGTTGCCCAAAGCCATGGATAAGAGCATCTGTAATATAGATATTTGCAATAAAGTATAGGATCTTTATATAGTCGGCGTCTGGCGACTTCTGTACTAGAGCCCCACTTAAAAAGATAAATGCCACTGAATGATATTGGTACGAAGGCTGTACGGCAATCGGAAATTTCGGCGATTCGGCTAATGGCAAATTACCGATCGAAATTTTCTTCGGCAATTTGAAAAACCGGCAATTTCGGCAATCGGCAATTCCATTGCCGCACAGCCCTGATTGGAACCAAATAATCAACAAGCTTTAAACTTAGGAAGTACTTTATAAAGACTTCATTGCGCATATTTTTCTAATTGAAACCATTTCTGGAGTCGAACAGGCCAATTTTTGATGATAACAACTTACAAATTGCGCGTACGAAGGTTTAGGAATTGGCGTTGATTTTGTTGTTTGTGAGGACTGTGGAGAAAAATTTTTTGCTGAGTTGGCGAGTAAATTGGACTATCTGGATCTGAAGTGTCGAGCGAATTTGGTTCCATGTTAGGGACTTCTGGTTCTTTGTTATTGACTTCTAGAGCAGTTTCAGTTATATCTGACAACACTCTCGATCTTGTCTTCATCTGTAAAAAATTTCAAAACATTATGTTTTATTAAAAGAAAAAAGCGAGCGATAATAAAAAATATGTTAAAGTAAATAAAAATAAAACGGATTCGATGAGAAATTAAACACAATTCGATTGAGAAAATATTTAAATTCGATTTTAAAAGTGTCGGAAACGATTTGAAAACATCGTATCGATTTTAAAATTTTCGAATGCTATCAATTTATTTTTGGTTTCGATTTTGATGATAAATATGAAAATTTTTCCTTTATTTTTTAAAAACATTTTTCCTTTAATTTTGAAAAAAATTCTTTAATTTTTGACAAAAAAAAACACAAAAAATCTTGAAAATTCATTGAGAAAAAGCAAAAGGACAAAAATTTTGAAAACGAATTTCGAAAATGTGAGGCGTGGCCGCATTGTGCAAAGCGGCGCACGGTTTTGCAATGCTGCGGCACGCCTCTTCTACGCGCGTCTGCTACCAGTTTGGAGCAAATTGTGAGTAGTTTGCGATGCCAATTTCGGAAAAACCGGCAAAAATATATTAATACGACTAAATTGTAGTTGGCAATCTTTAAACAAAGTGAGGAACAGTTGACTGAATTAACATAAATCTGAGTAACATAAGTCATTAAATGGTAGAAGCTAAATTTCGTCCGTTGTGTATCATGTAATTTTCAAATTTTCATTGTTTATATGATAGCATAAGTTTTTTGTATTGATTTTTCTAGAAATTGTCTTGGTCTGCCGTCCAGACGCCAATTGTATAATGTTTATTGACATATGATTATTTTATCCATATTCCATCCATATTTGTTCCACGGCTCGCAAACACCGGAAGCATATTCATCCCGTTTTCATTCCATCCATATTCGTCCCATAATTCTTCCACAGCCACTAATAATTACATTATGCTTCCTATATGGAAGCATTATGCTTCCGTTCCACAGATTTCCCACAATGCTTCCATTATGCTTGCGTCGCGCTTAATCAGTGTAAGCATCACTGGTTCGAGTCCCCACCATTTTAAATCATTTTTGCGGGCTTACCTCATCAAAAAACGGGGCAAATTGAATCTTGGCGGTCGCCATTTCACCTGAAACTCGACAAATTTGAACCAATTTTGTTCACTGATGAAGAAATGTGGAAAATGAGTCATTTCGAGAGATAGGAGGCATTTTTATACTATTTGTTCACGATGAGTAAGTGAAAATTGATTGATTGGCGGACGGTTGGCCGGAAATCGAGGTATTGTCGAAATCGCCGTGAATTTCGAACGGTTATTGAGGTTGACGGCGCGGCGAGTAAAGCGAGTTAGTACACAAATTGGAATGGCGGGCGATTGTAGGGGAGTGGGAGGAGGGGGAGGGGAACCGAATGCGCGATCGTATTGAACATCGTGTTTGTTCTTTTAGAAGATTGAAATCAATACAAGTTGACAGGGAAATGACCTTTGCAAAAAAAAATAAATTGCGGCGACCAAAAAAAGTGGCAATTTTTTTAGTTTATGTGGTATTTTGAAGGCGGAAGTAAAATATTGGATATTCACAGAAAAATACATTTTTTTTAATTAAAAATCAGCTTTTTTGAAAAAATAGAGAAATAATACCTATTTTAGGCGTGAAATTGTAATGAATTTGGGTACTGTAGCACAAGTTCAAAATTTGTTTTTTTTTTTTCAAAAAAACATAAATATGATTATTTTTTCCCAAAAATTTCGAATTTTTTCCAAAAGTTTTATAAAATTTTCGCGTTTATATTTGTTTAAGAATTTTCTGAAAAAACTCGCTATGCCTCGACGTATAAGAACATAGTTACTTTTTTCCCAAGAAACGCCTAAACAAACACACAAGGATTTTTTGCATTTTATACAAAAAAAAATTGCATCTTCTCACGCATTTTTGTTGTTTAGTTTTCACCTATTGAAAGTACTCCAAATATGGAACAATTGTTTGGGTAAACAATGCCGAATTCGGCGGGGAGGGGGGGGGAAGTTACGAGGAAAATTGTCGATCGATACCAATTTCACTGTTCTTTTTCAATTTTTCGATGCCAAATCCATAATTATTCAATTCCTTTGGCCAATTTTCTTACAATAATCCTTCAATTTTCAGAATTTTCTTCTGAAATAAATGGTGCACGCGAAACGCGTCAATGCCGGTCGAGTGCTGACGCAAACGCGGCGCAACGTCAGCCAACACGTCAGCTTTAATAATTGTTCTCGAACGCCAGTCAATTAGAAATCCGATTTTTCGCTCAATTCGGTCGCGTTTTTTCAGAAAATGCTGAAATTCAATCTCATCCTACTTCTAACGATAGTGATTGCTGCATCCGCGCAACAATGTGAAGGTAAATTTGACGAAATTTCGAAACCCTCCCAATTTCAAATGATTTTTTCCAGTTTGCCAAAAAGTGCTAAACGATGCGATGGCGAAGGTCCCAAGTTCTGACAAATCGAAGCCCGACGCGATCGGAAAAGTGATTCGCGAGCATTGCGCCAGCGCGAAAAACAAGGACCATAAATTCGTAAATTTGCCGATCATCGGAGCTTCTCATTGAAAATCGCCCATCAATTTCAGTGCTTCTACATCGGCGCGCTTCCAGAATCGGCGACGTCGATAATGAATGAAGTTCAGAAGCCGTTGAGTTGGTCGATGCCGGCGGATAAAGTTTGCGAGAAGCTCAAATCCAAAGACGCTCAGATTTGCGAGCTCAAATATGGTGAGATTATGCGATTTTTATTTTCCGAATTGCGAAACTTAAAAGCTTATGAAATCCCGGATTATCGTTATTTACGTGCTCATTTTTTCCGAAGCCAAAAAAATTATGACAAATTTCGCAGAAAAAAAAGCGTGATGACATTTTTGACGCAAAAATTAGATTTTTTCTGAACGATTTTTGAAAAATGTTGTAAATTTTGAATTTGTTGAGCAATTTTTGCCAAATGTCGACTTATTTTGTGCGAAACAAATTGAATTCAGTCGATTTTGGGTCAAAGAAATTCAAAACTTGTAAAATTGCTGAAAATCCATTCGTTTTATTTCATTTTTTTTCAGACAAACCACTCGACTGGAAGACAATCGATTTGAAAAAGATGCGAGTGAAGGAGTTGAAGAATATTTTGAACGATTGGGGAGAGTCGTGCAAAGGATGCACCGAAAAGTCGGAATTCATCAAGAAAATCGAAGAACTGAAACCGAAATACGTCAAGGATGAGCTTTAAATGAAGGAGAAGCTCAGACGGATCTTAGGATATCGATTTTCTAATTTATTCTTTAATTAATTAATTACTCGAGAACTGGTCAAAATCGATGGCTTTTTTCTTTTTGTGATTTTTACGGATAAAAAATTTCCATTTTTTTTTTCTTCAAATTTTTCGCGTTTTTGGGTCATTTCTCCCAACTTTATCTCGATTTTTGCCGTTTTATTTTAGAATTTTAAGCATTTTCTTTTAGATTTCAGATGGCTAGCGCCCTGCCTAGGCGAATTATCAAAGAAACACAGCGGCTCTTGGCGGATCCGGTTCCCGGAATTTCGGCGACGCCCGACGAATCCAATGCCAGGTGGGATTTTTCGGAAAAAGCTGAAAATTCGAAAAAAAAACTGCAATTCGGAATCAGGAATTCAAGAAAATAATATTTTTTGCCTTGATTTTCCTCACTTTTTTCTATTATAAAAACGATAGCTGAAAATAAATTTTCCCAAGACATTTCGATTTTCGTAAAGTTCACTCGAATCCCTTAATTATAGAGTACCGTATTACTTGTAATTATGCATATAATTATAGGTTCAAATCAAGGTGTTGAACATTGAATTGAGAGTTTCGATACCGAAATAGGGGGGAGATTGAAGAGAAATGTGAAAAAATTGCGATTTCTCTTTTTTTTTGCTGCTAAAAAGCGTATTTTTGGCTCGAAATTGGTCCAGTTTTGACTCGATGTTGTGGTTTTTCGAAAAATTTTCTCAAAATGTCGAATTGTTTTGCTGAAACACTCAAAAATGAACCATTTCCGATCAATTTCCAGCGCGAAAACAAAAACGTTGAGTTTTGTTGTAGATATTTCAAAGTGAAAATCGCGGGACCCGACGATTCGCCGTTCTCCGGCGGCATTTTCAATCTCGAGCTGTTTCTGCCCGAAGAATACCCGATGGCGGCGCCGAAAGTGCGATTCATGACGAAAATCTATCATCCGAACATCGACAAACTCGGCCGAATTTGTCTCGACATCCTCAAAGGTTCACTATTTTCGTTTTTAAAAATTGTTTTAGACCACTGCAATTGGGAAAAGGGCCAAAAAAAATGGGTGCGATTCCAAGCTTTTCGTTCCTTGGACCACTGAATGATTACGGATGGGTGAACCCCATTCTGAAGGCGATTCCGACCATCTCCTTCCAATTCCACGGCCGTTAGAAGGATATCCCTCATGTTTCATCAGTTCTTCAAGTTTTTCAAAATTTTTCGCCTCTTTCCCAATTGCAGTCGGAAAAACAAGGAGTATGGTATCCGAATTTCCTACTATTTAAATTCAAATTTGAATTGCCGCTTCGAAAATGTGTCTCCATTCGAGGGACATGGAAAATATCAAAAATCAAAATCATCACTTGAATAATTGATTTTGTTTGTTTGTTTTTTTTTTTCGAGGCGGTAATTCAAATTTCGAATTTAATCTCTAATTTTTCATGTTTTACGTGTTTTTTTTTCTCTCGCCCAAATCGTTGATTAATAATTCATCATCATCATCATCAATTTCTTTTATTATTATTATTTTTTCTTTGTAGACAAATGGTCGCCGGCGCTTCAGATTCGCACCGTGTTGCTGTCGATTCAGGCGTTGTTGTCGGCGCCGAATCCCGAAGATCCGCTGGCGACCGACGTCGCCGAGCAATGGAAAACGAATGAGGCGGAAGCGATTCGAACCGCCAAACAATGGACACTTTCCTATGCTCGTGAGTGATTTGTGAACGGGTTTTTCGGGTTACGGTAGATTTCACGAGGAGGTTACGGTGGAATTTCGGTGGAATTTCCAGAATTTTTTGGTTGGCGAGAAAAAAAAATCGAAAAATTGTTCGGTTTTTGAGATATTTTTTTTGAATTGCCACCCTTTTTTGTGCAAGTTTCTTTTTCTTTTCTTGGTGGTCGATTTACGAGCATGCGCCTTCTTTCGCTGAGGTCTCGCGCGGAATCGCTGATTATTTTAAATTCTAGGGATTTTTTTTTGAATATTTTGAACCAAAAAACTGTCAAATTCCAATTTTTTCAATTTAATTTCGAAATTTTTTAACTTTTCATTAAAAAAAATGACGATTAGATCGAGATTTTCAGAAAAAAAGTCGAAATTTGAAATATTCAATAAAAAATTGATTTTTATCGGAAAAAATTGCGCAATTTTTAAAAATAGCCCATGTTTTTGGGAGTTTTCCAAAAATATGAATTTTTGAAAAAAAAAATCGCATTTTTTTCCTGTGCTGAAAATTGCATTGCGGACTTGTGCATTTCATTTGACGACAATTTGCACAAGTTGAGATTCCAATTTGGTTTTTTTCGATTTGTAGAGCCAAAAAATTGCAATTTTATTCATTTTCCCCTAAAAATGAACTTAATTTTGTTTTTCAGAAGAATGATTGTGGAGCAACTTGCCAGGAATCGCAACAGACTTAAGAAATTTTTCATAATTTTTATTTATTTTTTGATTTATTTTTTTTTTTTGCGAGCTTTTCGTGTGAAATGTAGATTTCCCCGTGTAATGCTGGTCCCATTAAAAAGAAAAAAAAACACACATTTTCTAAATTTCTTGAAAAAAAAAGAAGTATTTTGCCATTTTTTTTGCACCCATTTGTTTCGGAGCCAATAAATTTCCGAAGGAACGAAATGATTGAGCAACGAGAAATTGTTAGAATGAATAAAATTGAAAAGGAAACAAAAAATTGTTGAAAATTTGAGAGTTTCGCTGAAATTGGAGGGATTCGAGCAATTTTGCAAAGAAAAAAGAATTTTTTACGGCCGTGTGCACTGGAGCGCGTTTGCGGTGTTCATCTTGGCACGTTGCCAAAATGTCTTGAAACGAAGTGCCAACAACTCGAAATTTGAATTACCGCGCGCATCCTGGTGGGCGTGGCTTGCCGAATAGCCTTATTGGGTAGATTCACGTGATTGGGTTACTGTAGAGCGAAACTTGTGTGATCAACTCGACACGCGAGCTTGTGCGCCTTTAATGGTACAATGCGGATTTCGCAACAAAAAAAATTCGGCCCGCAAGTTAAAAAAAAATTTAAATTCGAAATTTGAATTGCCGCCTCGAAAAGTGCGATGGTCCACACTTTCTTCCGATTGTTCGACATCCACAAAATCAAGAAAAACTGTGCTCTTTCGACGGTTAATTTAAGCAATATCGTCTCCTAGCAGCTTTCCATACGAGACCCAAACGCGGCAATTCAAAATGCTACAATAGTTCACTCAATTGTCGATTTACGTCAAGCGCTGAATTGTCCGCGTGGAGTACACAGACGCAACTGGTCTTTTCGTTTCTTTGGGTGTTCACCAAACCCAAATGGGCGGTGTTTGGCGATTTGCCAATTGAGAGAGTGAGCGGGTCTTGTATGGAAAAAAGCAAAATTTTTTCTTTTTGGCGGTAATTCAAATTTCGATTCAAAAAGTCAACGCGCGGCAAAAAAAAAAAAACAAATTTATTTAATTTAAAAAAAATTGAAATACTTCATACATATACAAGAAAACTGAAGGAAAAAGCAATAATAAGTAGATTGGGTTTGACAAATAAGGGGTGGGGGGTGCGATATGCAAAAGATGGGGGAGGATGAAATTAAACCAAAAAAAATCATTTTTTTTTTGAAAATAATACCGTAATAATGTCTTTTCAATGTACAGACAATACAAAAAATCAATAAATTAAATTGGCGGGCGACGACCAGCGTAGGAATTTGAAAAGGGTTGGGGTGGGGTGGTTTTACAACACATTTCCAGTGTTATTATGCGTCAACGCATAATCAATCAATTAATTAATTAATATATCGAATTAAATTAAGGCAAAATCAATAAATTAGGCGGGCTAGGGGAATTAAAGCACTTTCCCTTAACATTTTCTCTTTTTCTTTTGTTGTTCTCCTTCTCTTTTGAATGTTTTGAAAGACAAATTACATGTACGAGTGGGCATCTTTTTTTTTTTCTTTTTTGAATTTTGAATTTGATGATTCGGGTCCGTTTCGATTAGGCCTTATTGAAGCACTTTTGGCATTTTCCGCGAATCGCCCAATGGAATTGATTGAAGTCGGTTTTCGTCCACAATTCCGAATCGGTCACCGCGCCGTTGACGCGCTCGACGATTCTGCAAAATAATTCGCAAATCAAAATTGCACCATTAAAGGGGACCATTAAAAAAATTAAATATAAATTCTATGATACTCTTTGAAATGCTCAAATCGACTTTTCAAAACTTCCAAAAACGCCACAAGGTCTTGACGCGAAAATTCAATATGTTGATTTAATTATAAATTTCAAAAAAAAAATGGCATTTTGGGTAATTTTTGGCACCAAAAAATTAAATTGCTTGAAATTTGAATCAAAAAATGTCAATCACCAGATCAAATCGACAAAAAAAATTGAAAAAACCCACTTGATTTCTTTGCCGAGATCGGTCAGACATATCACTTTTCCGCGTCCGCCCGACTTCTCGGCGGTCCGATTGCTCTCGAAACACAATTCGATGTCGACGCGACGGCGATGATACGACATCGTCATGTCCAAATCCAACGCCATCGACATTAGCACGGCGGCACAATGGCCTTCGCTCAGCGAGAACGACGACGGATCGTTTTTGTCGAGACAACCGGCCATGTCTTTCGATGTCTGCAAATTTTCGATGAGTGTGTCTCGTCGCGAAAACAAAAAAAATCGATGCTCGTACCAGCGGCGGTTGCGGCGACGCCGACGCGGTTTCTCGCGGTGTCGATGAGCTGTTGGCGGCGTTCCTACAAAAAACACCATTCAAATCGAATCATTGGGTTTCAGCAGATTTCAGATTATACTCAAATTGTTTTCTTTTGGGGGAAATAATTAATTGAGAAAATACTCACAACATTGCTAGCATCATCGGATTCGACGACGCCAAATTGACAAGTGCCGCTAGTTGATTGTTCGTCGACATGCTGTCGCCGGCGGCGGCGGCGCCGCTCGTCGCCTCCGTCGCGCCATTCTGATTTGCGTTCGGCGAATGCGGCGCGCCGCGTTCCGGCGATTCGGCGTTTCGCGTCGGCTCGTCCGATGACGACGACGATGAAGCGGCGGCTGTGGCTGTGGCGCCACCGCCATCCGCGTGATTCTCGTGCTCGTCCATCATCGACTCCTCTTTGGCGAACCCGTTTCCAATATTGATGATCTCCGACGATTTTGGCAGCGAGTCGAGAAAATTGAGCGACGTGTTGAACTGGAAAAAAAAAACAACGCACACAATGAAATTTGCCGACAAAAAAAAAAAACGCTCTCTTACATCGTTCAAATTGCCCGATTGTTGGAGTTGGTGAAGGGCGAACGTCATCGAATCCAACATTTGCGGCATCTTCTGGTCCATCATCATCATTGACGGCATGCTTGGCGTGTTGCCGGCGCCAGCGCGAACCCGCTTCACATAGGGTTGTGTGGGTGTCTGAAAATTGGAAATTGATTGCAGAAGAATTGAAAGATTGAGAAAAAAAATTGATCAACAAAATCGGCGCGTTTCGTGTTGTTTTGCGGATTTCACATTTTCGGCCCCCCCCCCCTCTCCATCCGCAACCCTCGGGTTTCTCTCGCACCTCATCATTTTTCTCATCGCCAATTTGCGCGGCGGCGGCGACCGCTGCGCGCTTGATTCGCTTTTTCGTGACCCCGTCGCGTAGAATATCTTGATGGTAGGCGTTCATGTGTCCCCACATGCTTTTCGTACTGCTGTCGTTGCGCTTCAACACCTTCCAACAGTACATGCATTCGACGTTCTGCTTCTCGCTTAGACATTTGTAGTGCTCCCAAATTTCCGACGTCTTCTTGTGCGGCCGAATGCCGGCCGCCATGAGGATCTCGTTGGCTTTGGCCGGCGTTAGCGGCGAGATTTCGCGTTGGCGCGGTTTTCGCGCGCTGAACGTCTCCGGCATCGACTTCTCGAGCAACGCCATTATTTGACTTGCGTCGAGCTCGCCGCTACAACTATTATCATCGTCGGCTTCGGTTTTCGGTGTCGTTAGGCTCATGTCGAACTCGTCGGGCTCCTCGACTTTGACAATCGTCGGCTGCTGCTTGATTCGCGTCATTGCTAATAGAACAACATTTTGAATCGAGAAATAAAGCAAAAAAACTCGCGAAATAATTGAAGAAATGGGGTCGAAAAATGAAATTCCAACAAAAAAAAAAAATTAAGCGACGGGCTACTGTAGTCAAGTCCGCAAACACCATTTGAATTTTGCAACGCTACCGTACACATAGCGAAAATTCGATTTTAAATTTGTGGGACCGAGAAAACACATTGACGAATCGCGTGTCAAATGTAATGTTTGCAAAACGATTCAACAATTGATAACAATTAAAAAAAAATGTGCAATAAAACAACAACTCAATGAATTTCCAAAAAAAAAGAACGAGAAAAGAAATGTCGGTGAAATTCAGCAATTTCTCGATAGATGGAAAAAAAAAATGCCGCAAACACGTTGCACACATCATCAGTTACAGTAACCGAAAGAAAAAAAACAACAAAATATGCCAAATCGCAAATTTCCAACAAGATGGAGATGAAGGGGGAGGGCGAGAAAAAAAAAACAAGAAAAGAAAGGAAGGAAGGAAGTCGGGCTGCTGACTGGCTGACGGGCACGGGGGACGGGGGGGGGGAGAGAGACCAAAAACGAAAATGAATCGTCGTTAGCGAGTGTGTGTGTATGCTATGCGGGGCGGGCGGGCCACGTCGGCGGAGAAGAGGGTTGGGGGGGGCGGCTGGTTGGCGACGACGGGGGCCGCCGAAACGAGGCCGTGTACAAACGAACGAAAAACGGGGCAAATCAATAATAGAACGAAAACGGGGGGGGGGGGGGCCTTGACGAGAGGAGCGAGCGAGCGATTGAGGCTGGCGAGTGTGTGTTTGTCGGGGTTTGTTGTGTGTGTGTGTGCGCGGGGGGGGCCTAGAGGGGCCCCGTTTCCATCTTCAATATCTACACACACAAATTCCATCGCGGGGGGAGGGGGAACCTCGGGGGAAGCGCGCGCGCGCGCGCGCTTCCACCACAAAAAAAGAAGGCGACGGCCGGTTTAACCGAATTGAGGTCGACGCGGGGGTTTTGGCTTTTCGGGTGGGGCTTCTTCCCCCCCTTCCCCATCATCAATCATGTCACATCTCACCTGTGCGAGTTTCAAACTGAACTTGGCGAATATCCCGTCGTCGGTGTGGAACTTCTTGAGATGCGTTCGCAGATTGTTCGGGCTTCGATCGTCGCCGTTCCACGCGCAATGAAGGCACATCACGCCGCCGACGCCGTCTACAAAAAAAAAAACAAAAATTCCGATTTCCAACACGCCGACACATTTTTCGGCCAGAATTGTGGTAGATCAAAAAAAAGCAAATCACAAAACTCACTCGTATCTTTGAGATCGCGAAAGAACTCCCAGACGGGATGCGATTTTTTGCGGCCGGCGTTTCGCGCCCACGCCGACGGCGACGCCGAATTGCTCGCCGCGTTGCTCGCCGCCAACACCGGCATCAAATCTGCAAAAATCAATGGTTCGCGACGAGACCCTCAATTCGAATTTATTGGGTCCGATCAATTCAGCAGACCAAATAGTTTCGTCTCGCACCGAAATTGTTTTTTTTTTGCCAGCCAACTCTATGCGCCTTTAAACTACGCGTATTACTGTAGGCGATCTCAAATTCGATTCGGCAAAATGCCAAAATCGACACTTTCATTTTCGCGCCGAGACCTCTTTTTTTTTTCTTTTGGCGTTTAGCCAATTTTCGGCAGTCGCGCGACGCCGACTGCTTTTTGGTGATGGCTATTCAATTAGTCGTCATGCGCCTTTAAAATAGCCTTTCGTCTAAAATTCAAATCTCTCCAGCGGATTTAGGCGCCTTGCAAGTTCAAACGTTTAAAAAATCCGATTTGATGCGCTTTTAAAATTTTCGGCAATTTGTTTTTTTTTTCAAATTCTGTCCGAGAATATTCAATTTTTTTTTTCAAACATCCAGCTTTCACTAGAAATTTATGCTTTAGTCACTCATGCGCCTTTAAAAATATTCAAAATACGGTATGCGTCTTTAAAATGTTTTAAAATTCTCTTTACGCCTTTAAATCTTCTCAAAACCCGTTATGCGCCTTTAAACTATCAATTAAAGCTTCAGCCACCAATGCGTCTTTAAACATTCTGAAAAAATCGATATGCGCCTTTAAAAATTTTCAAAACTCTCTATGCGCCTTTAAATTTTCGCAAATTTCGGTTTGCCCCTTTAAATTTTCTCAGAAATCAATAAGCGCCTTGAAAATTTGAAAATTTCTGAAAAAATCGATATGCGCCTTTAAACTACGAAATAAAATTTCTGTCACCTATGCTCCTTTAAATTTTTGCAAATTTCGATATGCACCTTGAATATTTCTGAAAAATTCGACATGCGCCTTTAAACTATCAATTAAAGCTTCAGTCAAACCATGCGCCTTTAAAATTTTTCAAAACTCTCTATGCACCTTTAAATTTTCGCAGAATTCGATATGCGCCTTGAAAATTTCTGAAAAATTCGGCATGCGCCTTTAAACAATCAATTAAAGCTTCAGTCAAACCATGCGCCTTTAAAATGTTTCAAAACTCTCTACGCGTCTCTAAAATTTGCGCAAAAATTCGATGAGTCTATAAATGTTTTTCATTATCCTCTATGCGCCTTTAAACTATCAATTAAAGCTCTGCGAATGAGCTCTGTGTGAAGACGATCGCCAACCTCTCATTGTCGGCTCGGGTGCACTCGATTGGGTCTCGGGCGTCTCCTCGCGATGCTCATTCTCCTCGTGCTTCATCGCCTTCTGCTGCTGTTGCTGATGATGATGGTCCGACTTCATCGGCTGGCCCAACGAGTTCATCAACGCGATGTGCTGCCGTCGTTGCATCTCCTGAATCGCCTCGAACAATTTGCTCGTCTCGTCCTTGTCGACGCCGCCGTCGTCGGCGTCGGTCGTCGACGACGGCTCCGGCGACTCGGAGCTCGCCGTGTCCGAATTGGCGATCTCGGCGTTCTGGAGGCAAGCGAACTGCAAAACGAAACAATCGGATCGATGATCCACGGATCATTCCGTTACCAATCCGTTGTCCTTGAACAAATCCAACGTGAGCGATCGTGTCGGCGAGCTGCTCATCGCCTTCTCGTCGCCAACGCTCGCCGTCTGCTCGTACGATGGCGACGCCGATGTGTCGAAGCCGTTCTCGCCTGAATCGATATTTTTGGCGCGTTGGAGGGGGGCGTGGTCGGGGTAGATCAAAAAAAATAAATGACCTACCTTCCCGTTTATTTGCCATACTGCTCAACTGATTTGCGATATGTACAATATTACCACCACCGAGAAGTGAGGTCATGCTGAAAAAAAATTGGGCTTGTGGTTTGGTGGGCGTGGCTTAGGGTTACGGTACGACGAGGAAATGAATATCGAATATCGAGAAATTTGAGATTTCGAGAATAATTGGAATTACAGTAATCCAAGATCACTGTAGAAAAATAATGGGAGAAGCTTAAAATCAAAGAATTTTCAGAATTTTTGGAATTTCCATGATTACAGTAATCCAGGATTACTGTAGAAAAAGTGAGAAGCTCAAAATCAAAGAATTTTCAGAATTTTTGGAATTTCCATGATTACAGTAATCCAGGATTACTGTAGAAAAAGTGAGAAGCTCAAAATCAAAGAATTTTCAGAATTTTTGGAATTTCCATGATTACAGTAATCCAGGATTACTGTAGAAAAAGTGAGAAGCTCAAAATCAAAAAATCTTCAGAATTTTTGAATTTCCATGATTACAGTAATCCAGGATTACTGTAGAAAAAGTGAGAAGCTCAAAATCAAAAAATCTTCAGAATTTTTGGAATTTCCATGATTACAGTAATCCAGGATTACTGTAGAAAAAGTGAGAAGCTCAAAATCAAAAAATCTTCAGAATTTTTGGAATTTCCATGATTACAGTAATCCAGGATTACTGTAGAAAAAGTGAGAAGCTCAAAATCAAAAAATCTTCAGAATTTTTGGAATTTCCATGATTACAGTAATCCAGGATTACTGTAGAAAAAGTGAGAAGCTCAAAATCAAAAAATCTTCAGGATTTTTGGAATTTCCATGATTACAGTAATCCAGGATTACTGTAGAAAAAGTGAGAAGCTCAAAATCAAAAAATCTTCAGAATTTTTGGAATTTCCATGATTACAGTAATCCAGGATTACTGTAGAAAAAGTGAGAAGCTCAAAATCAAAAAATCTTCAGAATTTTTGGAATTTCCATGATTACAGTAATCCAGGATTACTGTCGAAAAAGTGAGAAGCTCAAAATCAAAAAATCTTCAGAATTTTTGGAATTTCCATGATTACAGTAATCCAGGATTACTGTAGAAAAAGTGAGAAGCTCAAAATCAAAGAATCTTCAGAATTTTGGGAATTTCCATGATTACAGTAATCCAGGATTACTGTAGAAAAAGTGAGAAGCTCAAAATCAAAGAATCTTCAGAATTTTGGGAATTTCCATGATTACAGTAATCCAGGATTACTGTAGAAAAAGTGAGAAGCTCAAAATCAAAAAATCTTCAGAATTTTTGGAATTTCCATGATTACAGTAATCCAGGATTACTGTAGAAAAAGTGAGAAGCTCAAAATCAAAAAATCTTCAGAATTTTTGGAATTTCCATGATTACAGTAATCCAGGATTACTGTAGAAAAAGTGAGAAGCTCAAAATCAAAAAATCTTCAGAATTTTTGGAATTTCCATGATTACAGTAATCCAGGATTACTGTAGAAAAAGTGAGAAGCTCAAAATCAAAGAATCTTCAGAATTTTGGGAATTTCCATGATTACAGTAATCCAGGATTACTGTAGAAAAAGTGAGAAGCTCAAAATCAACGAGTCTTCGGAATTTTGGGGATTTCAATGATTACAGTAACCCAATGCGGATTACTGTAGAAATTTCGAAGAAGCTTGTGTTTTGTTGCAAGAAAGAAATGGCGGCAAAAAAAAAAAAGTAATCCTAGAGGCGTGAAAATGCACCAAAACTGTAGGATGTAGTTTCAAGACCCTCCAAATATGGGTAGGGGCCTCGAAATAGCTAGAATTGCCAAAAAGTGAGAGATCAATTCGAGAGATTACAGTAGCAAACGACGAAAACATTTTCCATCGTCCGCTATTTGTTTTTGAATGGCTTTTCGTAGTGTTCGTAGCGCTGAGAAACAAGTCTATTACAAGATATCCAATAGAATACCATATAAGGAAAAATGGGGGAGGATCGGGCAAAACAGCTGACTAACTAAACAAAATCCGCTCTCCTCGTCACACTGTGTTTTTTTTTCCTCTTTTCGATGCTTCCAGATGAAGCAGTGATCAGAAAAATACATATATTGGTTGAATTAGATGTAAAAAGGGACCGCGCGCGTAAATTAACACAACAAGAACTGGTAGTTTTGTATGCATGTGTGTCTTGTTTGATGATGAAGCCGAATGAGAAGCTTCTTCACACACCATCTGAAGAAGAACGATTTTTGCGTCCCCCCCCCTTCTTTAATTGTGGGCGGGGTTTTCGCTTCAAAACACGATTATGATTATTAATATGAATTTTATTGGGCGCCGGTTTCCAACGACAATGATGGGGGGGGGTTGATGATATAATCGTGCTGCGGACATCATACGGGATGCGCGCGCGCCAGCGCCAACCCGGTAGGCTGTCGGCAGCGCGCTTCTCATATGTGCAGCAGCACACAAGTCGCGATGACGGGCGAATTCCCGCCCGCCCCCGGGACGACGTCCGCAGCTGGGAATCGAATAAATGGAATCGGTGATGACAGTCGAACGACTAAAATATATGAACAACGAGTGGTGGGGCGGCCGACTTTTACTATAATCATCCTATTATGTATTTATACCATATGAGGCAGAAGCCTGCCTGCCTGACCGTTCACATAGTGTATTAGGGGGGGGGGGTTTCGATCGTTATTGGTATTATTGCATCTATCTTTTCGTATTTTTATGAGTCTTTTCGGGTGGAGACGACAGAAGAAGAAGACGAAAGGAAAAAAAAAACACGAAAAAGTGAGGGGGGTGCGCAAGGTCTAATTGGATGAATGTACATAGATATATAAATGGATTTCAAAGTGGAATTCGACGGCGAATGGACGGGGGGGTGGAAAAAAATGAACATGCATAAATACATAGTTAGCATTTGCGCGTAGAGGATATGCGTTCTCACATCATTTTCCGTTTTAAAGACGCAAACCAAAACCGGGCACCGTATTTGCATATATTTGATCGTATTACGGTAGAAGGCGTCTTGCCATGCGCCTTTAAAGCCCATGAAAATTGAGTAGTGGTGCTCCATTGGTCCCGCAACCGAAATGGCGAGGTCTCGAGGCGAAAAAAAAGTGAAGGACAGCGAGAAGCTGGAATGCTCCTTTAATGGTCAAAGGGGGCGGGGGGTTGGCGAAATAAATAAAATTTGGAATCACAATGATCGGAATCGGAATGAAAATGATCAAAAATGGAGGCGGGGTCGAAAGCAACAAAAAAAAAGAAGAAAATTTGGGCGGCCTTGTGTTTCGTTCTATAATATATCTTGGCGAAGCCAATAAAACGAAAAAGTCACGAATGAAATAATTAGAAATCGTCGTAAAAATTTTTTGGAGGCGGCCGCGGCGGCGGCCTCGAATGGCCGGCGAGTGGCCGGGGCCCGAAACCCACCCATCCCCCAAAAAAAAAAACATGGTGAAATTGTTCGCCATTCATTCATTCATTCATACGGATATCTGCGCGCCCGCCCCCCCCCCCCCCCCAAAAAAAAAACGTTCCCAGCCGTATAACCAATTTGTACGCTACATTGGATTACTGTAGCAGTTGTTTGATTGGGACCCTGACGGACAAAACAAAAATAAAAATAATAAACGATTGAGAGAGAGAGAGAGAGCGCAATTTGCAAATTTTTGCTCCTCTTATCAATCCAATTTTTTGTTGGCGAGATAGGCGCGAAAAAAAACGCGAAATTTGGAGCTGACAAAAAAAATTTTTTTTTGGGTGTCAATCAAATGACGCTGATTATTTGAATTTGCCATAATTTTTTTTTCAGGTGGAAATACAATTACAATGGTCCCTTTTTGAATCATGGAGAAATTTCGCATTCTAGTGGTGGTCCACACGAAGAAGCGACCCTCCAAAACACTTACATCGCATTCTGGAGGTCCCCACAAATTCTGGGACCCACTGAATCTCTCACATCGCATTCTGGGACCCTCCGAATCACTGACATCGAATTCTGGAGGTCCCCATAAATTCTGGGACCCTCCGAATCACTGACATCGAATTCTAGAGGTCCCCTCGAATTCTGGGACCCTACGAATCTCTGACATCCCATTCTGGAGGTCCCCTCGATTTCTGGGACCCACCGAATCTCTGACATCGAATTCTATAGGTCCCCTCGAATTCTGGGACCTTTAATTTTGCAGGTCATCTCAAACGATTTTAATGGTCCCTAGGATCTCGAATTTCAGAGAAATGAAGTTTACCGATGCGAATGGTCCATTTTATTTCAATTCCAGGCTTCAATGGTCCCATTTCTTTTTGATCTACAATTTCCTTGAAAAAAAGTCGAATTGCCATTTCCCCACCAAGCTAATAAAACCGCTCGAATTTAATTATAATCGAAGAGAGAGAGAGACGCAGATGGTTAGACAAAAGTGGCGCCAAATTCAAATTGTTGAATTCTCGCTAGCGAAATGAGCTCGAGTCGAAACCCGTCGAATTGTCCGCAGCACGAAATTCATAAAAGGCCGCCAAAAATAAAGCACACAAAACTCGTATTGGGGCCAAAGTTTTTCGCGGTTGCCGTTGGTGAATCGCGAAATTAACGGCCGGCCACCGTATAACAAATGAACTTCTGGGGACCATTGAGACCCATTTTCCGGCGAATCGCCCTTTAATCGCCAAAAAAATTGCGAAATTGTCAATATTTGAGCGACGAGGAGAAAAAAAAAAGCGGCAGAAACCGACCTAATTTGGGCACCCGCCGAGAGAGAGAAAACGAGAAAAACGACGAAAAATTATAATGGTCCGTTGCAACAATTTCATAGTTTTTAAAAAAATGCACACAATCGATTTAGGGACCAACACAATTTTTTTTTGTTGAGAGAGAGAGAGAGAGAAAAAAATCATTTTGAAAAGTGCTATACCCCCCCCCTCCCTCTAGGGACCACAAACAAAAAAATTTGGGAAATTTGAAGAAGTTTGGAGAAAAAAAAAAAGATTTTTTAAATGTCGAAACAAGTAAAGCGCTAGGGACCATCGAATGCATTTGCGAGGAGCCGCAGGTTGGAGGGACCATTAAAATAGAAGGGAGAGGTCA